CATCTCATCTTAATATTTCATGTAAATGATGCCACAATAGAACTTTTCCAAGTGTAGTGTTAGGGTACATAAAACTAAACATTTCTAAAAGCTGCAGCTAGCCATGATGTTAAAGTTACAAAGATAAAAGGTAAAACTAAAAAATACTGAATTTTTAAAAAGATAATAATTTTTTATCATAGTTAATACTTTGAAAACCAAACGTAAGTAATATAAATACTTCTAGCTGTACAATACAATCGAAATGCTTACACTAGTTACAGTACTATTTTTTATGTACCCTAATACATGTGTAGTTAATACTTATAAAAAACACAAACAGCAAAATAGAATAATAAACTTTATTATTAATTAATTATTATTTACAAGAAAACAGTGTTACTACCTGCAACAAGGCGGATGTGAAACATATATTCTCAAAACCTGTTTTAAAACACAGTCTAAACATATACCCCTCATATTGGCCTGCAAAATTTCATTTATGTGGCTTCAAATTCGTTTGCAAGACAAACTCCCCCCCCCTATATTTCATCAAGTTAAAATAGCATGAAGCAAAGGCCATAACTCCATACAAAATAAGTTCTTATAACCATCTTCTGGAGTTTGTACCTTAGGTAAGCACGGAAAGTTTCATTTATTAACTTCAGTAGTGTCCAAGAGAACCTGGCAGAATATGTACCAAGTTCAAAAACAAGGGTCATAACCCTGTGAAAAATATGTTGTCAACACCAACATTTTGGATTTCTTTGTTCCGTTGCAATTCAGCACTTTTGTTTGCAGATTCTCTATCTACATCTCTGTTTTTCAGTACGCGTTTTCCTTATGCCATTTCTAAGCCTTGCTCCTGGAACTCGAAGCCATTCTTTTACACAGGTCACCATGTACTTGTCAGTGGCTTGTAAGAGCCCAGCTGCAGGCTTCCTCCTCAGCTTCTGTTTACAAATAATAGCAAAAAATGTCAGTGTGCATATTATAAGTCATTGCAAGCACTCTCACAATTACAAGAAATGGACTTCACAAGTGTGTTAACATAATGGAATAATAGAATAAGTAATACCCTGTTCACATGCACCACCTTACATATGTGTGTATATTTTATTTTAAGTCTTGACACCTGTTAATAAATACAGGGTTCACTCGAGGAATTTTCTGCTATGGGCCCTTTATGTGACAATTTCATATATTCCCTAGGTACACCCGCACTTGCCCATACAGCACAATGTTAAAATGCCCCATTGTATTTGAAAATGTGGGCCTTTTTCCAAATTTAGGGGCTAAAAGCAGAAGGCCCCACCCTAGAATTATCGGAATCCAAGTAAGTAAATTGATGAGTTAATAATATGTGTAAATAAGTAAATTGAATTATGTGTAATTATATACGCAAATAACATAACAACTCCCAATATTGTATGGTAGGTCCCTAATCTGTTTCTTATGTCAATTAAAAAAGATTTTATAACTGACATATCACCCTATTAATTTAACCCAATAAAAATCCCCAATAACCACATAACACCCCACCTCCAATCTTGCTGGAGAACAGTTTTAGGTGTGCAATCTCTCTTGTATGTCCATCAAAAGTAAGTCAGCATGAAATTTCATTTGGAAGATTACCATAGTAAGTGTCAGGGGCCCTTAATAGGGCAAACATGATATTAAATATATGCTTATAAATATTTCAAGCAGAAACATGTATCAGTTGGTTTGGTTTGTTGTTTTACGCCTCACTCAGCAATATTCCAGCTATATGACGGCAGTCTGTAAATGATCGAGTCTGGACAAGACAATCAAGTGATTAACATCATGAGCATCAATCCATGCAATTGGGATCGATGACATGCATCAACCAAGTCAGAGAGCCTCACCTCCCGATCCCATTAGTCGCCTCATAGGACAAGCATAGTTGCCTTTTACGGCAAACATGGGTTGCTGAAGATATCTTCTACCCCGGATCTTCTATATGAATCAAAATTGGAGTAAATTTCCCATACTTGATACATCTAAAGAAATTTAATTCACTCACCAGTTCTCTCTCAGTTGCTCGATTTTGGAAAAGCTGCTAAGAGTTCATTCAGCTCATCCATGTTTGCCAATAGGCAATGGCTAAACATCTGATTTTCTTAAATAGAAATATAAGAATATTATATGTCAAGTTTGTGTAGCAGCAGTGAGCACTTAGCTATTATGGTGATGATGTCAAGAGGTTGAGGGGAATATTGCTCAAAACATAAAAGTAACATTTAAATAAAGCTTTGGCCATACACAGATATCAGGTCGTACATCTTATCTCATATATTTGCACTTGTACATACAGTCCTTATCTGGAGCCATGTAGCAGAAATAATTTCCCAGGGAAAGTAGTTTCACGTTAATAGCCATAGCCACATCCATTGAAAAGCAGTGAGAAAATCCCCATATTGACATAATATTGAACAGATCCTGTGAAGTCTGGTTACCACAAAACAGATTTCATTTATTATATGATGCCAAAATATATGTAGATTACATCATGGAAAACCAAAACTGCAAATAAACGTTTATCATTAAAAGATCAGATACAAAGGTATGTACATATTACAAACACTTGTATGCAAAAAATAGCAGGAAAGTATTGGGGACAAGTAATTTTAATTCTTAATTTAATTTAATTTATTTAGTCAGAATAAATCAAATTTGAAACAAGGCTGTGGGTGTTTTTCTACAATGGATAATGTCCTGAAAAATCTGTACTGAAGTATCTTCATCAAAGTTTTACCATAAATGTTGATTAAATAAATGACATTCTAAATTGATTGGATTATATATTTAGCATCATACCTTTGAAATAGTACATTGAAAAAAGATTAATTCAGTATTTCATCAAAAATGTACATCATAAATTACTTAACTAGATAAGACTACCATACCCCCCCCCCAAAAAAACAAAAAAACAACAAAAAACAAAACACACACACACACACACCCTAAAAATCCATTCTGAAATAGCCATATCTCAAAACCTCAATCAATCGATACAGATACCATACATCGGTATAAGATTTCTGATCGATTATAGGCATATGTCTATGTAAGGTATCCAGCAGATCTTGATAAAATTGCCCACACCTGTAATGCGCAGTGATCCGTTTACTAAAAGAGCTGTCCTTTCATTTCGCCCATTATCCAGAAAAAGTTCAAAATTCGCAAGTAACTATGACATTAAAAAACATATTTTTATTTTTTTTATTTCAACCTTTAGGTGATCGAAAACCAAACTCGGCAGTGAAGCTCCGTTCATCGATCAGTAGGAAACATTAGCTGGATCGCATGACATGCACACGCAATGCTGAAAGTTTCCGAAAGCCTCGCTATGAATTTCATGTTCACTGCTTTTTGCGCTGACAGCAATCACAAAATTGACTTGTAAATTCGAGTTTGTAATTAATTTCCTAACCTCATCCATCCCCACACTTAACAAATACGCCTGTGACAATGACAAATAAAGCAATGTTCATTCAAAAATACTAATGTAAGTAAAAGTTTGGCTATTCATTTGCTTGCCGCTGTAATACTCTCACCCCGAGATTGCGACTCGTTGGTTGAACATCGCTGAATCTACATTGAAATAAAACATATCTTGTCATGTTTTGTATTTGCCCTTGTCCCCGCGTTTTGCTAGAAATATGTTTATGGTGTTTAAAAAATATAAATAGAGAATCTAGTGAGGATGCAGTGTCACGACATATTCCACGGATTTTGACACTGACGTAGAATTGACAGGAGTGTGTTTCTCGAACCTCCAAAACACATAGGCCTAGATTTCTCTACTCACGTTGACACTTATGAATGTACACTGTTTCTCGTTTCAATTGTAAGGTTTGAAAATAAAATAAACACCTCGTAAATACAGTAATGAAGTAAACACTTACCGCAAAATAGATTTTCCCTCAGCCCTCCGCATCACCCCGATCGTCGTCTGCTTGAAAAGACGCGCGTGAGTAACAGCGCCCTCTATAACAAGAGTAGCTTCCCTTGGAAACATGTTGTGAAAACGTTGGACCAACGTAACATAACCGCTCGCGATATTCCAAACTTTTGCCAATATCATGTAATTTGCTGAATGAATTGTAAGATGTGACGAATCCCGTCTGTATGTTCTCTGTCTGTTGTATATGTGCAGCCAAAATGGTCAGTGAATGTGCTTGATCTATTTAATTTAAAAATTAAAAATAAAGTTAATATTTTGAGTTCAAATAGAAATATTGTATTATTTGTAAATATACTTGATCTATTATTTGTCACATTGTAATCGACAAATGTGTTTTTTTCTTTTATGTTATCATAACAAGATCAAATCATATATCAGGTTCAATGTCAGTGCCAATCACCAGCATTGGCCTGACAGCGGACCGCTGCAGTTTGCCGATGCCGATATTGCCGGCTGTTGCCGATGCAAAGCCAACGTCGGCCCGACGTAGGTGTGCTAGCTGGGCAACTGCCACAGTTGGGTGATAAGTCTTTCATTTTTATTGAGAAAGATGCCTCATTGCTGCACTCTAGAATGAACACTGATGACATCACTGGATAACAAAGGGTGACTAAATGCATGAATGATCTTCAACATATATTAGTTTCTTCCTGTGAATTGTGAACAATCGCCGAAATTCAAACAGATAAAAACCACAAAGAACAAAACGTAAATATATATTTGAACAAGGATTTACATTTCAAATCTACACACAAAAACAAATCTTGTAAATCTGATATTCCTGAACAATATAGATGACCCCCAAATGTTTGACATGAATAAATAGATACACGGTAGCTACGTAGATACTCTGGGTATGAGATAAACATTAACTGTCAATAAATTGCAATTTTCCTTTCGCTATTTGTATCTACTACCAATCAGTCGTCAGACCTTTCATGATAGACCAAAAATATACAATCCAAAGTTTCCTTCTAAAGCGCTGATTATATTTTCCATTCTGAAAATATTACAGAAGCCATTTCTACACAAACTTCATATGAGTTTATGGCATCATTGCGAATCTCTCTTATTAGTAAGGCAAATGCTTTATGATTCCTCTAAAAACGATGAATATAAAACTCCCTTTATAGTTCACAAAAATGCCTAAGAAAACCTAAATTATGGATTGAAAGTATCGAATTGAATGTTAGAAAAGTATCGAATTGAATATTAGAAAAGTATCGAATTGAATGTTAGAAAAGGGTAACATTCCGGTATGCTTTGTTGACAAAATTATAAGTAATATGTGCATTATACATGATTACGTACAAAGAGAATAAATCAAATATTAATTAATACAAATGCATGATTCCCTACCAGGTGAATCTTCAAAGTACAAATGTGTACGATTTTCATGTAAAATATTTAATATTTCGAAAAAATAATTACTTTAAATTTCAGCCATCGTTAATGACAAAATTTATACTCAAATATATACTTGTTGAAGTGATGATGAAGTGATGATGAAAATGGCATCCATTCTCTGATTCAGCTTCCCTTTATCTGAAAGACGAAACACAATTAAGTTATACCAAATTATGTTTACTTGAATCAACAAATCTGAGTATCGTATCACAGGATGCTCTAAAAACGTAGTTTGTTTATTTTCTGTATGAACATAACACCTGGTTAATGCCACGCTCAGCAATATTCAAACTTTATGACGGCGGCATGTAAATAATCAAGTCTGGACCAGACAATCCAGTGATTGATATTGTAAGTAACGATCTACATGGTAGAGATGCAATGACACGCATTCAACCAAGTCTTCGAGCCTGACCCCAGATCCATTATAGTTTGCTAGGAACCCATTCTACACCCGGAATCCCGTCAGTGGATACTGGCTGTAACCATGGTAACGCTGAATCAGTGTTTTTGTTGCCACGGCATGTTTTCCACCGATTGTATCGTTACATAACATTCCACATGAATAGTTTGTACTCATATTTATAGGTTTGAGTTGGTAAAAATGAGAAATACGACTCTGTTAATAGTGAGACTGGTTTAACGCCACTTTTATCGGTGTAACAGTTATATCAGGGCCTGTGAGAAGGAAGCCAGGTAACACAAAGGTCTTACAACTTTGCTGAAACCCACGAGTTCGGGTATGATGCTGACAAACCAAGAATTGTGGTTGGGACGAATCTAGAATTCAAACAAACGGATCCTGGCAAATAAAGTACGACATTCTGCGACCCACTTAAACTCTGAATGGTGACCAGAGTTTATATTACGCAAGAACAGTGCACCCTGATGCTGGTAAACATCATAACCACAAGAGTACCGCATTGCCCAGGGAATACGTACTTACGTCCAGGATATCTCGAGATTGTCCGACATTCGGTGGTCAAGGGATGAAATGACGAGTGTCTGGAAAACCAAAACTAGAAGGTCATGGATGGCGAAAACATAAAGTCTTGAAATACACTCTATACAAAATATATGGTGTTTATTTTATACTACGTTAATATAAATGATTCGACTTTTGTTGTCACGTAAGATTTTTAATTGCGATTGCGGTTCAACTTTAGAAAGAGTACGGAGTTGGACCTTATTCTGGACGAAGCTGTCGTGACTTGTGGCGTTGATGGTGACGGTGCGTATCATCCCTGGCAACCCCCATACCTCCACCATCTGCAACCTCAGAGCCTCCATACCCACCATGGCCTGTGTGACGTTCATAGTCAGCTTGTTCTGAGGGGCATGACAACATGATTGTAGAAAAAGACACTTTTGAGACTTAACATTACAAACAATGGTACATTTAAGGACAGAAAACAAAAATATGCCGTGAGATTAAGTTAACATCGAATAAGAAACGGGTCCTAGGCGGCATAAACGTTAAACTAATTTGTCTTGTGGGTTCTTGGAAGCTATGCATTTAACATCTCCCAAACGATATTCAAACTGTTCAGTGGTTCAACATGCACAGCTGATCCAGTCGTCTAATCCGCCGCAATTCACTGTGCAGGATCGCTTGCCTATGCATACCCATGATATAGGTTCGTATCCCAGATTAGACCTATTTATGTTCTAGGTTCGCGAGCACCATGCCCAAGTTTGTGAGTTTTACCAAAATGATAAACGTCAAAGAATTTTGGGAGTTCCCCTTTTATCAAACTGACATTCCATGATATAACTAAAACGCTGTTCAAAACACTGTTCAAACAAACTCACACACTCTAAGGCAGTGACTGGCTATTTTAATACCTACCTCTTTACAGTCAAACACGGCATGATAGTAGTTGCCTTTCTCGTAAGTATCTAGAATAGATCACACATATAGCATTTTATCTATCATTTTACAAATCTGAAGAAAGATGAAACCTCATGGTTTTTTTCATGATATTTTCTTGTTTACTTGTACGAAAGTACACACATCGGTGGCTTAGTATTATCACCATCATCATCATAATGTATATTTGTGAAAAGAAATATGCCTTTCATGGCCATAAACTTATATTGACCACGACATTACGATTAATACTTTGCAAGTTGCACTCTTAACACAATGAATTTCCACCCATAAACACAATACTGGACATCTATACCCCACAATCGCTGTGTCAACTCCAACCACACCTACCTATCTCCTCCCCGTCATCCCAAAACAGCTCCCCCCTGGCCTGCAACCCTTGGTCCTCCATTTCTCCCAGGGCGACAATCAGGGTGAATGGCGTCTGGCGACTGACAACATAACATTAGAGAATACTGAAAAACTGGATAGCCTCAAGTTACACAAGGTATCATTTCGTCACTATACTAATCTTGTCCGATACTTCCTCGGTACATCTTTATTAGACGTATATCTAGCCTTTCAAATCGTAAATTATTCCATTGCACACTGAAACGGTACACCACACAAGAAATTGTTGAAATCTTGTCAAATTTGTTTGTTTGTTGTTAACGCCGCACTCAACAATATTCCGGCTATGTGACGGCTGTCTTTATATAATCGTGTTTGAACAGACAATCCAGTTATTGACCTCATCAGCATCGATCTCAACCAAATCAGCGAGCCTGACCACCTGATCCCGTTAGTCGCCTCTTACGACAAGCGTGGTTTGCTGAAGACCTCTTCTACCCCGGATCTTCACCTCCACATTTTATACAGTTTTGACAGTGAGAGGATAGACGCGTCCATGTGTTACAGAAACTTCAACTGATGATATATGTAATGATTTAAATATTTAATCATTTTTTCACGATACACCATATGCGGTACCTGAAGTGTGTGTTGTTGGCAGAGTCTTGGAGAGGCAGGACATGACCTCCGCGCACATGCAGGGGGATTTGGGAGTCCGGGCTGATGGGGATATGCAGGTAGGACCTCCCCTCCTCCGCAGCTACATCACCCTACGGAGATGAAGAATCATAATACAGTCATTGCTTTTCCAAACTGGGAGACACAAGGATATTCTGAAGTAGGAGAATTTGATGCTTATGACACACGTCCAAAGAGGACGTTTATATAGTGCCGCTTGTAGTCTTGTTTGATAGTCATTACTTAGAAGTTGACGGATGACAAAGTAGACAAAATTTATGTATAACAACTTCTTTAACACTATAACAAGTGACATTTTGGAATAGGTCCTCATACCGTTATCAAGCAAGGGCAACGGTATAAGGTTCTATACCGAAACTTTGTCGCTTGTAGTCTCCTAAAAAAAATAATATGTAAATTATGTCTCAAAATACCTTGAACAAGCACACGTTTTCTATGCATTCAGAACACACCATGGACGTGGAAATCATACATCTTGGATATCTTGTGATCAGATTATTAAAGAATTAATATTAATGCAAGCAAGGGAGTTGATCAGTTGGTGGATACAACTTTCAACTGTAACATGTCACTCACGGTGTACCAGTCATACCAACGTCCCTGTGGTACGTAGATGCTCAGTGACGTCTGGCCCTGAAACAAGACTTCAAAGATACAGACACTGCATGTAGGGCCATATATATAGGTTATCACGCTTGTGTGTTTGGGGATGGTAAATATCCTGCATTAGGAATAAACATTGTATTTAGCGAGCCTTGGCGAGCTAAATACATAGTACTTACTCCTAATACAGGATATTTACCATCCCTAAACACACAAGCGTGATAACCTCTTTATCATATAATGTCATTCTTTAATTCTTTGCTTTAAAATAGCTCTCCCTCTCTCAAACATTACCGAAACATTGCGAGTTTTCCTGGAATGCGCGCATTAATATTTATTACGTCACAGGGTAAGTGATGTGTCAGTCGGACAGTAGCCAATATAGCTCCAACTAAAATGTGTTTCTTATACAGTGGCGAAGCAACATATACGCAAAACAACAATTGTTTTTACTTGCACTTCGCGGCAATCCATCGGTCTGCCCGCTAGAGTAACTGCCCTTTGTCAAAGGGAAGCTACTCTAACCCTAGTCTATGAGACGTCACGGCCACGTTCAGACGTTGTTGACAGTCGGTCTGTCCTTTCATAACGTCAAGTACAGTCAGATGCACACAGAGCGACAAAACGAAACAAGGTAACCATTCAAACATATTTCGGCCAAATCCAACTATTTTAATTTGTGGAAAAGGTTTCAAGTCGCAGAGGTCGACAAGCACAGATATGGCTACTGATCCCGCTTGGCTGGGCCTAGTGCCCTTGCAAAATTGTTTCGAAATTTATATCTCAAAAGTTGCCAAAAGTTATAAAATGCCTTAGCTACATCACAGTTAGACACTGTTTTTTAGTATGTTAGACTGTTCTTTTGATAATGATAGCAATTATCCCTTTAGTTTATCCAGATTCACAATGGTTAATTCTGACTCGATCGCCGAATGACAAGAGCGACGCCATGTTTGTTTGTAAACACTGAAAGTAGTCCCTACTTGACCTTTGATATTTGCATCTCTATCCGCATATGACCCCAACGGATATCGTTTTTATCCGTTGGCTTTATCCTGCCGAGAAACCTACCCATTGTATGATAAAGTTTCATATCATGATGCACAACAAAACTGCCACCGCCAACAAAAGCTACCACAATCTCTTGACGACACATGTACTGTAAAAAAATTGTGTTTGGATCCTTCCTGCACAGTAAAGAATTGTATGTCTTGGAAGGGATACAGAAATATGATCCTATCTGTAACAAAATTTACAGACCCAAGCCCCTGAATATTTTATGGTCAGTCCCTGGATGGTAACCGCCTCTACCGCAGACAAGTCAAGATCCGGGGTGGAATAGGTCTTCAGCAACCCATGCTTACTGTGAGAGGCGACTATGCTTGTAGTAAGAGGCGACTAACGGGATCGGGTGGTAAGGCTTGCTGACCGGGTTAATACATGTCATCGTATTCCAATTGCGTGGATCGATGCTCATGATGTCAGTCACTGGATTTAATCAGGCTAGATTATTTACAGACAACGATCATATAGCTGGAATATTGCTGAGTGCAACAAACAAACAAACAAACAAACAAACTTCGTGCAGTATGGGTGATATCATGAGAGCGGCGCCCCACAGGAACTGCCGGTCAATCCTGTAGGTGGTCTGGTCTCGTGGAAACCTACAAGCACAGATAATAGTTCACAGTTTAAGTCAAAATAGAAGTCACATTAAAATGATGCATCCTTTTGTTTGCAAGACACATGTACCTTACTACCCTGAACCATTAACATAGTATCTATACAACATGATATATATTGGTGTTGATGGTGACCGTGCTGTGTTAACGTAGTGATGCTAAAACTAGCATCGACTTGTCCATTTATCTCGGAACTTGTTTTACCCCGGAATTTACCATAGGTTACACATTGGTAGAAAAGTAGGTAAGATATCACAGATGCCAACTGCACTGTGATTATACAATGTCAACACCAGAGAACAAACCAGTCTCAATCATCTGCTGATATAGTTTTCATAGGGTAACCAAGGCAAAATAGCTGTGACAAACATATTGTAATTACTATGTTTGATTTGTTTTGTATATCTGGGGAAAGTTGTTAACAAATGATTAGTTTTAAATCAAGTAAAATCATGAGTATCAATATAACGAACGCACCTCAAGGGGTTGGATTTTATGTAATATAATATGCCTTATAAAAAAATCAGTAGGAAGTGTACAAGGGTCGGCTGATACCACATCCATGTATTTACATCCAACTATTTCTCACAAAACCTGGATTATTGTTTGTTTGCTTGTTGTTTAATACCGCACTCAGCAACATTCCGGGAATATGATGGTCACATTTAATAATCAAGTCTGTACCAGACAAACCTGTGGTTAATATTATACCAACGCGCCACGCCTTCGGGTTTGGATGACATGTAATCAAGCAAGTCATCGAGTCTGACCACCTGATGCTCTTTATTCAGGTTTTAAGAAAAGTATGACACATTGTGGAACCTAGTCTGCCCCGAAATGTCCTACACTTGTAAAGTATGGACCTCCTTGAGCTCATCCTGTTTACCCCACTCACGCGTGATGTAGAGGTCTGATGACGGTGTTGCCGTGGCTGTGGGCGCGATGGAACAGTGTGTACAGGTACGGCAGCAGGCGGTACCGCGTCTCCATAGCTTCACGTGATGCACGTGCAACATCCTCGCCAAGGGACCCAGGGTCTTGGCGCTGTGAGGGCAGAAGACGCTCTGTCAGTGGTGACATTCCACATACAATCCTCGATAACACAACGTAGTATACAATCCTCAATTACCCAATACTGTATACATACAATCCTCAATTACCCAATGTAGTAAATATACAATCCTCAATTACCCAATGTAGTATATATACAATCCTCAATTACCCAATACTGTATACATACAATCCTCAATTACCCAATACTGTATACATACAATCCTCAATTACCCAATGTAGTATATATACAATCCTCAATTACCCAATACTGTATACATACAATCCTCAATTACCCAATACAGTATATATACAATCCTCAATTACCCAATACTGTATACATACAATCCTCAATTACCCAATACTGTATACATACAATCCTCAATTACCCAATACTGTATACATACAATCCTCAATTACCCAATACTGTATACATACAATCCTCACTTACCCAATACTGTATACATACAATCCTCAATTACCCAATACTGTATACATACAATCCTCAATTACCCAATGTAGTATACATACAATCCTCAATTACCCAATACTGTATACATACAATCCTCAATTACCCAATGTAGTATACATACAATCCTCAATTACCCAATACTGTATACATACAATCCTCAATTACCCAATGTAGTACACATACAATCCTCAATTACCCAATGTAGTATACATACAATCCTCAATTACCCAATGTACTATACATACAATCCTCAATTACCCAATACTGTATACATACAATCCTCAATTACCCAATGTAGTATACATACAATCCTCAATTACCCAATGTAGTATACATACAATCCTCAATTACCCAATGTAGTATATATACAATCCTCAATTACCCAATGTAGTACACATACAATCCTCAATTACCCAATGTAGTATACATACAATCCTCAATTACCCAATGTAGTATACATACAATCCTCAATTACCCAATACTGTATATATACAATCCTCAATTACCCAATGTAGTACACATACAATCCTCAATTACCCAATACAGTATATATACAATCCTCAATTACCCAATGTAGTACACATACAATCCTCAATTACCCAATGTAGTATACATACAATCCTCAATTACCCAGTGCAGTATATATACAATCCTCAATTACCCAATACAGTATATATACAATCCTCAATTACCCAATGCTGTATACATACAAACCTCAATAGCTCAATTTAGTATATATACAATCCTCAATTACCCAATACAGTATACATACAATCCCCAATTACCCAATAGAGTATATATACAATCATCAATTACCCAATGTAGTATATATACAATCCTCAATTATCCAATACAGTATACATACAATCCCCAATTACCCAATACAGTATATATACAATCCTCAATTACCCAATGCAGTATATATACAATCCTCAATTACCCAATGCAGTATATATACAATCCTCAATTACCCAATACAGTATACATACAATCCTAAATTACCCAATGCAGTATATATACAAGCCTCAATTATCCAATGTAGTATACATACAATCCTCAATTACCAAATACAGTATATATACAATCCTCAATTACCCAATGTAGTATATATACAATCCTCTATTACCCAATGTAGTACACATACAATCGTCAATTACCCAATGTAGTATACATACATTCGCCAATTACCCAATGTAGTATATATACAATCCTTTTCACACAAAAAAGCCATCTTAGTGTTACGACTGTCTTAGCACTAACATCGCTCTGCAGAATGGGTACTGGTATGATCTGTAAAACGGTGTCAACGCATCTCTTCACGGTGAGAAGATTAACGTTTCAGCATACCCTAACACTCTTGCTGTGTACGTACCTTGAACCCGATACCATTATGGTTCCTGGAGAAGGTGTAGAATGCCCCGAGCTGCATCCAGCGCTTACACAGTTCAGGGGTCGTCTCCTCGAAAAACCCGCAAATATCGGCACCGATCTGGATATACACAAATACACAGTGAAATATTTTCATCATTCAAGCTGCTAATGTAGAAAGTACAAACATGTCTTGAACAGTTCATCTTTGTTCAGTATTAAAAGTAACGGCCTTGTTCACTTATTTGAGTAAGTGAGTGAGCATGGTTTTACGCCGCTTTTAGGCATATTCCACCAATATCACGGGGAGACACCAGAAATGTGTGCTTCACACATTGTACCCATGTCGGGATTCGAACACGGGTTTTCGGCGTGACGAGCGAACGTTTTAACCACTAGGCTACCCGACTGCCCCATCACTTAACACAACACTATTTGATCATTTGATTGGTCCAAATTTGGCAAGCAAGTGCAAGTTAATGCTTTAGCCAGTGATATACTGACATGTCCCATGACTTTCAAAACAATATCTAAATATTTACTTGACAAAGGGTCAAGTAGTCGCTCTGAAACATGGTTATAAAAAACAAATTTGTCATCCATCAAAAAAGTGTCATGTATCCAATATCTAAACAGTTTTTGTAATTTCTCCAGTGGACAAGATAGGGCACTAGGGCACTTATCACACCTTGTCAGTAAGCAGGGTCTCACTTCGTCATTTAGGTCATACATTGCGATTAGGAAGGGCAATAACTTCTCATGCAGGACAACACCTCGTCATTAAGAAGGATGATATTTTGTCATTAAACTGGATCATACTTAGTCATTATGAATGACCATACCATGTCATTAAGTTTGCCAAGCAGAAGAAAACGGCATATATTCATATATAGGCCTCGGTATCTGTTAACAGAACACTTCGCAAGCTGTATACTCACATACGGGATACCAAAGAGGTTGAACTCAAGGATGCCTGTAAGAAAAACATAATCATTTGTTTATTGAGATGCATATTTGTGACAACAGATTGCAAGTAATCAAGTCTTGACCAGACAATCCAGGGATTGTTAAACCGCGACATATCCCACACTGTTGGAATACACTAAGATAAAATTAACCATGTCACGGAGCCTGACTATCCGTTTAGTCATGTTGTATGGCATGAACATGTTCGTGACATCTTCACGGGGCAGGTTAGTTAACTGACAATAAAAGTTGAGTTTCAACCCTTACCAAACTAGGCTGGAATTATAGAGTTTTATTTTGGCTGGACTAACAAAGTCCATAGTCCAATGAAAATTCCCGGAGCCAAATCAACATCCGGTTTGAAAACTGCAGTTTGTGTGAAACAAATGCAAATGGCATCAGAGGTGGAATCTGAGTGGTCGCTAGGAGGGACATAGCCCAGGGATTCCAGCCTAGTTAGGCAAGGGTGGAAACGTGGCTTTTACAGACAGTTAACTCCCTTGTCTCTGGAGGATGCTTTTTAGGTACCTTTCCTAACCCTGAACACCATACCACTGACCATACCATTAAAAATCATTTTCTAATTTTCCTCAAACACTTAATTTTTTTAATTTTCGCTATTTCGTTTGATTATCAGTTTCTGCACCAATACAAATATTAAAACAGGATACCTATAGTCGACATGAGGGGACATGTTGTCCTGAATTCTGTAATCGGTGCGTTTAACCATAATCACAAAGACACTCGGCAGTCCCTCCTACCTGTGACTGAGACCACCATGTCCCTCCATTTGCTGGCGTTGTCCCCAAGCCAGTGGCCGGAGTGCTTGCCGCTGCCCGGGAACGTGGACCTGGTCACGACAATCCCTCGCTTACCAGTCGCCTGCTGCAGAGCCCTGTGATGGACGTAGTGTTATTAAAGTACTTCGGCATGTACAGGTGCAAGGGGTTTTCACAAGTACTTTATCCTTCAACTTTGAATATCAATGTATGTGAACAATAATAACGTTAAATGCCACAACAAATCATTTGTTTATTGGAATGCCTGTCCATGTTCGTTTGTTCTTTAAACAAAGCATTGTTCCAGCTACATGACGTCAGATGTATGTATATTCCAGCTTTAATTATGACGTTGTCGGTATATGAGAAAGCTCGGGAGCGTCAGTTTTTGATGTGCGATTGAACCCCACTGTCCATACATAGATTGGTGCAGTTACTCCCTTAGAACTGGTCATTTTGACTCACATTACAGCTGGTCATTGAGACTCACATTTGAGAGGGGTCATTGTCACTCACATTTAAGAGGGGCCATTGTGACTCATATTAGAGAGTGGTCGTTGTGGCTCACATTAGAGAGGGGTCATTGTGACTCACATTTAAGAGGGGTCATTGTGACTCACATTAGAGCTGGTCAATGAGACTCACATTTCAGATGGCTCATTGCGACATTAGAGCTGGTTATTATGACTCACATTTGAGAGTGGTCATTGTGACTCACATTAGAGAGTGGTCATTGTGACTCACATTTGAGAGGGGTCATTGTGACTCACATTTGAGAGGGGACATTGTGACTCACATTAGAGCTGGTAATTGAGACTCACATTTGAGAGGGTTCATTGCGACATTAGAGCTGGTCATTGAGATTCACATTTGAGAGACTCACTGTGACTTACATTTGAGAGTGGTCGTTGTGACTCACCTAAGAGTGGGTTCAGTCTGGCTCCAGCCATACAGACTGTGGACGTTGTAATGCTGATATTCCCCACGCTCTCCCTGTACAGCAGTCATACAGATTGTCTTCTCTGAGATGCGGGCAAGTCTGTCAGCATTATCGTAGTGGAACGAGGCACCTGAATACCATTTAAGTGTGATCATATAAAAAAAGAAAAATATCAACTGTCCCCAAAGTTCTTGAAACAAAAGATTAGGCTTCAGACTGTTGAAAACATGAATTTTCTACCCCAAAAATTACATTGTTGCATGGTGTGTTTCTTTTAAAAAAACCATCATGCTCATTTCACGAATTAATTCATTAATTCACGATAGTTATAAAATACCTTGCTCTAAAATATCCGTGTCTTCCTATGAAGCCAACACAAATTTAATGTTAACAAATTTTGCAATCAGTAAAACACCCACGTGTTCTGTATGGGGGATCCTCCAAGCTGCCGACGGGACACTTCAAGCTCCAGTAGGGCGTGGCATTGACAGGCCAGTTGAAGGGTTTCTCCTCGTTGGTGCCGAAATTGGCAGGTTCGTTCATGTCCTGATTGAAGGTGTCAGTGTTAATGTATAGCCTATGCGTGGTGATGTCATGAAACTCGAAATAACAAACTCATGAAAACTTTATTCATTAAACTCATAACACGGTACTACCTATTCAGCAAGAATAATTTTCAGAAGTCCAGTTATTACTTACAATCCAAAGTCCATCAAAGTAGAGAGTGCGGGAGTGGTTGTTGATGAGCTCGCCCCACACCCGCCGTGTAGCGTTCTTGAAGAAGTCAGGGAACACTGTCTTGCCCTTCGGCCACACCTTATGAATTGAAGCCATGATGTTTCAGATGTGTAAATACATTTAGTTAATTACTAGTGGTGGGCCGATACACCAATGCATCGCGATATTTCCCTTCCCGACACAAGTAACTATCACAGTCGCACGCGTAGTAAAAAATAGATTCACACCTTAAATGTTTATTTTAAAGGCTGTTACACCAAACACAAATTAAAAGTGAAAAAGTAAATATTTTCATCCTTTGCGCCATACGTGACACTGTCAACTGTAATTGATCAGTGCGCCAGGTATTTGGCCATCCTGTCTGTGTCCTGTCACAGATAAGAGCACACAAAAGTATTGTGATACGTGTCGGACCGTGAACAAGTTATCATGATATGTAACAGATCACAAAGTTGGTGCATCGTCCCAGCCTAATTAATTCCACTGACCAAGGGGCATAACTGTGCCCAGACGACTAGACCAACGGTGATTTTACAGGAAATCGCAAGGTTAACTTAAACATTTTACAACAGGAAGTAGGGGAGCAGGTAAACACTCAATGACATTATGTGAACGCAACTGCAACCATTTGTCATCGATTAGAATTGTGGTTGTTGCTGTGTCCGCAATTGGTCAATGTAACATGCACCCATTCTGTGAAACGACCTCTTCAATACAATAGTTCCGAGTCCTACGTACATATCCCAGCAGGGCGTTGTCGGTGTCGTTGCTGCCCACAGGGATGTCGACACCGCTGGGCCACATGATGTTACCGCCTACCGCCTTCATCGCGTCGTAGGGCACGTAGCGGGTGTTGTTGGAGATGATGGCTGGGTCCTGGGTTTGACAAAGAATACATCACAGACCTTAGTCACTGGTTTCTAGGATTCAGTAATATTAAGGAGCAATTTGGCAACAAAGGGCTCTGTGGTAAATAAAGCATTCAGAGGTATACAGTGACTTAAGCCTTTTTAGCTCTTTGGTAACAAAGGCATCAAGAGCTCTGAGTATTAGAAACCTTATGATATGATTGGACATTTTCCGACTTGAAATCCCCACAGAGAGACAAACCCTGCAAAATCTCAATGATTGATACAGAATCAGGTTCCACACTATTGCATATCCAAAGTCAAACAAGAAGGTGCAACTATTTACATCGACAAGTAACGTGTCTGACACGTGTGCGACACCAGTGCCATCCCTACCAGTATGATGATGTTTCTCATGCCCCCAGCACGGAGCGTGTTGAAGTAGGTGTTGAGACCGGGGAAGTTGACGTTGTCAACGGTGAAGTCTTTCCGCTCGTCCATGTGGTCGATATCAACGTACTGGACGTCCTGTGGAGGAACACTGCACATCTTGTACACAATGTGGATGATAATTACATGGATTGATGTTTTTCTCTTCATTCGTCTAGATTCATATTTCAAAAATTATATCCGGAAAAAGACACGTATGATAATGCATATTCAATAATCTACAATGTGCTTCAGATCAAGTATTGCGAAGAATGTGCCTCTGTCTTGACGAGAGTGAGTAAAAAGGGTCTTGACTAACAGTAAGTCCCAGAAAGTCCCAGAATAAAGTTATCTTATTTAAATATAAATGTCTACTAAATAAAACATAAAATCAAAATGGAGTCCACAATAATCCTCCCTAGACTTGCCTAATCATTCTAGACATGATTGAGCTGGATTCATTTTTTAGTTTAATCTCTCAGGCCTGGGAGAAAGACAGATAACCATAGCCACATGCATGCACGTGTGTGCGTGTGTGTGTGGCTGCTTGTACTAGTCCTGACTGTTACCGATTTATATTGCTAGCCCACTGAGATATTATGCCGGTTTAACATGAAAACCTCACATAGGTACATAGTATACTGACTCCGAGCTATCCAGTCCTTGTTTTAGACCCTTAATGATGAGCGCCAGACAGGGTAACAACAAGTACCATATTTTAACGTCTTTAAAAGACGCGACCAGGGATCGAACCCGGGAACTTCTCCGCGTAGACGTTCTACCACTAGACCACGGAGGTGGTACCTTGAGAAGGATGGCAGGTATATATGGGAGGCAACTCGTGTTGCCATGACATACACTCGTGAAGTTACATAGGACAATCTCGGACATCATTGGGAGGAATACATTTTAGAACTTGATTCAATCGTCTCATTCATTGGTCAACTTGACTATCACATTTACAGAACACATTGTGGCAGCATTCTTGACCAATATATGAATGTTGGTCGATATCAAATTGTATACCCTATGTCTATTAAATATACAAAGACACTTTTCAAGATCGGCAGTCATGTTGTACAAACTGAATGTGCAAAAAAGAATCGATGTTTGATTTGCAGGGAAATAATGCACTACTTCATTTTTCTGCCCAAGATAGAAGTACGTAACGGAATAAACCATTCGACTGAATGGTTTTACCTACGTAAAGGGAGGCAACTCCCATAACCTTGAAACCCTTGGAAATTCTCTCCCTTTTTATTAATGTGATCGTGCTCTGTCATTCAAAATTGGTCAACAGAAAGATGATCACTAAATGACGGATTGGGTGTCAGACAATATACGAAAGGCGGTACACATCCTCAGGGAAGTTCTGTACCTACATGGGGTATCCCAGCATTCCTCGTGGCGTCGACCGCTTCCTGTACTGACGACAGATTGTTGTAGCCGTATCTGCACAGCTGGAAGCCCAGCGACCAGTAGGGCGGCATGTGAGGACGACCGATCACCTGGACGACACCAACATCGTTAGCAACATCACAGGTACTTCTCGTCTTTAGTGTCATGTTGACTTTGACAAATCAAGTTGCTGAACATGTTTTTTTATAATAAATATAGCTGTATGCTTTTTTACGGATGTTGAAGCGTATGTGTTTGACATTACCATGCAATATCCATTGTGCCAAGGCAATGGGATATGAATCTATGATTCTATGAATCTATTATACCAGACACCATAAAATGTATTTAATTGTTTCTGATTATTGCTTAAAATCAGGAAATCATTTTTTGGGAGGCAGCCATCATTGCTCGTAACACTTCATGTCTAAATCACTGCGTGTGTTTGACATAGGCTGTGTGGGTCTAGTGAGGTATATGAAACTAGATTTTTCACCAGTCCATGTGCGGTTCTAACCACCATGGCATCGTGACTGTCAGGGAATTCAGTTGTAAGATGCTGCTGCCGTATCATGCAGACTACCTGTGTGTACTGCTGGACGACCGACTCTGGTTCTGGCCCCAGGAACATGTAGAAGTCCAGGATGCCGCCGATAGTTCGGTAGATCAACATTGGCAGCGGTGTGAAGGAATAGTCTGGAATCGATAATACAACTTGGCATCACCAGCTGACTATTTGAGGTACTTCCTCACTCCTAATGCCCTTGAAGTGATATTACCATGTTCGAAAAACAACAGGCTCCATAAACTTCAAAACCTTGCCAAAGGATATTTCAATTTAATTCACAAAGGAATGTTATTCCGAGTAATTAGGTTATTCTTTATATTTCCCATTGCCCTTTTCCCTGAGATAGTTTAGAAAAACAGGAAACAACAGCTCGGCCAAATTTTTGAATGACGTCAAATAACATCGTTTGTGACGTTTATCGGATGACGCCATCCTCAATTATTTGTGACAATGAGTTTAAAAGGCGACACTTTTGTATGGGTCTCTTCACAAACAATGACAACACATGGAACAGGTGGTAGGAACTAGCCAATCAGCACGAAGGACAAATTATAATGCACAGTGAGAATTGACTGAAACTGTAACCTGTAAACGGAATATAATATACTAAGGTAACGTCAGCAGCGTATATGACAAGAAGCGGTGTACAGATCTACGTTATATATCCACTGTGGAGATGCCGCGTGTCACCACTGCTCCATGTACATACCCTGGGCGTTACTGTTGAGCAGGAGAACACCATGGGACTGCCCGTCTTCCTCCATAGCCATATAGAACGGGTGGACGCCATAGTGGTTCTCGTACGTCTGCATGACACAATGTCGTCGCTTTAGTAACTTCTTAACTTAAATTGGTGTTTATGAAAGTCTACAAAGATCTCGGGTAAATATGTAAATAGGAAAACAGAGACAAGTTGGGTGACTGTACTGGGAAGAGTCATCGGCCCGTGAGACTGAAGACTGATTGCGTTTGTTACTCTTAGGGATGGAAATATTTATGCATGGGTTGAAGAAAAGCTGCAACATTTGGTCTAAGTGCCAGAAAAAATTGGAAATATTCAGTTTGACGTGACCAAATACTGTAGAAACGTACTGCTTGACTGCAATGGTCCTATAGGGGTCTTCCTTCGCTTACTAATCTGATATAGTATTCATTTTTCATGCTGTCCGACTGACCGATGAACTTAGGTAGTTTACCGAATTATTTTCGACAAGAAGAGTTTGATAGCACGAACTGAATCTACAACTTGAGGGAATAGAAATTAGTTATCACTGAGATAAGGGTTATGACTCATGGCGCATGGCATGAAACATTATTTGTGTAGGGGTAAGCTGAAATTACAATCCGTAGTATTGTGTGAGTTGTCAGAGAGAGGAATGAGTGTTCCAGGTACCAAATATGACCAGATAGGCTCTCTCTCTCTGTATATTGGAAGTCTGGATCAGATAATGTGATAGAGTTAAGAGTTGGTAAGAAGTACCAACAGACTCTTCGAAGATATGTGTTGTGTATAAACAAGCCAGGCAACAGAAGCACATCTGAGGACCTCATGTGTGCAATGTACAAAATTCATGTCCACAATAAATAGACCTTAGCAACAAATTTGACTTGAGATTTAAACAAGCTACATCATCCCCTGAACCAAGGAGTGGTAAGAATCAGTTGCTGAGGTAGGAGGGTAGCATTCCTTGATAACATAATTATAAACAATGCAACAGCAGACTGGGAACTTTGTGAAAGCCAATCCAACTTACACTGTACATCGTCCACTGGTCACGCGACCACATCGGCCATGTTTTGAACCACAGATTATGTCGGAACTTGTCATGGGTGTTCTCGCCGAAGCCGTAGATGTTTGTGGAGGGAAGCCTGGTTGCGATCTGGAGGAACTGGTCGTCGAATGTGAAGCCACCGACCGTCGTGTCCCAGCTGGGGAGAGGACAACATCAAGTCATTACACAGCGAGGTGTGGGAGATGACACATCATATGTTAGGATCTGACATTTGGCAGGAACGGAAGAGCATCGTTACAACACGCTTGCTTCATGGATAACACAAATAAAACACATCTCAATGAAGGAGGGAAGTTACTTGCAACACATTTTATAAGATATGCTGATATCACTGTCCAACTGAAATGGGTGATGTTTACCACCTTGGCGTGACCCATGATCATATTACGTTCTCATTGAAACTGGTATTCAAACTAAACTGTCAGTCAAAAGTAAGCATGAAAACTGGATTTGAAAAGAATTTACAAAAGAAACACTTCAAACTTAAGGTCCAAACCAGAACTGTGATACCTGTATGAAATACATGCCCATCGAATAACCATTTCTTGTTTGTTTCATATTTAGTTACCATCAATTATTGGCGTCTACTTTCTTTTTCCCAGCAGTTTATGTACAATTAATGTCCTAAAAAAGCTATGTCATCTTAAGACGCGGACTCTAAACCTGAATTTCAAAGATCATCACTGAATTGAGTTGCTGCCCGCATTAACAAAATAGAACAGCCTGGAGGCTGCAAAGCTTAAAGTGGTCCTAAGTAACCCACATTGGTCACAATGCGTGATGCTCCTTTCTCGTGTCCTCTTGCTGGAATATTGCAAAAAGCGACGTAAAACCATACTCACTCACTCACTCACTCACATTCTCACTACTTACAGGACTGCTCCAGAGCTGTGTCGTATAATCCGGAAAGCAAAGGTGTCATTATTAGTGATATCCAGGCGATACCAAGGTTCCGTAGCTCTCGTGTTCGGCAACTCCAGAGGAACAGGTACTTCATATCGGGAAAAGGAGGAGTCGTAGAACTGGACAAAAAGTATGACCGCAATTTATTTGATGCTACCTTTTAAGTTGAAAACGTACATTCCTTATAACTGTTTAACATAAAAAATGACAATCAGCATTTCAGAGATGCAAACTGTTAATTGCATTTGGAGCTGGCGAAATCACAGTGACGTTGTTGAAGGGTATGGCAATATGATGCGCTATGCTATGCCATGCTTTGACCTGTACATGAAAATTGACAGAGTGACAAATATTTGTGACGAGGTGATAATTCTCTGGCGTGGATGCTTTAATTTATCTATGATGTTGTGTGTGTCTGTTTGACAACGGAAAGAGTAATATGGTGCTTGAAGCACTTTGATCTGTGTCTGCACAAACTAGAGACATGACACACTGAATTTCTAGAACAAAGAGACCGTCTCTGTGGTCTAGTGGTAGAGCCTCCGCCAAGAGAGCGGAAGGTCCGGGGTTAAACTGCGGCATGGTATCTCAGTGAGCTAGCACTATAAATCGGCATCAGTCAAGACTAGTACAAGCAGACACACACACACGTACATGCACGTCGCTATATAAGTGCAATAATCTTGGACGCGACGTTTAACCAATTTTCCTTACATCTAGGACAAAGTTATAATTTCAAAACTAACCTTAAATCGGAGCAAGTTGTTGTCAAGTTCTTCTACTTCAAATGTCACATTAGTAATATCCTTTCCAAAGGGACCAGGGGAACTCTCAATCCTGGTCAAAGGTATCCGGAATCCCAGGGTAGTCTGTTCCACTAACCCTGACACACGGTAGCCATAGTTGGTCTGAGGGAAGTAGCATTCCGGGACGGAAGTGTCTCCTGCGGCTGTGAAGATGCAGCGTCTTTGATTGCACGACGTCTCATTGACCGTGACCACACGACCTTGGACTTCTGGGTAGCAGTCAATCTTCGTGTAGTCTTCGGGCGATGCTGACCTAGGGGATATTCAAGGTCATGCAGCCCAAAATGTAGTATCTCCTGGTACACGGCACTATTTAACTTCAACATGACCATTCATTTCATTGACACCTGGTGTCATTATTGTACGTATGTGAGATTAGAGTAGGTCAAAACCTTTTACCACGGAATATATTCATGTTTTGAGTACAAGCATGAATATCTGCAGGCATTTATTCTGACAGATCTGGTATGTGGAGAAACTGTTGCCTTGAAGGTAAAGGCAAATACTCCTGTTCTACCAATAAATTTGTAATGTGAGTTCACAAAAATGTGTTTGGCTACTCCTTCAGAAACAAAACTTATGAGCATTTCTGATTAAATGCAATGTTTTTATACTTCCCTGACGCTACACAGTACTATATGTTTAGCGCCAGGTAAGGTAAAACGTATACTTGCATGACCAGCAAATCTACCCACAACATGATAAAATGGTCGGGGGTTCATGCTGATAATGAAAAGCTAATCTAGTTTAACCAATCCGCTAGAGGTGTGAGGTTAATATGAGTGGAGGTACAAATGTTTGTTCCAGTAGCAAATATTTAAACATAGCATGGCTAATAGCTTCAATTATTTTCTTAAAGTAAACACGTGGAAGTACAACTCAGAGTACAACTCAGAGTGATAATAGGGATATGCGTCTGAGGCAACTATGACAGACGAGGATTTTACATGTGCATGTACTTCCAGGCTGACACGGATGTGTTGTGCGAGGCAATATACTGTGACTAGCAGTGGCGTTATTTCCACGTATCATTACACTCACGTCCAGGAGAGCTGGAATGGTTGATTCACGGGGAGGTCATCGGTGATCTGGAGAATCTGAAATAATCAAGAAAGAGTTGCATTTATAAATGATTTTTACTGATTGTGCATGAGCAGGACTGGCCATCATGCAGTAGTTTCTTCTTGATGTTGATGTCACAGAGCAAGTAAAGTGATTTTTTAGTGATTTTCATGCGAATATCAATTGACTTATATATACACATAGAAATAAGTCAAGCCACACCCGTATATTCTAAGACCGGGCAACTTTAATGAACTAGTGCATGAAATGTGTAAAGGATTTCCATACCAAATAAATTATATTATTTAACGACAAGAAGGGTTGATGGGGAACATAGCCAAGATTACTATGAAATAATGTGGGTTATTTAGGAGATGTTACAGATATGGAAAATAACTTAATTTCATCCAAAGAAATTACGAATGTCACTTTTGTTGCACAGACTAAACTGTCTGTACCATGCACACGTCTGGTTCACAGAATTGAAGAATAATGTCAGAATTAAATCCAGAGATTGATCCAAAGAATGAGGTGGCGTCTTGAAGCAGTTGTTCGGGTTCAGGGAGGTTACACAAGATACTGATGGAAAGTCAATATTTGGACTTGCAGGACATTGTTCTTCAATTCCGTGAACCAGAAGTACCACTCCTTACCTTTGTATCTACATCATATGAAAAGTCGAGGTCCCACTCCTTACTTTTGTATCTACATCATATGAAAAGTCGAGGTCCCACTCCTTACCTTTGTATCTACATCATATGAAAAGTCGAGGTCCCTCTCCTTACCTTTGTATCTACATCATATGAAAAGTCGAGGTCCCTCTCCTTACCTTTGTATCTTCATCATATGAAAAGTCGAGGTCCCACTCCTTACCTTTGTATCTACATCATATGAAAAGTCGAGGTCCCACTCCTTACCTTTGTATCTACATCATATGAAAAGTCGAGGTCCCACTCCTTACCTTTGTATCTACATCATATGAAAAGTTGAGGTCACATCCCTTACCTTTGTATCTACATCATATGAAAAGTCGAGGTCACATCCCTTACCTTTGTATCTACATCATACGAAAAGTCGAGGTCACATCCCTTACCTTTGTATCTACATCATAATTAAATTTGAGGTCACATCCCTTACCTTTGTGTCTGCATCATATGTGAAGTTGAGGTCTCTGTTCTCAGATACCAGTCTGACCGTGTTGACCTGCACCTCCACTCCGAGGACAATGATGTTGTCTATGTAGAGGTCATTGACCTCAGACAGTGTGTTGTGGTCGATAGTTAAGTCCAGTACATTCTGTGAAAATTGAGGCTTAACTGTCATATAAGCCAGTATATTTTACCATTTGTAAATACAAGGGTTCTATTTACAGCGAATCGGTAATGGCGTAATAGTTTCGTTGCCATACACAGGAGGCAATCTGTTCCAATATTTATTTTTGTTTGTTTGTTGTTCAACGCCGCACTCAGCAATATTCCATCTATATGACAGCGGTCTGTAAATAATCAAGTCTGAACCAGACAATCCAGTGATTTATATCATGAGCATCGATCCACGCAATAGGGATACAGTGACATGCATCAGCCGATCCCGTTAGTCGCCTCTTACGCCAAGCATGGGTAGCTGAAGACCTATTCTAACCCGGATCTTCACAGGTCGTTCAAATATTTAAAACATGTTGTCACAACCATACTTGCAGATAACATTATGTTGGTTGATTGTGTGGGGATGTACTTACGTCATGGGCATAGAGGGTGGACATGTAGTAGTTCCCATTCTCATACGTGTCTGAAACAGGATTGTTTATGTTGGAAATGAAAAGGCTTGCTTAAATACAAATCCAACAAAGTGACGCTTGTGTCAAATTATGAGACAATAACGCACTGTGCTGTGACATTGATAAACAAACATGAAATACTCATTCACGCCAATACGTCGACTTGTCTGCTTGTGTGCAAAGCAAGAAATATTGTACGGTTTTCAAGATCTGCCCTGGAAAGAAGCACTAACGCTATTTTCAGTCTAAGTCAAAGTCGATGCCATGGAAACTCTAGTTCACCACAAAACCTATCTCTCATGATTTTTGAGTTCTGCTCCGGAAATGAAACATGACGGCCGGACGGACAGCACCAGTTCCCATATCCCCTTCCACTTCACTTCCTAAATGATTATTAATTATTAATTATTAATATAATAATCATTTATAATAATTATTACTGATTAATTATTATTATTATTATTATTACCGTTGGACTTGGCATATTTTTAAGGATGTTTTTTGTGTTTAAAATGGAAATTAAAATGAAACGTGCTGCGAACTGCGGTGCCTGAGAACCAAGACTATTATATGTTTTAGCCTTATCATTATTAACATAAACAAGTAATCTTCAAAAATTGTAACCTGTATTACTTTTCTGACGAAATATAAAGTGACATATTCATACAGAAATACAGAAGCAGAAATTGATGATCACATATTTCATTGCAGAGTAATGTGACTAATATGCATCTTTGTACCATCGAATATACAGTGTTCCGTCAGATACTTCAGTGATACTACGGACATTATCGGACATTATTAATATGAGGTCAATGATATTTCTAAAGGTTTCCAATGGATTTCTCAAGGAAAGGTTTGGTTTTAATTACATGTTTAGGATATGTGAAAATAAAGGAGGTTTGGTGCTTAGCTCTTTCTATATGTATAGTTTAACAGCACATTTAAATACAAAAAATTAAAATTATCGACGACATCACCTTATATATAATAATGTTGTGTCTTCATTGATTGTGGGTACTCACCAATGGATTCGCCGTCATCCCAGTATAACCAACCTTTAGCTGCGTTGATAGGGCACAGAGGGACCAGGATTGTGAAGGGGTTCTTGCGACTTGAGTGGAGAGAAAATACAATGACGATATGAACCCTCTCGTATCGCAGGAAATTTCCGTGGTTACGCCAGATAAACAAATAGGTCCTCAGCAATCTATGCTGGGCAAAGGGGCGACTTAACGGTGACATGGTGGATTGCATGTCATCGTACCCATTTGCATGGGATGATGCTCATGATGTCAATCACTTGTTTGTATCGCCCAGAGTCGAGTATTTACAGACCGCCATCATACAGCTGGAATATTGGTTGTTTCTTGTTTGTACTGCAGTATTACAGCTATCTGACGGCTGTCTTCAAATAATAATCGAGTCTGGACCAGGCAATCCAGTGATTGACAACATGAGCATCGGTCCACGCATTTGGGATGGATGACATGCACTAACTACCCGATCCCTTCATAGTCGCCTTTTACGACAAGCATAGTCGCCTATTACAGCAAGCATGGGTAAAGACACAAAGTAGCCACATCAAATCCACTATCAGTCACAAGCATTGTGCTATAAGAGTTAGGGAGTGAGTGAGTATGGTTTTACGCTACTTTTAGCAATATTCCAGCAATACGTTGTTCCAATATGGGGACTCGAGCCTGTGCCTTTGGCGTGGCGAGCGAACACATAAACAACTAGGACACCACCGCCCCTGTTCCATCAGAGAACGCAATGGCCATTACAAGATTGTGTTGTTTAACCGTAGGAAATTATATTTTGACACAGAAACATCGAAGTATCGAATCAGAGTAATGATCGGAAATAATATTATGATGATAAAAAGTGGTATTTCTGTATTATGTTTTTTTATTATTAATCTCCATGTACCTGAAATGTGTATTGTTAGCCGGTTCCTGTGTAATAATGATATATCCGCCACGAAGGTGGAGTTGTACTGGGGTGTCTGGCTTGACCGGGACATCCATATACATCTGTCCAGTCTTAGTAACTTCTTTCATCTGAAAACATATTAGTACAGGTCAAAGCAGGTCAAAACACAGTTAATGCATTGTGAATAGAACATGGCTGATGTATCCTTATATCATATAAGTGAGTTGAGTTAATGATTGCGTGAGTGAGTGATAGGGTGCGTGAGTGATTGAGTAATAGAATGATTGAGTGAGATATATAATGTGTCTCTGAGAAGAACTTCAGATATATCACATGCCAGCTTACCACTTTAGTGAGATCAATCTACAAAATCTATGACCATGCATTTGGTGCCGAATGACCCCGGATCATATTCGGGATGCATCGAGGATTCAACCTGACCATCAGCCCACTAGCTGTACAGTGAACTACCACACCTCTGACCATCACCCCACTGACTGTACAGTGAACTACCACACCTCTGACCATCAGCCCACTGACTGTACAGTGAACTACCACACCTCTGACCAACAGCGCCACTGACTGTATAGTGAACTACCACACCTCTGACCATCAGCCCATTGACTGTACAGTGAACTACCACACCTCTGACCATCAGCCCACTGACTGTACAGTGAACTACCACACCTCTGACCATCAGCCCACAAACTGTACAGTGAACTACCACACCCCTGACCATCAGCCCACTAACTGTACAGAGAACTACCACACCTCTGACCACCAGCCCACTGTCTGTACAGTGAACTACCACACTTCTGACCATCAGCCCACTGACTGTACAGTGAACTACCACACCTCTGACCATCAGCCCACTGTCTGTACAGTGAACTACCACACTTCTGACCATCAGCCCACTGACTGTACAGTGAACTACCACACCTCTGACCATCAGCCCACTGACTGTACAGAGAACTACCACACCTCTGACCATCAGCCTACTGACTGTACAGTGAACTACCACACCTCTGACCATCAGCCCACTAACTGTACAGTGAACTACCACACCTCTGACCATCAGCCCACTGACTGTATAGTGAACTACCACACCTCTGACCATCAGCGCACTAACTGTACAGTGAACTACCACACCTCTGACCATCAGCCCACTGACTGTATAGTGAACTACCACACCTCTGACCATCAGCCCACTGACTGTACAGTGAACTACCACACCTCTGACCATCAGCCCACTAACTGTACAGTGAACTAACACACCTCTGACCATCAGCCCACTAACTGTACAGTGAACTAACACACCTCTGACCATCAGCCCACTGACTGTACAGTAAACTACCACACCTCTGACCATCAGCCCACTGACTGTACAGTGAACTACCACACCTCTGACCATCAGCCCACTAACTGTACATTGAACTACCACACCTCTGACCATCAGCCCACTGACTGTACAGTGAACTACCACACCTCTGACCACCAGCCCACTGACTGTACAGTGACCTACCACACCTCTGACCATCAGCACACTGACCTCACAGTAAACAACCACACCTCTGACCATCAGCCCACTGACTGTACAGTAAACTACCACACCTCTGACCATCAGCCCACTAACTGTACAGTGAACTACCACACCTCTGACCATCAGCCCACTGACTGTATAGTGAACTACCACACCTCTGACCATCAGCCCACTGACTGTACAGTGAACTAACACACCTCTGACCATCACCCCACTAACTGTACAGTGAACTAACACACCTCTGACCATCAGCCCACTGACTGTACAGTAAACTACCACACCTCTGACCATCAGCCCACTAACTGTACAGTGAACTAACACACCTCTGACCATCAGCCCACTAACTGTACAGTGAACTAACACACCTCTGACCATCAGCCCACTGACTGTACAGTAAACTACCACACATCTGACCATCAGCCCACTAACTGTACAGTGAACTACCACACCTCTGACCATCAGCCCACTGACTGTACAGTGAACTACCACACCTCTGACCACCAGCCCACTGACTGTACAGTGAACTACCACACCTCTGACCATCAGCCCACTGACTGTACAGTGAACTACCACACCTCTGACCATCAGCCCACTGACTGTACAGTGAACTACCACACCTCTGACCAACAGCGCCACTGACTGTATAGTGAACTACCACACCTCTGACCATCAGCCCACTGACTGTACAGTGAACTACCACACCTCTGACCATCAGCCCACTAACTGTTCAGTGAACTACCACACCCCTGACCATCAGCCCACTAACTGTTCAGAGAACTACCACACCTCTGACCATCAGCCCACTGTCTGTACAGTGAACTACCACACTTCTGACCATCAGCCCACTGACTGTACAGTGAACTACCACACCTCTGACCAACAGCGCCACTGACTGTATAGTGAACTACCACACCTCTGACCATCAGCCCACTGACTGTACAGTGAACTACCACACCTCTGACCATCAGCCCACTAACTGTACAGAGAACTACCCCACCTCTGACCATCAGCCTACTGACTGTACAGTGAACTACCACACCTCTGACCACCAGCCCACTAGCTGTACAGTGAACTACCACACCTCTGACCATCACCCCACTGACTGTACAGTGAACTACCACACCTCTGACCATCAGCCCACTGACTGTACAGAGAACTACCACACCTCTGACCATCAGCCCACTGACTGTACAGTGAACTACCACACCTCTGACCATCAGCCCACTAACTGTACATTGAACTACCACACCTCTGACCATCAGCCCACTGACTGTACAGTGAACTACCACACCTCTGACCACCAGCCCACTGACTGTACAGTGACCTACCACACCTCTGACCATCAGCACACTGACCTCACAGTAAACAACCACACCTCTGACCATCAGCCCACTGACTGTACAGTAAACTACCACACCTCTGACCATCAGCCCACTAACTGTACAGTGAACTACCACACCTCTGACCATCAGCCCACTGACTGTATAGTGAACTACCACACCTCTGACCATCAGCCCACTGACTGTACAGTGAACTAACACACCTCTGACCATCACCCCACTAACTGTACAGTGAACTAACACACCTCTGACCATCAGCCCACTGACTGTACAGTAAACTACCACACCTCTGACCATCAGCCCACTAACTGTACAGTGAACTAACACACCTCTGACCATCAGCCCACTAACTGTACAGTGAACTAACACACCTCTGACCATCAGCCCACTGACTGTACAGTAAACTACCACACCTCTGACCATCAGCCCACTAACTGTACAGTGAACTACCACACCTCTGACCATCAGCCCACTGACTGTACAGTGAACTACCACACCTCTGACCACCAGCCCACTGACTGTACAGTGAACTACCACACCTCTGACCATCAGCCCACTGACTGTACAGTGAACTACCACACCTCTGACCATCAGCCCACTGACTGTACAGTGAACTACCACACCTCTGACCAACAGCGCCACTGACTGTATAGTGAACTACCACACCTCTGACCATCAGCCCACTGACTGTACAGTGAACTACCACACCTCTGACCATCAGCCCACTAACTGTTCAGTGAACTACCACACCCCTGACCATCAGCCCACTAACTGTTCAGAGAACTACCACACCTCTGACCATCAGCCCACTGTCTGTACAGTGAACTACCACACTTCTGACCATCAGCCCACTGACTGTACAGTGAACTACCACACCTCTGACCAACAGCGCCACTGACTGTATAGTGAACTACCACACCTCTGACCATCAGCCCACTGACTGTACAGTGAACTACCACACCTCTGACCATCAGCCCACTAACTGTACAGAGAACTACCCCACCTCTGACCATCAGCCTACTGACTGTACAGTGAACTACCACACCTCTGACCACCAGCCCACTAGCTGTACAGTGAACTACCACACCTCTGACCATCACCCCACTGACTGTACAGTGAACTACCACACCTCTGACCATCAGCCCACTGACTGTACAGAGAACTACCACACCTCTGACCATCAGCCCACTGACTGTACAGTGAACTACCACACCTCTGACAATCAGCGCCACTGACCTCACAGTGAACTACCACACCTCTGACCATCAGCCCACTAGCTGTATAGTGAACTACCACACCTCTGACCATCAGCCCACTGTCTGTACAGTGAACTACCACACCTCTGACCATCAGCCCACTGACTGTACAGTGAACTACCACACCTCTGACCATCAGCCCACTGTCTGTACAGTGAACTACCGCACTTCTGACCATCAGCCCACTGACTGTACAGTGAACTACCACACCTCTGACCATCAGCGCCACTGACTGTACAGTGAACTACCCCACCTCTGACCATCAGCCCACTAACTGTTCAGAGAACTACCACACCTCTGACCACCAGCCCACTAACTGTACAGTGAACTACCACACCTCTGACCATCAGCCCACTAAATGTACAGTGAACTACTACACCTCTGACCATCAGCCCACTGAGTGTACAGTAAACTACCACACCTCTGACCATCAGCCCATTGACTGTACAGTGAACTACCACACCTCTGACCATCAGCCCACTGACTGTACAGTGAACTACCACACCTCTGACCATCAGCCCACTAACTGTACAGTGAACTACCACACCTCTTACCATCAGCCCACTGACTGTACAGTGAACTACCACACCTCTAACCATCAGCCCAGTAACTGTACAGTGAACTACCACACCTCTGACCATCAGCCCACTAACTGTACAGTGAACTACCACACCTCTGACCATCAGCCCACTAGCTGTACAGTGAACTACCACACTTCTGACCATCAGCCAACTGACTGTACAGTGAACTACCACACCTCTGACCATCAGCCCACTGACTGTACAGTGAACTACCACACCTCTGACCATCAGCGCCACTGACTGTACAGTGAACTACCCCACCTCTGACCATCAGCCCACTAACTGTTCAGAGAACTACCACACCTCTGACCACCAGCCCACTGTCTGTACAGTGAACTACCACACCTCTGACCATCAGCCCACTAACGATACAGAGAACTACCACACCTCTGACCATCAGCCCACTGACTGTACAGTGAACTACCACACATCTGACCATCAGCGCCACTGACTGTACAGTGAACTACCACACCTCTGACCATCAGCCCACTAACTGTTCAGAGAACTACCACACCTCTGACCATCAGCCTACTGACTGTACAGTGAACTACCCCACCTCTGACCAACAGCCCACTGACTGTATAGTGAACTACCACACCTCTGACCATCAGCCCACTGACTGCACAGTGAACAACAACACCACTGACCACCAGCCCACTAACTGTACAGTGAACTACCACACCCCTGACCATCAGCCTACTGACTGTACAGTGAACTACCACACCTCTGACCATCAGCCCACTGACTGTACAGTGAACTACCACACATCTGACCATCAGCCTACTGACTGTACAGTGAACTACCACACATCTGACTATCAGCCTACTGACTGTACAGTGAACTACCACACATCTAACCATCAGCCCACTGACTGTACAGTGAACTACCACACCTCTGACCATCAGCCCACTGTCTGTACAGTGAACTACCACACCTCTGACCATCAGCCCACTAACTGTACAGAGAACTACCACACCTCTGACCATCAGCCCACTAACTGTACAGTGAACTACCACACCTCTGACCATCAGCCCACTGACTGTACAGAGAACTACCACACCTCTGACCATCAGCCCACTAACTGTTCAGAGAACTACCACACCTCTGACCATCAGCCCACTGACTGTACAGTGAACTACCACACCTCTGACCATCAGCCCACTGACTGTACAGTGAACTACCACACCTCTGACCATCAGCGCCACTGACTGTACAGTGAACTACCACACCTCTGACCATCAGCCCACTGACTGTACAGTGAACTACCACACCTCTGACCATCAGCCCACTGACCTCACAGTGAACTACCACACCTCTGACCATCAGCCCACTGACTGTACAGTGAACTACCACACCTCTGACCACCAGCCCACTGACCACACAGTGAACAACCACACCTCTGACCATCAGCCCACTAGCTGTACAGTGAACTACCACACCTCTGACCATCAGCCCACTGACTGCAAAGTGAACTACCACACCTCTGACCACCAGCCCACTGTCTGTACAGTGAACTACCACACCTCTGACCATCAGCCCACTGACTGTACAGTGAACTACCACACCTCTGACCATCAGCCCACTGACTGTACAGTGAACTACCACACCTCTGACCATCAGCCCACTGACTGTACAGTGAACTTCCACACCTCTGACCATCAGCCCACTGACTGTACAGTGAACTACCACACCTCTGACCATCAGCCCACTGACTGTACAGTGAACTACCACACCTCTGACCATCAGCGCCACTGACCGTACAGTGAACTACCCCACCTCTGACCATCAGCCCACTAACTGTTCAGAGAACTACCACACCTCTGACCACCAGCCCACTGTCTGTACAGTGAACTACCACACCTCTGACCATCAGCCCACTGACTGAACAGTGAAATACCACACATCTGACCATCAGCGCCACTGACTGTACAGTGAACTACCACACCTCTGACCATCAGCCCACTGACTGCACAGTGAACTACCACACCTCTGACCATCAGCCCACTAACTGTACAGAGACTACCACACCTCTGACCATCAGCCTACTGACTGTACAGTGAACTACCACACCTCTGACCAACAGCGCCACTGACTGTACAGTGAACTACCACACCTCTGACCATCAGCGCCACTGACTGTACAGTAAACTACCACACCTCTGACCCTCAGCCCACTGACCTCACAGTGAACTACCACACCTCTGACCACCAGCCTACTGACTGTACAGTGAACTACCACACCTCTGACCAACAGCCCACTGACTGTACAGTGAACTACCACACCTCTGACCATCAGCCTACTGACTGTACAGTGAACTACCACACCTCTGACCAACAGCCCACTGACTGTACAGTGAACTACCACACCTCTGACCAACAGCCCACTGACTGTACAGTGAACTACCACACCTCTGACCATCAGCCCACTGACTGTACAGTGAACTACCACACCTCTGACCACCAGCCCACTAACTGTACAGTGAACTACCACACCCCTGACCATCAGCCCATTGACTGTACAGTGAACTACCACACCTCTGACCACCAGCCCACTAACTGTACAGTGAACTACCACACCTCTGACCATCAGCCCACTGTCTGTATAGTGAACTACCACACCTCTGACCATCAGCCCACTGACTGTACAGTGAACTACCACACCTCTGACCATCAGCCCACTAACTGTTAAGAGAACTACCACACCTCTGACCACCAGCCCACTGTCTGTACAGTGAACTACCACACCTCTGACCATCAGCCCACTAACGATACAGAGAACTACCACACCTCTGACCACCAGCCCACTGACTGTACAGTGAATAACCACACATCTGACCATCAGCGCCACTGACTGTACAGTGAACTACCACACCTCTGACCATCAGCCCACTGACTGCACAGTGAACTACCACACCTCTGACCATCAGCGCCACTGACTGTACAGTAAACTACCACACCTCTGACCCTCAGCCCACTGACCTCACAGTGAACTACCACACCTCTGACCACCAGCCTACTGACTGTACAGTGAACTACCACACATCTGACCAACAGCCCACTGACTGTACAGTGAACTACCACACCTCTGACCATCAGCCTACTGACTGTACAGTGAACTACCACACCTCTGACCAACAGCCCACTGACTGTACAGTGAACTACCACACCTCTGACCAACAGCCCACTGACTGTACAGTGAACTACCACACCTCTGACCATCAGCCCACTGACTGTACAGTGAACTACCACACCTCTGACCACCAGCCCACTAACTGTACAGTGAACTACCACACCCCTGACCATCAGCCCATTGACTGTACAGTGAACTACCACACCTCTGACCACCAGCCCACTAACTGTACAGTGAACTACCACACCTCTGACCATCAGCCCACTGTCTGTATAGTGAACTACCACACCTCTGACCATCAGCCCACTGACTGTACAGTGAACTACCACACCTCTGACCATCAGCCCACTAACTGTTCAGAGAACTACCACACCTCTGACCACCAGCCCACTGTCTGTACAGTGAACTACCACACCTCTGACCATCAGCCCACTAACGATACAGAGAACTACCACACCTCTGACCACCAGCCCACTGACTGTACAGTGAATAACCACACATCTGACCATCAGCGCCACTGACTGTACAGTGAACTACCACACCTCTGACCATCAGCCCACTGACTGCACAGTGAACTACCACACCTCTGACCATCAGCCCACTAACTGTACAGTGAACTACCACACCTCTGACCATCGGCCCACTGACTGTATAGTGAACTACCACACCTCTGGCCATCAGCCCACTGACTGTGCAGTGAATTACCATACATCTGACCATCAGCGCGACTGACTGCACAGTGAACAACCACACTTCTAACAATCAGCGCCATTGACTGGACAGGGAACAGTTATTTCACGCCAAACGGTAAATACGTTTTGCCGGAACTACTTTCAGTCTGAGTGTATGTTTTCCTGAAAATACATACTAAATGGAACACTTGGCTTTGCTTGTCAAATAACCATCTACTTGTGAATATCTCGAGACAGGTAAGGGTGAGGTAAGGGTGAGGTAGACATGTTATTTGAGAGAAAAGAAAATTAGAAATTTAGATACTAACCATGTTATAATTACTAACTACCTTCTTCCTCTGGTGGATTTACATGTAGATACTAACCATGTTATAATTACTAACTACCTTCTTCCTCTGCTGGATATATACATGTAGATACTAACCATCTTATAATTACTTACTATCTTCTTCCTCTGGTGTATATATCCATGTAGATACTAACCATGTTATAATTACTAACTACCTTCTTCCTCTGGTGGATATTTACATGTAGATACTAACCATCTTATAATTAGTAATTACCTTCTTCCTCTGGTGGATATATACATGTAGATACTCACCATGTTATAATTACTAACTACCTTCTTCCTCTGGTGGATATACATGTAGATACTAACCATGTTATAATTATTAACTACCTTCTTCCTCTGGTGGATATTTACATGTAGATACTAACCATCTTATAATTAGTAATTACCTTCTTCCTCTGGTGGATATATACATGTAGATACTCACCATGTTATAATTACTAACTACCTTCTTCCTCTGGTGGATATACATGTAGATACTAACCATGTTATAATTATTAACTACCTTCTTCCTCTGGTGGGTATATACATGTAGATACTAACCATGTTATAATTTTTAACTACCTTCTTCCTCTGGTGGATATATACATGTAGATACTAACCGTGTAATAATTACTAACTACCTTCTTCCTCTGGTGGTTATACATGTAGATACTGACCGTGTAATAACCGTACCATCTTCCGTCGGGTATGTACATTCTAAGAAGCTTTTGTTTCTGCAAAGATTGTAAAGAACAAATAATTAAAGTTACATGTTCTAGTCCATCTTAGAGCTAAGTGTATGGAATATTAATTAAAACACATCTGTGATGTCATTCTATTATTTTTCCGGAATGGAGAGTTGTTTTCAACTTAACATTTTCTTGAACCAACATTTGAATTAATTTCAATGTGGAATAGACGGAACTATTGTTTGCATTTTATTATTATGACAAGTGAATATTTTCATTTTTTTCCGAAACCATGTGTCGTCAGCGGGGTTCGAACCCGAAACGCTTGATTTGAGGCGGCACATCAAGGTATGGTGTACACTAAATTAGTAAATATTTTCATAATTGTGCATAATGCTTAAAACCTCAAAATAATGTGTATATAATATTGTGTTGGAGAAGGTTGCCTCCAACAATGTTCATGTTTATAGCAATGAGATAAATCTTTGACGAGAAAAAAACATCAGGTAATATATACATCCTTGTTCGGAGCTCTATATTTCCTTGTATTCCCTTCAGCAGTTATTAACAATGTGCAAGCGATTGACAAATACTAGCTTAGGACCCAAAGACATTATGAGGAGCCGTGTACCATGCATTGTAAATGTCAGCTAGGTGAGAGCTTGGTGCACGTTCAACAGCGGCGGAGAATGTATTCCTTGTGCATCATGCAAGGGCGACTCACGCAGTATAAAAACCGACAACAAAGAGTTCTGGTTTATTTTTCAAATATTTTCTACAACGGAATATTTTGTCAAAGTGTAAAAGTAGGGATGACGTTTTAGCTAGGGGAATATCCTCATAATTCGCCTTTCCTTAAAAATAATGGGCCTCTGCTCCATTATTATCAAGGAATGAGTTACTTGGTCATTCCCCTCTATATAATGGGCATGTTGTGAAAAGTCATTATTAAATACAATGTTATCAGTCACAAATACAGTATTTCTGGTCGCGGCAAGTTACAGTTAGGGTTGCTATGGAGCACTAGTCTATGCATTTATAGATCTCAACTTCTTTATTATGAGTGAACACAACGTTTCGCAGTATGTGCTAACTCTTTAATCAGGCGAATTAATACTATGAGGTACCTATTGTTATCTTGTTACTTTTTTTGTTCTTACATGTACATCTTTATGCTCTCTGCCTCACGGCTTTTATTCATCTGATGAAGGAGTAAGCATATACTCTGAAATGTTGTGTTCCTCATAATAAACAAGTTGACATCCATAAATTCTCTTCCTTATGTGTATCACTTCTTAATGTCATTCAAACACTGACTAGTCTAAGTACCACTGTAAACCAAGCAGGAATGACTTGCCTCGTACAGTATAGGCGAGATGAGAAGCCCGCCGCCCCACAGGAACTGTTCATGGTTACTGTATGTATTCTTGTCCTTTGGAAATCTGAAACAAAATAAAGCACCATGGAAATTCGAAATTCAGTTCTCAACATAGTGCACAAGAAGAATTTGAAATAAATATCAATCCCCTGTTTCAATGAATAAAACCACTGACAGATCTCAAATGCTTTGTAAACCCAGCTGCGGAAGGGAGCATACCATAATATATAGAATATATATATATATATATATATACATATATATATATATATATATATATATATATATATGTATATATATATATATATATATATATATATATATATATATATATATATATATATTATGGTTATATACATATTCTGTTGACCACAGAAGAAGATTTTTACTATTGATAAGTTGAACTTGTTTTAAACTTGTCAATATGTAGTGAACGTTTGATTAAAAAAAATACTTTTGTTGTCAAGTCCAAAACGTGTTCATACTCTGTAACTACATGTTGGTAGAAACTCATCAACAAACTGGCAAGATCCTCACCATTCTAAAATGGTAGTTTAAAATCCTGTATGCCGACTGGTCCGTCATCGGTAGTGAATTTACGTTAAACCACGATTCTACCTTGAATTTAGAAACTACTCGATTTTGACTGGTCAATCAGAGGTATCAAATCACAATAACTCCCCTCTGATTGAAACAGACGATTTTACGGCCGCGTCACCGCAGAAGCTAATATTTTTAGAAAAGGACTTCATTTACAGTATTCAAATGAAATTTACAGGTATGGAATCAACGTTCGAAATCTCGACATAAAAAAGTAGATTTATCTGAGTAATAAGATTAACCTACACATGGACTAGAGCCCTGATGACAGTCTCGCCTTTAACATGTGCAAAGTAAAACAACGAGTACAGATGCGGCAAGAGTCTATAGCGCGTCTCCATCGCTTCCCGCGATATACGGACAACATCACCCCCGAAAGCACCAGGATCTTGATTCTTAAACAAACAAAATTAATACCTATCACAATCTTCAACATTTAGTCAACTTGAAAATCGTTAAGGAACAAACTTTCAACATACATATCAAAGATAAAATAAATGTCATGCACTATTGTTATGTCTAGAACTGTCTGATACAACAAGCTCACAAGAACGTTACACTTCAACATTGAATAGAGGGTTTCAACAATGACTATATATATGTATAAATACATCTTGGAAATGATGGTATGTGCATTGGATTCATTGCATTTCTGAATAACAAGAGTGTATTTAATATATCTAGATGGCACCTACTATATAGTTGAGACCATTGTGGTTGCGACTGAATGTGTAGAAGGCTCCAAGCTGCATCCATCGACTACACAACTCCGCGGTAGTGTTGTCAAAGAAGCCACAGATATCAGCTCCAATCTGAAAGCATCACATGTGAATATGTTGAAATCAAACTATTGTGTGATATCAATGTATACCTTTTATATTTCTTGTCATCTAGCTTTGGGATGGTATTTTTATGAGTATAATTCTGAAACGGCACCATGTTGCTACAGAGTAGTCTTAGAGATATATTATGTAATCTCAACGTGAATATCAGTTTTACTTACGTAAGGTATTCCAAACAAGTTAAACTCCAGAATACCTGAAAAAACATCAACGAATTAGCATATTCAATCAGTATATCAAACCATTCTCCCACATGAGAAACCTGTTTTGGCCCCACCAAAATTTCCTTAAGTACCCGGCATGCTATAGATGACGCTTGGACATATGCGGTGTGTTACCACTTAGCCCCAGGGTCACTGGAAATCAGTCCCCAAAATTGCCCAATCTTGTTCTTCAAAAATAACATGTCCATGTTATCTTTATGTCCCTGTTTGCATTAAACGTAAACATCGATTCCCCATGCATTACCTTCATCAGTAATGGTTATAGAAGCGAATTGGATTCAGAAGTTGACAACTTACCAGAAATATATCTGAAAAGCGGTAACAGCATTAATCCTGAGGACGTCTTGATGAATACATAATTTTACTGACCTATGATGGATAATCTCATATCGTCCCAGTCACTTCTGTTATCCCCAAGCCAATGTCCAGCTTCCTTGCCGCTACCAGGGAACGTGGACCGGGAGATGACGATACCACGCTTCCCTGTAGCCTCCCGTACACCCCTGGAAAAAAAGATACACTTTCATCCAGTTTGGGTCGTTATATATATGGCGTCTCCATATTAGAACATGATTCCTGGGATTACATTATTTTAGACTAAAATAATACAATGACTTTTCGATGGCTGGCATGGCTTCTATGGACAACATCATTTCAGCATCCAGATGACAGCACTGGATGTCAGCATCTCTAGCCATTGAATCATCCTTTCTGCAAGGTAGCTGCAGAACACTCTCCTTCACAACTACTTCTGAGGGTCCCGATTCCACAAAACGATCTTAGTGCCACCCTCCAATCTGATTGTCGCACTGTCCTGACAGTGTCGTTTTGTATATTATTTGGGAATGTGCGAGGTTCGCACAAAGCGATGCAGGTCGAAAGAGTTAAACATTTTGAAACCAAGAAAGCGTGCTAGAAATCCAGGGGTATATGATGTACTTACTGTAAGGTAGACCTAGTTTGGCTCCAGCCGTACAGACTGTGGACATCGTAGTGTCTGTACTCGTCATTGTGTCCCTGTCGAGCCACCATACATAATGTCTTGTCCGAGATTCGTCCATCAGTCTTTTCGCCATCGTAGTTAAAGGCAGCTCCTGCCATAGGTAGACATGTACGTCACGACACATTCAAACTGTGGCTATCAATGACGTGTAGTGTTGCACCTTTCAGGTGGTCAATTATGATAATTGTATTCTGTTACTTGTTTAAAATCGTTCATGACATAGGTATATTGCAAGCTGTCCGTACAAGGGTCGAGAACTCTTATGAACCGTTCTTTTATCACGGCAATGTCACCTAAAATATTAACAAGCAATAGGGCAATGTCAAATTGTCCCAAAGAAAAAACAACAAAACATTTTTTACTTAATTATATCACCGTGTTATGTGCTTTCGGACGCTTAAGAAACAGTTTTGTCGCCAATCACAAACACAACTGTAAAACATCTTACTTATAAAAGACAACCATATCTAAAAAACAAACCATCGTCGGGTATTTATTATGTCTGTGTGATGCCATACCCCTTGTTATAGTGAGAATGATTGCGATAAACATGGCCGTCCGAAAAGATATGATGTCGGAAAACCTATGATCCGACGATAGTATAACCTTACAGGTTTGCACGTCATCAACATTAAAACCGAACGTGAAACAACCTGCTGCTACTAAACACTCAACACAATCTCACGGGTTATGTATGGAGGGTCGTCATATTTGTTGTCGCTACACTTGAGACTCCAGTAGGGCTCGTCCTTCTCCGGCCAGTTGAAGGGCTTCTCCTCGTTGGTGCCGAAGTTAGCAGGCTCGTTCATGTCCTGTCACAGAACGGGTTGTAATGAGATGGGTTGTTAACTTGTCTGCGAGAACAATTGTTAAGCAATGCAATTCGAGTTTGCGAGATGTCACTGCAAAGGGGATCTGAAGGACCACCAGAAGCTTAGGTGGGATGACATGGGGCTTAACGTCGCGGCCAAGATTATGGTACTGATATAGCGACGTGCGTGTGGTGTGTGTGTAGGGGGGTGGGGGAGGGGTGCTTGTACCAGTCCGGACTGATGCCGACTTATAGTGCTTGCCCACTGAGATACCATGCCGCTGTGTTTAACATGAATACCCCACTAAGACCGTTAATCCTGAGAATCAGATAGGGTAATAACAACTACCATTGTTTAATCCAGTTTGGTATGACGCACGGCTGGGGATCAAACCCTGGACCTTCTACTCTACCACTACAACACGGAGGCGGTCACAGACGCTCAGTGGCTACATACATCAGTGCTGACTATCTAAAAACATGGCCAGTTCTCATTGTTGGGGTCTGGAATAATCGAGTCTGGTGATTCATGTCGTGAGCATCGGTCCATGCAACTGTGATAGTCTGACATGTGATCAACAAAGTCACCAAGACTGACCATCCGACCCATTTAGTCTTACGACAAGCATAGGTTGCTGGGGACCTATTGTCTTACCCATAACCCATACTCCTCATGGATGTGACTACTTGTTCTAATTCTGTGTGTTTGTTGTTTAATGCCGCACTCAGCATATTCAAGCTATACTACAGTGGTCTGTAAATAATCGAGTCTGGACGAGACAATCCAGTGATTGACATCATGAGCATCGATCTACGCAACTGGGATACGTTGACATGCTTCAACCTAGTTGGGGAGCCTGACAACCCGATCCCGTTGGTCGCCTCTTACGACAAGCATGGGGTTCTGAAGGTTAATTTTAACCTGGATCTTCACTGTACAGTGTTAGCCCATGTGAAACCATGCCGTAGTTAAACATGGATGCCCCACTCAGATACTGACTCCACTCCGACCAGCTGTTGTACTTACTATCCACAGCCCATCAAATGGCAACTCGTTGTGGTGCTTCACTATTAACTCTTTCCACACCTGGTTGGTCTCTGGCTTGAAGAAATCGGGAAATACGGTCTTGCCCTTTGGCCACACCTGTGGACAGATACCATTGAGCAGACTTCTGCGACTTCTGCGGGAAGACTTGCTATGGGAGCAGCATACTGACCCATCAATCAGTTAGACTGCCCACTCCATAATAACACCAATATAAACCCTATGCGCCCCTCATGCTTTATTCTCCCTGCATTGTTTTATTTACGATAAACAACAACACAAGTTCGAATCTCCAGAAATCGCAAAGCTCCCTGATATTGATATGTATTGCATATATGTCATCAAAGGTTTGTCAAGTCTCTGCCAATACAATAATGTTTAATGGGTGTTAGAAAGTTGAAATAGTCTCAATATTTAGTTTGATACACAGTTAATTTTCCTTCTTGACCAATAACCACATGACGAAATGAAAAACATACATGGACATTTGCCTGAAGTAAAACATTGTGCCTAAAATACTTTGACAGTGGGCATAGGCGATGTGGTGATGGACTCACGTATCCAAGTACTGCCCCATCACTATCCTGACTTCCCCCTGGGATGGACACGGAGGAGTTCGGCCACATGATGTTCCCCCGGACCGCCTTCATGCGTTCGTAAGGCTCGTAGTCAGTCTCGTTGGAGACCAGAGCTGGATCCTGGAACAAACCTCCCTATGTTCAAAATATTATTTTCTGATACCTTTGAGCATATTTCATTAAGAGCGTGTTTACAATAAGTATTACCCACAGCACCAAGGATAATGAATGAGCGTGTTTGTTTCAGTAAAGAGGCCCATTATACAATTATGGATACCGTGGATAACAACATTATAACAAAGGATAATGGTGACTGATCTGTCGCCTTCATGTGACCGAGAAGAACAAATTGTTCTGCATTGACTTCGAAGACTATTGACAATAATAGTTTGTGAGTTATTCTATAAGTAACGCATACACATATCAAATATATGTAGCACAGTTTCTTTCAGATGCCTCACCAGAATTATGATGGTCTTCATGCCACCCCTCTGCAGTTCCTGGAAGTATTCCCCGAGACCTGGATAGTTGACGTGGTCGACGGTGAAATCTTTTCGCTCGTCCATATGGTCTATGTCAGCATACTGCACATCCTACCATCGAATAAAGAGGACACATTCATACAAGAGCTGAAGCTAATGACGGGCTATCTCCATCCAAGTGGCCGTGTGTGGATCAGTCTTCGCCCTAGCACCAGTGGTTTCTTGTCAGACACACACCAAACATATAACGAAGGGTTTTGAAGTACATACATGCTTAATTAACTGGCCAAATGCGCATTAACCTTCAGCTGCATCTCACTGACAGAACATACGACACTGTTACGTAGCATTAGAAGCTGCAGTGTCCATAAGGATTCAACTATGAATTGCAACTAATTTTCCATTCTTTCCGCATTTTCCCGGGGCAAGGGAGTTGACTGACTGGATAAGTCCAGTTTCCACCCTAGCCGAACTTAGCTGAATTTCTTGGCTCGATCGTAGCCACACCAGTGGCTATTACGGGTTATGTCCCTCCTATTGACCAATCGGATTCAATCTCTCATATCACTTGCATTAGCTTCAAACAAAATGGCGGCGGCTCCCAGTCAATACGATCAGATTGGTAATCAAGAATTATATTGTGAAAAAACAGGTGTAATTTTGTGGAGTGCATCAAATCACGTGATCACCTTGATTAGAAACATGAAAGGGTTTGGAAAATATCTGTTGACGCCAAGTTGGCAGTAGACATGCTTTACAAATACAGCAATCAACCGAAATCTGCAGACGAAGAACCGGATGTCGATTTTATTACGCGATTTTGATTGGACGATGCATAAACTCGTCAGTCCAGCCAAAATGTCCATAAATGCAGCCTAGTTCCGCAAGAGTGGACTTTAATATTTGGTTCACTCGCTTGCCGCGGGAAGATGTTCTTTCCGGTACAGATGTTAGCATCTTTATGAAGCAATAAAAAAACAAAGGAAAGGATAACATGGCCACATGTTTATGTGACTGGGCGTGTTACATTTACACTTACATGTGGTATGCCGGCATCCCTAGTACGCTGGACAGCATCCTTCAGGTTCTGGATATTGTTGTATCCATAGCGACAGAGCTGGAATCCCAGGGCCCAGTAGGGAGGAAGGAAGGGGCGTCCTATGGCCTACACGGTGGATAGTGAAGACGAGTGCAGAAAGGCAAGTTTTTAAATCGAAATTTGAACATTTATAATACATTTGTTTTAGACGAGTCATATTGTATTCGATTGTATGAATTGTGTGACCCTTGTCTCCGTTTAAACTGACTGTGGCAATATCTGAAATGACTACAATTGATTTTGGTCGACTACTCTTATAGTTTTTGTCAAGCAAACAAGACTCAAAAATTGTTGCCAGTGACATGCTAAAGATCTTTGATCGACTTTAGGTTCTACCAAACCTGATCCATCAGTCCGATTCTCAAATTTAATGTCCTACACATCCTGTATATTAATTTCCCCACGCCTGTATTTTGGCAAACTACACAATCGCCTTAGCATTGAATCACTGACGGGCTTTTAACAGAAAACAGAGAAATGTGAATACGAATTGATGAGCATACCGTTGTGTATTGACTGGTGACGAGGTCCGGCGTTGGCCCAAGGAATACATAGAAGTCCAGGATTCCGCCAGTCGTGCGGTAGGTCAACATCGGCATCGGGGAGAACGTATAGTCTGGGAACAGCAACATCTATCATTGATCGGCACATTGTTCACGCGTTCCCACCTTAACCACAGAATCCACTGGTTGCAAATGATTCTTTGGCCAATGAATACAAATGTACTTATAACATCTAAAGAAAACTAATTGTAACTACAACCAACTTTTAACATAGTGATACAGTCCAGGCAGAGGCTGTGTCGCCCCCTGTGTTGAGGCTGAAGCATATTTTCGTTCCAACCCAAATTTAGTTCCGAACCAGAAAACATATCAGGGTTAAATACATCAAATGTCTCTGAAAACTTTCCAGTCCCTGCCATGATATGCACCTCCAAAGGAACAATTGTTCCGCCGGAACTTATATGCCCAGGGAACCGAATCTTGTCATCCAAAACTGGCTCCCACAGGAGATATTGCTTGGGTGAGGTCAGGCGATACCTACATTGTAGATATGGCTGTATTGAAATTGCATGACAATGCTTTGCAGACCATTGTGACGTCATTGTTACCATGACATCACTAATGGCTCTGCTACTGAAGCTGTTAGCAGTACTTTTTACACTTAAGATATTGTCGATATATTTGCTATTAAAAGACACTCGATTGAGATTCTCCATTTGTCACCTAGGTACTCTCCCACATGAAAGATGTAACACTTGAACAGCTGATACAGGCTTTGTAAAAATGAATAATGAACTACGAAATGGGATCAGCACTATGGAGACTTTCTATATGACTACTTACAGGAATAGTGGTTGGCGACTACTTACAGGAATAGGGGTTGGCGAGATAAGATGAAAAGTCGTTAACAGTGCATACAGTGCAAGGTATCTACATACCTTGAGCATTGCTGTTGAGGAGAAGAACGCCGTGAGAGTTGCCGTCGTTTTCCACACACATGTAGTACGGGTGGACGCCATAGTGGTTATTGTAGCTCTAGATCAACAGTAATGTGATGATGTAATTAAAAAGATAATAAAAAAAGTCCATTAATATGGCGCTGTACTCCATGCATAAGCATGCTCTTAGCGCATAGACAAATATTACCCCGGTCAATGGATCAGTGTGCTATCAACGATCATTATCAACGATTATTTGCAAGATAATCGATACATTCAATCAACTAAAAGGCAGTCATTTAAACACAACACAGAACATTCATCAAATTAAATCACCAATTGTCTGAACCTTATGTACAATAATCATGTTGGGGTAAAGTATTTTTTTATGTGATGGACACTGTCTTTGGTGTGATAAATCAATCCGATAAGCTTGGTGTCACGATCCGATAAAACATGCAAAGGAAGTCACCAAGCAAGAACTACTGTTAGCAAGCTCAGTATATCGAGGCGAAGCCATCTCAAACTTTTCACTGGGTCCCCAAAACATTTAGATTGATGTTTTCCAACGTGTAAATGTTAAAGTAGTCAAATATGGCTGCCAAACATTTGGCAATGCACCATACATCGGGCCGTGTTCTCACTTATTTTAAGAAAGACATCATATGATAAAGAAATTATTACTGACATACGTATTGTATCGTATATAGCTTGTAGTAGGAACAAAAAGTATTCTCCTTGTATAATACAATGTGTATTCCTAATATATGAATTTATGATACCAAGACACACTAAAATAATATTATCTTATATATTACAGAAAATATTTGTTTCCGGTAAAGAACCCACATAAAACCCCATGTACCCTCCGTAATCCTGCTTTAACTTATCATGTATAATTGAAAAGCTATATGGTAGCCATATCTCCAAACACTGAGAGGCAAGATAAAATGTACATGCTATATTGGTTCCCCACCCTCAAAAGTGACAGTTACACCAACAGTTACACCAGATATTATTAGTCGTAGCAGTACACGAGGGGTACATGTGGTTGTATGCGTTCCGCGTTAGGTGTCGAGGTAAAAGGGATTTCTTACCAGATCTCATCATTCTGACATGGAGTATGAAAAAAAGTACTATACTGGTTCCGTACCCCCCAGGCGTTGACGGTGGGCTGGTCCCGGGAGAACATGGGCCAGGTCTTGTACCAGCTGTTGTGTCTGAAGGAAGCGTGCAGGTTCTCCCCGAAGCCGTACACGTTTGGAGATGGCAGGCGGGTCGAGATTTGGAGGAACTGGTCGTCAAACGTCAAACCGCCTGCACCCGTGTCCCAGCTGGGAGGTAGATACAGAACTGGCTATAAATTGTACGTTTGTATAACAGCAATTACACGAGGGTATGTAAATATCCAAGGACTAAGAAAAAATACTTGACCATTTAGAACTACCCATCATCTGTGTAAATTATTTTTGCTAGTAATACGTTTTGCACGTGGTTTAATTCAACAAGCGCAGATAATCCATTGTCCATCGTTATTCCTTTTATTCCGTGGTGTAGCTTGTGTACATATTTTAATGTTATATTTTTTCTTCATATTTAAGTGCTAAATATGAAATATGAAAGTCTTATCTTATTACCTGGTCTTTTTCTCACAAAATGTGAATACATGTGTTTCACGATTAAAAGTGGTAACATCTACTGTGATGTTATGAACAATGAATGATGTCATCTGCAAGTATTTGTGACAATGCAGTGATGACACATTACCAAGGGCTGCATTGCAAGCAATCAAAACAATTGAACAATTTGAGTGAAGTAGTCGGTCTTCGTGTAGCAAAACTCCTCATGACCAGTGGGGTAGCCTAGTGGTTAACGCGTTCCCTCGTCACGCTGAAGACCCAGTTCTGGTGTCCCCCGCCGTGATGTTGCTGGAATATTGCTAAAAGCGGCGTAAAACCATACTCACTCACTCAGGTCCAGTTGAGTATATTAATGCCTTATGGAAACATGTCCCTCTATAATATACACTACTTACATAACTGTGCCTGTGCTTTTCCTCACAATCTGGAAGCTGAATGTCTGGTTATTGGTTATGACCAAGTCGTAGGTAAGATTATCTCCCCTGTGCTTTGGCAGAACCATACTGAGAGGAACCGTATACCGCTTCGTGACTGGATCATCGAACTGAAACAATGATCACAATCCACATAAATGCTGAAAACGCATTTGCACAAGTATATTTACAATGAAACAGTACCATGGAATATACTTGGGATGGCGCTAGTGTGTCTGTGATGGGTGCCGGGTGTTGTGTGGTGTGGGGATGGCGCCAGCAGTGTCTGTGATGGGTGCCAGGTGTTGTGTGGTGTGGGGATGACGCCAGCAGTGTCTGTGATGGGTGCCGGGTGTTGTGTGGTGTGGGGATGGCGGCAGCAGTGTCTGTGATGGGTGCCAGGTGTTGTGTGGTGTGGGGATGACACCAGCAGTGTCTGTGATGGGTGCCGGGTGTTGTGTGGTGTGGGGGTGGCGGCAGCAGTGTCTGTGATGGGTGCCGGGTGTTGTGTGGTGTGGGGGTGGCGGCAAGTGGAGGGACAGACATGTTTGTTGGATACATGATACTTTTTCGGGTACTGGTGCAAAGCATACATTATTTCATCATTTTTTCCCACATTTCTCACCACACCCAGAGACATTTTTGCAAATGTTTTGAATTTCCCCTTTCATAAACAATCATGAAACATATTGCGCAATATGCAACAGATAAACTATTCTTAACCAAAAGGAGGTTTTCTAAAATATTGATCATATCATCTGAACATTGTTTCTCAAGCTAAGCACTGAGGTGAAAAACATGTAAACATTTATTGTAGATCGAACCACCAATTTCAATACACACAAATTATGTACCGTGAATCTTAGGACGTCGTTTCCTCTCATTTCCACATTGAACGTAATATTCTGGACATCATTTCCAAACGGCCCTTCTCCAAGTCTGGTGAGAGGTACCTGGAAACCAAGAGTTGTCTGCTCAACTGGTCCAGAGACCGAATACCCATAATCCTCTTGCTGGAAGTAGCACAACGGGAAAGGAGCACGTCCATCTTTGTCGAAGATACAGTTTCGTTTGTCGCATTCTTCTTTTGTGACGCCAATCTTCCAACTCAAGGCTTCAGGGTAGCAATCGATTCGGGAGAAGTGATCCTGTGTTTCATGCCTGTGAGTACACAACAAGCCAAGTTCATCAAATTGTGAGAGTGTTGGGAGTTTCGTCTAATGCCACTCTGAAGAAGATGTACATGGAGGCTGGACAATATCTGAATATGACACAAAAACCGTTAACTTGAAACCAAACAAGACTCGTCAGCGTCAAATCACCCCCGCCCCCCAAATTTGAAAGAACAAATCTGTTACTTTAAGTCAAACTTGATAAGAAAATTTCCATCTAATCCGTCTGTCCGTATACAAGTTGGTCGGTTGGTTTGTTGTTTAACGCCACACTCAGCAATATTCCACCTATATGACGGCGGTCTGTAAATATTGGAGTCTGGACCAGACAATCCAGTGATTACTAGAGTAGTTATTGATCAATCAAAACAATACCCTGGAATTGGGATTCGGAACTTTGTATTTCTATGTCAGGTACACACTACTATGAATAAGGTAAAAATCAAACTTGTTGCAATGGAAACAGAAAAAATATAAATTCTAAAAATCCCTAAATAGCAATAGGCATCAGTTGACAACCTGGTCTTTGTGTGCACCGTTTCAAGAGAGAGTACCTATTAGTTTTAGAGAAATGGTCCACACTACTATGAACACACTCAAAGTCAAACTTGTTGCCATAGGAACAGGTAATGATATTTTCTTAAAAATTCCTAAATAGCAAATGGCACTCAGCCCTTGATTAATACATGCATCAAGTTTGGATAAAAAATGTTGATTAGTTTTTAGTTCTGCTCCGTTCACGATACCTACCTCCATTTCAGCTAAGTCAAACTTGTTTCCATGGAAATAGGGAAAAATCAAATTTTGAAAAAAAATCCTAAATAGCAATAGGCACCACTTCAGCCCTTGGTTAATACATTACCAGGTTGGGATGAAAACTTAAACAGTTTTCAAGTTGTGCTCCTAAACAACACCCCGTCCGACCCCTTTTGAGTCAAGTCCAAATTGTTTGCAAAGAAATCAAGAAAAAGAAAAATGCCAAAAATCCAAGCAAAAGGCACCACTCATTATATGCTGGGAGAATAACAAAAATCACTAAAGAAACAAATATCACTTTTATCGGGTCTCTCCCACACCTGCCTAAAAACACTTTTATGAGACCCCCTATACTCTATTCTTCCAGCAATAATAGGCTTTCAGGGCCTTTTGATTTCTGAGATGATAATCGTTCAACAAATGCCATGAATGGAGAATAGAACTTTAATTTAACAAAATATATGTACTTTCTTTCAACGCTTTTATTTTAATTTCAAAAAGTACTTTTTTTCAATATTTAGTGGCATGAACCCACTGTGTTACTGCATATCACATCAATGTTTCAGATTCATTTCAAATCAATGTTTTACCCCCTAAGGGTAAATTGCCAAAAGGATCTAAATGCAAAAAACTATTTTGCACTAATATGCAGAGGAATCTATATAAAGTATTACAATGTGATCTTTGTTCTTAAAAAATACACTATTTCTTTCAATTCCATGATATTGACAAATCAATGTCGAATTTTGACCCTACACATCCCAACAAACTTGCGCGATATTTTGTGTCTCTTGGAAGATGATTCTCAAAGCACGTTTTAATATATGTCATCTGATCAACGTAATCTATACTCACGTCCAGGTGAGCTGGAATGGTTTGTTCACCGGTAGGTCATCAGTGATCCTGAGAATCTGAAACAATCCAGTGTCATGACACACTGAGTGATGAACGTTCTGGTGCACTACGAGTCCAGTCCTCAAGTTCATGTCAAATACACCACAACAAACATAAGCCCTGGTTACGAGGTAGGATAGGGGTCAACTGAGTTAAGGACACATTGAGTTACCGATTGCAACTGGTTAAAACTTCAACTTTTCTGTTTTACTTTACCCATATACGGCAAAATATGATAACATTAATATCTGCATCAAATGTAGAGTTGAGGTCACTGTATCCGTACTTTTATATCTGTACCGTATGTTGGTTTGTTGGTTTTTTGTTTAGAGCCGCAGTCAGCAATATTCCAGTTATATGACGGCGGTCTGTAAATAATCAAGTCTGGACCAATCAATCCAGTGATTGATATCATGAGCATCGTTCCACGTAATTGGGATACGATGACATGCATCAACCAACTCAGCGAGTCTGACCACCTAATCTCGTTAGTCGCCTTTTATGTCAAGCATGGGTTGCTGAAGACCCCGGATCTTCATGGATCTGCACCAATGTAAAGTTGAGGTCACTATATGTAAAGTTGAGGCCATTATATGAAAAGTTGAGATGACTATATGTTAAGTTGAGGTCACCATATGTTAAGTTGAGGTCACAATACCCTCCTATCTTCTTACCTTTTTATCAGAATCAAATGTAAAGTTGAGGTCTCTGTTCTCTGATATTAGTCTCACGAGGTTGACTTCGATATTCACACCGAGGACAAAGATGTCGTCTATGTAGAGGTCATTGACCTCCGACACTGCGTTGTGTTCGATAGTCAGGTCCAGTACATTCTGTAACCATCAAAAATCAACTATTTACAAGCGTTTATAAAAGAATGCCGAAAGTAATAGCGAAAGTGAGCACGTTGCTTTAGTAGAAGGAAATGACGTAGGGCAGAGGAAATGACGTGGATGGACGGAAAGTAGAGGTACTTATAGAGTGAGTAAATAGTGGGATGTTAAATAAATGCTGCCTGTAAACCCATTTAGCGAATTACTGCTAAATGTTCATGTCTGAACGTCTTTAGACCTGTATCACTTTAGTCTTTCCCAGCCTCTCACAGGACAATGTGTGTTGAATGTCTGAATGAAAATATGAAACTATATCCACGGTCACCACGTTTTGTAACAAATGCCGCTTGGATCAACGAATGAAGTTTTTCCTCAGGTTGTCGTGTGGGATTGAGGAGTACAAAGCTGAAAATTTAAATGTGTTGACAGAACTGAACGTCGTGTTCTTTTTGATTTTGCAAACATTCAAGCAAATCCTTTGAGTTTTTGAGAATCCACATGGCTATAATTTCACTTGTCTCAAATACATTCTGTAAATATAAAGAAAGTTCTTCGTCTATTAAATGAAGGATTACGGTTGATCTTTGAGTCAGGGATTTGGTGGTACATTTTCTGGACCCAGCATTATCCTTCCCTTGTGTGTTTTTTTTATGGAGCTTTGGGATCCATCTTTGGGATTTAGAGTAAAGTACTGATGCATGGTTGAGGCAGATTTCATCCTTCGTTAACACACAGGCCTTTATATGTGGGATCATTTGATGTGTCACTTCTTTGATCACACCATTACTGTAGTGGTTCTTACATATAATGGTTATGTTATTTGACGCCTTGTCAGTGGAGACAACAATGTTGTGGGAACAAGCTAAGCTGTCTTGAAAACACTTCGAGATCACTGGATTTATTTCACTGTGATTATTGAAACATCTGGTTCAACGTCATACATGTTTAAATGAAACTAGAATGTGTTTTTAATCAAAAACATATGTCTCCCAACTAGCTCAAGTTGTAACAGTAAATGTGTTTGCAAATCCAAGAAACAAACATAGCAAATAATAGACTGGAAAGATAATAGTTTCATGCAGAAATATTCATTAGCTGTAGCAATTTGACGGTAAAAAAAAGCGCTACTTGTTTCCAATTTGTTTCCGTGGAAACACAAGAAATTACAAAAATAAAAATTTAAAAATATGAAAAGGCAACAGTTGAGCATGTGGCCATTTGACATGTATAGTTTTAATGCAAAAATATTCATTAGTTTGAGAGTTATGCCTCGGAAACAAAGCCTAGAGTTGTTTGAAAACACACTGTATCCATCAAAACGTAAAAAAATAAAAGAAAGATTAGAAAATAGCAAAAGATACCAGTTACGCTGATGAGCAATGCATATGCCAAGTTTTGTTGAAAAGGGTTGAAATGTTTTCAAGTTATTACCGGAAATAAACCCTTCCCTCGTTAAGACCAAGTCAAAAATGTTTCCATGGAAGTTATAATTTTTTTTAAAAGATTCAAAATAGCAAAGGGCACCAGTTGAACAGATGAGCAATGCATGTGCGAAGTTTCATTGAAATATCTTGAACAGTTTCAAAGGTATGTCCTGGAAATGAACACGACTTACATTGGAGACTACGTCAGAATTGTTTCCATGGAAACGTAAAAAAATGTGTTTTGGAAAGAATTTAAAATAACAAAAGGCACCAGTTCAGCTGATGAGTAATGCATATGCCAAGTTTCACTCGTTTAAGGGTTACGGTCCGGAAACCAACCTTTCCCTAGTTTGAGATTAAATCAAAATTGTTTTCATGGAAACGTAAAAAATAAAAATTTGGAAACAAATCAAAATAGTAAACGTCACCGGTTGAGCTGATGAGCAATGTATATGCCAAGTTTCATTGAAATATGTTGAACGGTTGTCAAGTAATGGCCAGACCTAACCTCATTAAAATCAAATCTTAGATCATATCACCGCAAAACAAAGGACTGAGGACATCCTACTACGGGTCACTTCACAACGACTAAAAAAAGAACTAAAACAAACATACTTGTAGGTTGTATGTGCGTTTCTGGTAAGAAGGTACTTACATTTTCCGTATAAAAAGTTGAACTGTAATAATTTCCATTCTCATAGGTATCTGAAACAGGAGTGGTGTAACACAAATCAACATGCTGCTATAATATATATTTCAATGATAGGATACAATAAGGCACTGGACATGGATGTAGGCCTCTGATGAAGAACAGTCGTGACTGCTTACGTATTGTATGTCAGTTGACCAGAAAAGAGTTTGCATGTACTTGCAAATACAGAATCAACCTCCACAGTTCTTTTCCCTGAAGACCCTAGTGATATGTACGTAACAAAGTATGTTTGCAGTTTCCACAATCTTTCCCTTTACGCCCAATGATATCTGTTTCGCCAGATAATCGAGACTGATTATTTTCTGGCGTTGATGTTTTGTGTAAACATAATCGTGTCCTAGCCTCCGTGCTATGTATATCTGAGACAGGCATAAGTAAACGTCTCTACTAAGCTGTGGCCGAGGCTTGCTGGTACGCACCGATAGATTCACCATCATCCCAGAACAGCCAACCTTTAGCTGCGTTCACAGGGCAGAGTCCGATCTTTAGTGTTAGTGGATTCTTGCGACTTGAGTGTAGAGAAAAGTTAACAATATATTTAACACAAAATCCATCTTCCCAAGGCAAGGGAGTGAACTGACTATTAGACAAGTTTCCACCCTTGCCGAACTTGGCTGAAATTTCTAGGCTCGATCGTAGCGCCACCAGTGGATATTACAAGTTATGTCCCTTCTATTGCTCTCCTATTGACCAATCCGATTCAACCACTCATATCATTTGCATTTACTTCAAACAGAATGGGGGCACCCCGTCAAGACGATCCGAGCGATAATCAAGATCTATATTGTGATAAAAACGGGTCTTACATCGCGAAGTGCATCAAATCAAGTGAGCATGTTGATTTAAAACAGATTGTGAAAACATCTGTTGTTTTGCAAATCCTGCAATTGAGAGAAATCTACACGACAGTTTACAAACAGGGCGTCGATTTCGTCACGCAACTTTCATAAGGCTATGCATAGACACGTTAGTCCAGCCAAAATATAACGCCATAAAACCAGTCTAGTTCGGCAAGGATGGAAGCGGGACTTTTAAAGTCAGTTAACACCCTTGCCTGTGGAAGATGCACAAACTCCCACCCATACCATACAACGACCAGTGGTAGTCCAAAGCAGTGTCATTCTGAGAGTTACGTTGACATCTATTCTCTGTTTGAGCATACTATATTCAACGTACTGACACTAGTTGTTCTTCTCTTGGTTCACATAATGCCAACAAAGCCTTTGCAGAGTCACAAATGTAATTATTTTCTGGAGTTTGTTAATCGTTTTGGAGGGAGCATAGTTTACAAAGCGTTGTATTGGCTGTGACCGAATGATATGAATATGATAGTGTTTGTTCAATTTATTACTGGTACTTTTTTATCGTTTTTTTCCGTAATACCTGTTTCGAGTATTGTTAGCTGGTTCCTGGGTAATAACGATGTAACCGCCACGAATGTGGAGTTGTACTGGGGTGTCCGGCTTGACCGGCATCTCCATGTTCTCCTGTCCAGTACCAGTTGTCTCTTCCAGCTGAAACATACCAGCACTTGCCAACACCTGTCAGTGCACACAGTCAGCATGTCGTAGACTGTACATGGTCACCGCGATTCAATTGCTTCACATTGTCCATGTGTCATACAGTATTGATGTACCCGAAGGATAAACAGATTGCTGTGACTTTATAATTTACAGATAATCATTCATAATCGTAAAAGTACGTATAAGTGCGTGATCAAATAAAGGATCATTGTAACCGCCATTGGCATCAAAGACGCATCAGCAACAGTGGAAGGAAATGGCTGCGGTTACGTCCCTTGACATTAATTTAATAATATCACGGAAAGTTTGTATTGTTTGTTTGTTGTTTAACGCCGCACTCAGCAATATTCCAACCATATGACGGCGGTCTGTAAATAATCAAGTCTGGACCAGACAATCCAGTGATGACATGCATCAACCATGTCAGCGAGACTGACAACACGATCCCGTTAGTCGCCTCTTACGACATGCATAGTCAATCTTTACGGCAATCATGGGTTGCTGAAGACCTATTCTACCCCGGCTCTGGTTCATGCGTAATAACGATGTAACCGTAGATACACATACTGACAATGTAAACGTTGTACCATCTTCCCGCAGGTAGATACACATACTGACAATGTAAACGTTGTACCATCTTCCCGCAGGTAGATACACATACTGACAATGTAAACGTTGTACCATCTTCCCGCAGGTAGATACACATACTGACAATGTAAACGTTGTACCATCTTCCCGCAGGTAGATACACATACTGACAGTGTAAACGTTGTACCATCTTCCCGCAGGTAGATACACATACTGACAATGTAAACGTTGTACCATCTTCCCGCAGGTAGATACACATACTGACAATGTAAACGTTGTACCATCTTCCCGCAGGTAGATACACATACTGACAATGTAAACGTTGTACCATCTTCCCGCAGGTAGATACACATACTGACAATGTAAACGTTGTACCATCTTCCCGCAGGTAGATACACATACTGACAGTGTAAACGTTGTACCATCTTCCCGCAGGTAGATACACATACTGACAGTGTAAACGTTGTACCATCTTCCCGCAGGTAGATACACATACTGACCGTGTAAACGTTGTACCATCTTCCCGCAGGTAGATACACATACTGACCGTGTAAACGTTGTACCATCTTCCCGCAGGTAGATACACATACTGACCGTGTAAACGTTGTACCATCTTCCCGCAGGTAGATACACATACTGACCCTATAAACGTTGTACCATCGTCCCTCAGGTAGATACACATACCGACCCTGTGAAAGTTGTACCATCTTCCCTCAGGTAGATACACATACCGACCCTGTAAACGTTGTACCATCGTCCCTCAGGTAGATACACATACCGACCCTGTGAAAGTTGTACCATCTTCCCTCAGGTAGATACACATACCGACCCTGTAAAAGTTGTACCATCTTCCCTCAGGTAGATACACAAACCGACCCTGTAAAAGTTGTGCCATCTTCCCGCAGGTAGATACACATACTGACCGTGTAAAAGTTGTACCATCTTCCCTCAGGTAGATACACATACCGACTCTGTAAAAGTTGTAACATCTTCCCTCAGGCAGATACACATACACACCGTGTAAAAGTTGTACCATCTTACCTCAGGTACATACACATACTAACCGTGTAAAAGTTGTACCATCTTCCTCCGGGGAAATACATTTTTAGAACGGTTTGATTCTGCAAACAAATGTGAGGAGAAAATATCCAGGGTCATAATATTGTCAATTATTTCTTCGAGCACAGTGTACAGCGGACAGTGTTACTGTTATACTTTGAATACTAATTGAATACCATTCATATATACTGATGGATAAGGAACAATGAAAAATATCGGAAAATAAGTTTTAACGTCAGTACATTTGAAATAGCCCACACAGATATTCAACACATGTCAGAATTAAGAGTTGAGATGTGTCTGTAATGTGGTCATTGTTTCCACTGCGTCTTTGGTAGACAGGCTGGGAACCCATGATAGCATCTTACTTGACTGTAAAAGTGTTCTCGTATTCATCTCCATCAGTATATAATCATAAATAAAAGCAACAAAACCCTTTTTATCTTCATAACAAATCTCTGCCAAAAGTTGAGGCGATTGTACGCTTCCGATCATATCGTAAATATGTTTTTGTGAATCACTATCGACTAGTGATGACAACAGACACAATTCTTTAATATGACATTAGTCATCAGTCATGAGACTTAAATGCCTTTATAGTTATATAATTACAGTTAAAGGTCATGGTAGATACTTCATTTCTGGTCATGGCATGTGACTTTAGGCTGGTAGTGATCAGATGGGATTAAGATACAGAATAGACTCTATCCGCCTGTATCCCACTGTAAACCAAGCAGGAATGGCTTACCTCGTACAGGATGGGCGAGATGAGTAGCCCGCCGCCCCACAGGAACTGTTCAAAGTTGGTGGACACATTCTTTTCATATGGAAACCTCAAATACAATAATAACAAAAATGATTTACCGATTAAAGTGGCCCTACATGTAGCGCACAGCTGGAAAGGAGTTGAAATGATATGATTCGGTTGATCTATGAATTAACCACCGACAAATCTCTGCCACAACATTGTTTTTGAAGAAATGGAAACCTGATGTGGATACAATCTATCTTCTTTATAGTAAAGAAGAACTTTACTGGTTACAATTGTTTTCAATCCCTCAATATGTGATGGCATATCTTTGGATAGTTAACATGTTGTGGTATTTGTATGTCTTTGAAGACTACGGTTTTGGAAGCAATACATTTACAAACACATCAAGATCGTTCACCCAAGCTGCCAGAACAGTGTAGTCCACTCACTCCAGGGCAAGGGACCTGATCACCGGCTCCCCGATCGTGTGGGCGAAGTGGAACAAGTGGTAAAGAAAGGGCAACAGACTGTAGCGAGTTTCCATCGCTTCCCGTGAAACACGGGCAACGTCATCTCCCAAAGCACCAGGATCTTGCTCCTGAAACAAGGACATAACACAGGTAGCATGTAACGCATGACAGAATAGTTTAAGAATCATCAATATTGTAGACAGATTACAACTGGAACAAAGACAAATATAAGGGTTTACTTGCATCTATAGACATTCAGAATAACATTTACGAAACACATGGGGTCTACCCGGTAATTGATTTAGTGAATTCAGTTTCTTTCTTAAAACATTTCTGTTTATGTAGGGTCATAGGAGAATTTCAAAGAGTTTTAAATACATATGTGACACCTACTATATAGTTGAGACCATTGTGGTTGCGACTGAATGTGTAGAATAACGACTAGTTACATGTAAATACATATGTGACACCTACTATATAGTTGAGACCATTGTGGTTGCGACTGAATGTGTAGAAGGCTCCAAGCTGCATCCATCGACTACACAACTCCGCGGTAGTGTTGCCAAAGAAGCCACAGATATCAGCGCCAATCTGAAAGTATCACACATGATGTTGTGAATATGTTGAGTGAAAAACTCAACATCTTAAGTAATTCTCATCGTGCTTCTTAATATCACTTCATGCTGATGGGGTTATTCGTTCCAAATGTTCCAGTGTATTCACTGTGCACTGGGAGGCACATGTTGATGTGATGTGTGGTGAAATAGGTGCCAAAGAATGAAAGAAGTTGCATTCCATACAAACTGTCATGTATTCATGTTCTTCCAACTTCTATATACCTATCAGAGACGTCAATAGAGTAACTAGTTGATAACTCAGCTTGGTATCAAGAAACATTATTCTACATTTGCTCATAAAGAATAACCTACTTGCAACTCAGAAATATGTTACACGGAAATACGGATTATCTGTCCCTCGTCAAGGCGCGGACTTTACACAATTAATTCACTCAGGAAAGATAATACATAATCCGTGGAGGTTATTATCAAATTATACGTTCTTATTATTTCTTGCCCTCAACCTTTGGGTCGCAATATTTATCCGTATCAGTTGCAATACGGCACTATGTTTTTAGTCATTCGTGACACGATACCAATTGGTTGTATTTCAAAATAAGATTTCCATTTTATGTACCTACAAAATACATTATGTCGGGTATAAACCTTTTACTTACGTAAGGTATTCCAAACAGATTGAACTCCAGAATACCTGAAAAGGTACAAGGAATTGATCATGCCTAAAAGAGACCACCAAATCTAACTCCTTATAATTACTGTTAAGGTTCATTGCATTTTGCTCCCCCATTTCGGTAAATGACTTCACACCCAAGGGTGTGAACACCTGCCTAAAATAGAACACTGTGTAGGAACATGTATAATTTCTCATATCTTGTCACCTTCCTAAATAAGCCAAATGTGCTAAAAATAGATGATTTCTTTGTTAAAGGGAAAACTGCACAGATACTTTTTTTTTTTTTTTTGTTTGTTTGTTGTTTAACACCGCACTCAGCAATATGTAAGTTATATGACAGTAGTCTGTAAACAATCAAGTCTGGACCAGACAATCCAGTGATTGACATCATGAGCATCGATCCCCGTACGCAATTGGGATATGATCATGATGACATGCATCAACCAAATCAATGAGTCTGACCACCCGATCCCGATAGTCGCCTCTTACAACAAGCAAAGTCACCTTTTACAGCAAGCATGAGTTGGTGAAGACCTATTCTACCCCTGATCTTCATGGGTCTTCCAGATTCTGAATTGTTCTAATCTATCAACGTGTTGTTGATGTCATATCAGCTATGTCCATAGTTTTGTACTTCATACCTATACATACATCACATGCATTACTGTCAATACTATTAGTACAGATGAACCACTTTGGATTCAGAATTGCCCTTGTCAGTGTTACATAACATATCTGCAATCAACAACTGTTATATTCAGTAATAATCAAAGAATCGTTCTTGGGCAGGTTGGGATGAGATTTATTTTCTGACCTATGATAGATAACCTCATGTCTTCCCAGTCACTTGTGTTGTCCCCCAGCCAGTGTCCAGCGTCCTTGCCGCTACCAGGGAACGTGGACCGGGAGATGACGATACCACGCTTCCCTGTAGCCTTCTGTAGACCTCTGGAATACAACACTGGTGTCATGTTTCTTTGTTTCTGTGTAACGCCCAGCAATATTCCAGCTATATGACGGCGGTCTGTAAAGAATCGAGTCTGGACCAGACAATCCAGTGATTGACATCATGAGCATCGATCCACGCAATTGGGATACGATGACATGGATCAACGAAGTCAGCAAGCCTGACCACCCGATCCCGTCAGTCGCCTCTTACGACAAGCATAGTCGTCATTTACAGCAAGCATGGTTGCTGAGGACCTTTGATAATCCTAACCCGGATCTTCATGGATAACCGGTTTAATGTCTGAAGTTCCATTCTTGGATGACACTGCCGGGTATAGCTGAAATAATTCTTAAAGCGGGGTAAAAGTCATTCAAATATACAATACTACAATGCAGTGTGTTGCAACAACATCCATGACAATATGATTACAAAAGTGCCAAAACAAAACAAAATATTATAAACAAATAATTCCGTTAAAAATAAAGCGATGACACCATGTAAAATGAGCGTCAAAATGAAGTATTACAGTTGTAGGATAAGGTTCCAGCTGTCGAAGTACAGCACTATAAATTGTTATAGTTGGTCGTTTGTTTACGTTGTTATACGTTTTCCACCCACCTGAGTGTCGGTTCGGTCTGGCTCCACCCATACAGACTGTGTACGTCATAGTGCCTGAACTGGTCCGCATCCCCTTGTACAGTAGACAGACAGATTGTCTTGTCAGACAGGCGGGCCTTCACAGTCCCGTCATGGCCATAGGCCGCTCCTGTGTCAGGACAAAGGTGAGATGAGGTGAAATGGAGTGTAACGGCGCGTCCAAGATTATTGTACTTATATAGTGTCGTGCGTGCGTGCGTGCGTGCGTGCGTGTACCAGTACGGACTGTTGCTGATTTATAGTGCTAGCACACTGAGATACCATGCCATTACTAATATCATTCGGTGATGATGAGTGGCGATTTAACTTTTCACGGTGGACCGGTATTACCGCGCGAATGAATGGAAACTGATTATAACCTCCGAATCAAATGCATGTGTATCGGTTGGGACTCCCAGAAATTATACTTCCGTTGTGTTCTCGCTTTCCAAGAAAAGACTGTTGCAGAGTGACAATCAGATCGTCATATCAGGCGAAAGCGCGAGGTGGGCAAGGGAGCGCCTTTTTAAAGCCAATGATTCTCTCTGATGTAATGAAGTATTTCCGTGTGAGCTTTATCACTTAACATGTGTTTGAAACACCGTAAAAATGTCCTTACGTGTTCTGTAGGGTGGATCGTCATACTTGTTGGTGGGACATTTCGTACTCCAATAGGGAGTTGCGTCTTCCGGCCAGTTAAAGGGGCGCTCTTCATTGGTCCCAAAGTTGGCCGGTTCGTTCATGTCCTTGAAGCAAACAACACAGTATATTATCACCCAAAAGTCTACCATGTTATGAGTGAGTGAGTTGGGTTTAACGCCGCTTTAACAGTATTCGAGTTATATCACGACGTGTCAGCTTTATGTGGTAGAAAAGCCCCAGGTCTCAGACGTTTACCACTTCGGTGAAACCCACACGGGTATGGTGCTGACAAACCTAGAAACATAATCGGGGCGAATCGGGATTCGAGCCCACAACCATAGGTCTCTGGCGTGCCTAAGGGACGCACCTCTGCACAGGGAATCGCGGCGCCTTAGACGCGCCCACCCGTTCCTCCCTCTACCATCTTATGAAGAAGATAAATGATTAAAGAAATATTTCAAACGAGAAGATGCATAAGGGTGTCAGATGAAACGTTGTCACTATCAGGCGCTGATTTTGTCAGTAAGATCTGTATAACATGTACAGGAACTGAACATTCAATTTTGTTTTGGGAGGGGTGTCTCGAACGTCTGTTATAGAAAGAATAGAAAACAATTCACTGTTAGGGACCAAACAATTTCTTTCAAGTCACAATTGACTTCAGGGTACAGTTCCACAAAGCGATCTAGCGCTACGGCAGTCGTAAGCCAGTGTTAGTATGGGAGTTACGATCACCTTAGAGATAAGATGGCTTTATGGAATGTGGCCCAGGACGTACAGCCTGTCCTACAAAGACATATTACTTTTTTGTGAAACTTGTGGCTATTTGTCGGTGCTTCCTGGGGCAATTGTTTTTTATTGTTTCTTTGGTTGACCAATTCTAACCCGGATCTTCACGAATATCTGGAGCAAAGTGTTGGCACCATGCGTATATAGTATGTACGTGCACTTACAACCCAGAGGCCATCGAAGGCGAGTCTGCTGTGATGGCTAACAATAAGGTCTGACCAGACTTCTCGTGTGACATTCTTGAAGAAATCCGGAAACACAACCTTGCCTTTTGGCCACACCTAGAAATAATGACTGCATGTTTATTTCTAACATATCACATGTATGTTAAATGGTGCATATTGTGCCAGTTTGAGACAAGTTTCCAATCTTCAATGGCTACAACTGTATATAGATATGATAACTTAAGCAACGGAAACAAATAGCTAGGATAACTTTGGCAGTGGAAACAAATAACTGTGATAACTTAAGCAGCGGAAACAAATATCTGGGATAACTTTGGCAGTGGAAACAAATAACTGTGATAACTTAAGCAAAGGAAACAAATAGCTAGGGTAACTTTGGCAGCGGAAACAAATAACTAGAATAACTTAAGCAACGGAAACAAATAACTAGAATAACTTTGGCAGCGGAAACAAATAACTAGAATAACTTTGGCAGCGGAAACAAATAACTAGAATAACTTTGGCAGCGGAATCAAATAACTAGAATAACTTAAGCAGCGGAAACAAATATCTGGGATAACTTTGGCAGCGGAAACAAATAACAAGGATAACTTAAGCAAAGGAAACAAATAGCTAGGGTAACTTTGGCAGCGGAAACAAATAACTAGAATAACTTAAGCAACGGAAACAAATAACTAGAATAACTTTGGCAGCGGAAACAAATAACTAGAATAACTTTGGCAGCGGAAACAAATAACTAGAATAACTTTGGCAGCGGAATCAAATAACTAGAATAACTTAAGCAGCGGAAACAAATATCTGGGATAACTTTGGCAGCGGAAACAAATAACAAGGATAACTTAAGCAAAGGAAACAAATTCTGACCACAAAATGTTTCAGAAAACTCGTTACTCATTACTCATTACTCATTACTCATCATCATCATCATCATCATCATCATACACACATATCCAAGTATGGCGTTTGTTTCATCCTTGCTGTCATCCGGGGCATTGTACTCTGAAGGCCACTTGATATTGGCACGGGCCGCCTTCATATTCTCGTAGGGCTGGTAGTTGGTCTCATTGCTGATCAAGCAGGGATCCTGTGAAAGTTGGATATGTAGAGAGTCAAACACATGTTTATACCTGATACTGCCTGTAGATCAACAAGCTGGTCGGTGAACTGTCAACCTTTTTCACGCACTGCGTTTCTGGATTAAGAGGGAATTTTACGTCTCTTTTAGCACTATTCTAGACATATTAGGGTGAAGGCCTCTTCCCGGGCAAGCCTGTCCAGAAGACTATATCAAAGCCTAGTTGAAACAAGACTTTGATAAAAAGGCTAGTGGACGCTCTTGCCTCGGGAAGATGACGTGAAGGGTACAAAGAAGGGCAAGGGATCGATAGCTTGACGAGAAAACGCTTTAACCACCAGGCTACCGCATCCGCGATCTGTGTCTACATCAACGCTTCAAGAATTGGCAGAAATTGGTTGGAAGAATTCACAGAAACTGTTATTGTGTAGTTCATCCCAGTAAAAGGCCTATTTTTAGGGCACCCCTTGTTGCCATACAACTATTGCACCCTTTAATAGTCAGATGGCACAAGGTTATAATAACAATACCTTGTCGACCCGTTTGTTTGCTTTTTTCTGTTTTAATTACGCGGCAGTCAGTAATAGTCCATCCGTATCAGAACGGCCTGTAACGCATGTAGTCTGTGATTGTCCCACGCCATTTGGGCTAACAGACACGTAATCAACCAAATCAACGAGCATTGCCACCCCAATCATCTTGCGAAAAACACAGGTTATAGGGAACTAATGCTGACATTCCCTATGGGGCCTTGTCCATGTCGTGTCTTGTGTTATTGTATGTCATGGTGACAGCACCACATACCAATATAATGATAGTTTTCATGCCCTCCTGTCTCAGCTCGTTGAAGTAGTCGTTCAAGCCGGCGAAGTTGACGTCGTCGACAGTGAAGTCCTTCCGCTCGTCCATGTGGTCAATGTCCGCGTACTGCACATCCTGTAACAGGGTTATGTAACCACGTGTCATCGAATTGGGAAACACACGGTCATCTGATCAAAGAACATGTGTACGGCATTGGTAAAGATTCCATACAAATGATACTGATAACACACCTGATACACACCTAAAAAATACTGTTTGTTTATTTGTTGCATAACGCCGCACTCAGCAATATTCCAGATATATGACGGCGATCTCCAAATAATCGAATCAGGACTTGATCAGGAGCATCGATCCATGCAATTTGGATACGATGACATGCATCAAGCAAGTTAACAAGCCTGTAAACTGTGGTATTTGTCTAATTATTCGCTGGACATATGAATTATCCCACTGAGTATTGAGAGACCACTATTAAAAAAACATTTGCCAGTTTCCCTCTTTTTAATTTAACCACATTACGTATGTTTGTAAACCAACTCGTAAACAATTGTATTGGTAACGATATATTCAAACGAAAATCTCATTGTCATACAATGTATAGTGATATCGTTGCGACAAACTTGATATCAGGATCCGATAAATATGAAATAAGGTCACCTAGAGGAACTACTTTTACTAAGATCCACACACCAATGCAATACATACTTGCTACCGAAACCTATTGCCCAAAGTTCCCCATAATATAATGTCAAGGTTTATCGATGTGTGAATACGAAACAAACATGGCTGCACTTATTTGCCACATGTTGCTTCGTATTCCCACACGGTTTCTTAAGTAACTTCAGTAAATGAAAAGGCTGACTTCAAATTCTAAAATATGTAGTACGTCCTGGTATTCTCTGGTATGTTATTCAACATCACCCTCTGCTAGTACTTACGTGAGGTATGTAGTACGTCCTGGTATTCTCTGATATGTTATTCAACATCACCCTCTGCTAGTACTTACGTGAGGAATGTAGTACGTCCTGGTATTCTCTGGTATGTTATTCAACATCACCCTCTGCTAGTGCTTACGTGAGGTATGTAGTACGTCCTGGTATTCTCTGGTATGTTATTCAACATCACCCTCTGCTAGTACTTACGTGAGGTATGTAGTACGTCCTGGTATTCTCTGATATGTTATTCAACATCACCCTCTGCTAGTGCTTACGTGAGGTATGTAGTACGTCCTGGTATTCTCTGGTATGTTATTCAACATCACCCTCTGCTAGTACTTACGTGAGGTATGTAGTACGTCCTGGTATTCTCTGGTATGTTATTCAACATCACCCTCTGCTAGTGCTTACGTGAGGTATGTAGTACGTCCTGGTATTCTCTGGTATGTTATTCAACATCACCCTCTGCTAGTACTTACGTGAGGTATGTAGTACGTCCTGGTATTCTCTGATATGTTATTCAACATCACCCTCTGCTAGTGCTTACGTGAGGTATGTAGTACGTCCTGGTATTCTCTGGTATGTTATTCAACATCACCCTCTGCTAGTACTTACGTGAGGTATGTAGTACGTCCTGGTATTCTCTGATATGTTATTCAACATCACCCTCTGCTAGTACTTACGTGAGGTATGTAGTACGTCCTGGTATTCTCTGATATGTTATTCAACATCACCCTCTGCTAGTACTTACGTGAGGTATGTAGTACGTCCTGGTATTCTCTGATATGTTATTCAACATCACCCTCTGCTAGTGCTTACGTGAGGTATGTAGTACGTCCTGGTATTCTCTGGTATGTTATTCAACATCACCCTCTGCTAGTACTTACGTGAGGTATGTAGTACGTCCTGGTATTCTCTGATATGTTATTCAACATCACCCTCTGCTAGTGCTTACGTGAGGTATGTAGTATGTCCTGGTATTCTCTGGTATGTTATTCAACATCACCCTCTGCTAGTACATTCATGAGGTATGTAGTATGTCCGGGTATTCTCTGATATGTTATTCAACATCACCCTCTGCTAGTACTTACGTGAGGTATGTAGTACGTCCTGGTATTCTCTGATATGTTATTCAACATCACCCTCTGCTAGTACTTACGTGAGGTATGTAGTACGTCCTGGTATTCTCTGATATGTTATTCAACATCACCCTCTGCTAGTACTTACGTGAGGTATGTAGTACGTCCTGGTATTCTCTGATATGTTATTCAACATCACCCTCTGCTAGTGCTTACGTGAGGTATGTAGTACGTCCTGGTATTCTCTGGTATGTTATTCAACATCACCCTCTGCTAGTACTTACGTGAGGTATGTAGTACGTCCTGGTATTCTCTGATATGTTATTCAACATCACCCTCTGCTAGTGCTTACGTGAGGTATGTAGTATGTCCTGGTATTCTCTGGTATGTTATTCAACATCACCCTCTGCTAGTACATTCATGAGGTATGTAGTATGTCCGGGTATTCTCTGATATGTTATTCAACATCACCCTCTGCTAGTACTTACGTGAGGTATGTAGTACGTCCTGGTATTCTCTGATATGTTATTCAACATCACCCTCTGCTAGTACTTACGTGAGGTATGTAGTACGTCCTGGTATTCTCTGATATGTTATTCAACATCACCCTCTGCTAGTACTTACGTGAGGTATGTAGTACGTCCTGGTATTCTCTGATATGTTATTCAACATCACCCTCTGCTAGTACTTACGTGAGGTATGTAGTACGTCCTGGTATTCTCTGATATGTTATTCAACATCACCCTCTGCTAGTACTTACGTGAGGTATGTAGTACGTCCTGGTATTCTCTGATATGTTATTCAACATCACCCTCTGCTAGTACTTACGTGAGGTATGTAGTACGTCCTGGTATTCTCTGATATGTTATTCAACATCACCCTCTGCTAGTACATTCATGAGGTATGTAGTACGTCCTGGTATTCTCTGATATGTTATTCAACATCACCCTCTGCTAGTACTTACGTGAGGTATGTAGTACGTCCTGGTATTCTCTGATATGTTATTCAACATCACCCTCTGCTAGTGCTTACGTGAGGTATGTAGTATGTCCTGGTATTCTCTGGTATGTTATTCAACATCACCCTCTGCTAGTACTTACGTGAGGTATGTAGTACGTCCTGGTATTCTCTGGTATGTTATTCAACATCACCCTCTGCTAGTACTTACGTGAGGTATGTAGTACGTCCTGGTATTCTCTGGTATGTTATTCAACATCACCCTCTGCTAGTACATTCATGAGGTATGTAGTACGTCCTGGTATTCTCTGGTATGTTATTCAACATCACCCTCTGCTAGTACTTACGTGAGGAATGTAGTACGTCCGGGTATTCTCTGGTATGTTATTCAACATCACCCTCTGCTAGTACATTCATGAGGTATGTAGTACGTCCTGGTATTCTCTGGTATGTTATTCAACATCACCCTCTGCTAGTACTTACGTGAGGTATGTAGTACGTCCTGGTATTCTCTGGTATGTTATTCAACATCACCCTCTGCTAGTACTTACGTGAGGAATGTAGTACGTCCGGGTATTCTCTGGTATGTTATTCAACATCACCCTCTGCTAGTACTTACGTGAGGTATGTAGTACGTCCTGGTATTCTCTGGTATGTTATTCAACATCACCCTCTGCTAGTACTTACGTGAGGTATGTAGTACGTCCTGGTATTCTCTGGTATGTTATTCAACATCACCCTCTGCTAGTACTTACGTGAGGTATGTAGTATGTCCTGGTATTCTCTGGTATGTTATTCAACATCACCCTCTGCTAGTACATTCATGAGGTATGTAGTACGTCCTGGTATTCTCTGGTATGTTATTCAACATCACCCTCTGCTAGTACTTACGTGAGGTATGTAGTACGTCCTGGTATTCTCTGGTATGTTATTCAACATCACCCTCTGCTAGTACTTACGTGAGGTATGTAGTACGTCCTGGTATTCTCTGGTATGTTATTCAACATCACCCTCTGCTAGTACTTACGTGAGGTATGTAGTACGTCCTGGTATTCTCTGGTATGTTATTCAACATCACCCTCTGCTAGTACATTCATGAGGTATGTAGTACGTCCTGGTATTCTCTGGTATGTTATTCAACATCACCCTCTGCTAGTACTTACGTGAGGAATGTAGTACGTCCGGGTATTCTCTGGTATGTTATTCAACATCACCCTCTGCTAGTACATTCATGAGGTATGTAGTACGTCCTGGTATTCTCTGGTATGTTATTCAACATCACCCTCTGCTAGTACTTACGTGAGGTATGTAGTACGTCCTGGTATTCTCTGGTATGTTATTCAACATCACCCTCTGCTAGTACTTACGTGAGGTATGTAGTACGTCCTGGTATTCTCTGGTATGTTATTCAACATCACCCTCTGCTAGTACTTACGTGAGGTATGTAGTACGTCCTGGTATTCTCTGGTATGTTATTCAACATCACCCTCTGCTAGTACTTACGTGAGGTATGTAGTACGTCCTGGTATTCTCTGGTATGTTATTCAACATCACCCTCTGCTAGTACTTACGTGAGGTATGTAGTACGTCCTGGTATTCTCTGGTATGTTATTCAACATCACCCTCTGCTAGTACATTCATGAGGTATGTAGTACGTCCTGGTATTCTCTGATATGTTATTCAACATCACCCTCTGCTAGTACTTACGTGAGGTATGTAGTACGTCCTGGTATTCTCTGATATGTTATTCAACATCACCCTCTGCTAGTACTTACGTGAGGTATGTAGTATGTCCTGGTATTCTCTGGTATGTTATTCAACATCACCCTCTGCTAGTACTTACGTGAGGTATGTAGTACGTCCTGGTATTCTCTGGTATGTTATTCAACATCACCCTCTGCTAGTACTTACGTGAGGTATGTAGTACGTCCTGGTATTCTCTGGTATGTTATTCAACATCACCCTCTGCTAGTACTTACGTGAGGTATGTAGTATGTCCTGGTATTCTCTGGTATGTTATTCAACATCACCCTCTGCTAGTACTTACGTGAGGTATGTAGTACGTCCTGGTATTCTCTGGTATGTTATTCAACATCACCCTCTGCTAGTGCTTACGTGAGGTATGTAGTATGTCCTGGTATTCTCTGGTATGTTATTCAACATCACCCTCTGCTAGTACATTCATGAGGTATGTAGTACGTCCTGGTATTCTCTGATATGTTATTCAACATCACCCTCTGCTAGTACTTACGTGAGGTATGTAGTACGTCCTGGTATTCTCTGGTATGTTATTCAACATCACCCTCTGCTAGTACTTACGTGAGGTATGTAGTATGTCCTGGTATTCTCTGGTATGTTATTCAACATCACCCTCTGCTAGTACATTCATGAGGTATGTAGTACGTCCTGGTATTCTCTGATATGTTATTCAACATCACCCTCTGCTAGTACTTACGTGAGGTATGTAGTACGTCCTGGTATTCTCTGGTATGTTATTCAACATCACCCTCTGCTAGTACTTACGTGAGGTATGTAGTACGTCCTGGTATTCTCTGGTATGTTATTCAACATCACCCTCTGCTAGTACTTACGTGAGGTATGTAGTACGTCCTGGTATTCTCTGGTATGTTATTCAACATCACCCTCTGCTAGTGCTTACGTGAGGAATGTTGTACCTCCGGGTATTCTCTGATATGTTATTCAACATCACCCTCTGCTAGTACTTACGTGAGGTATGTAGTACGTCCTGGTATTCTCTGGTATGTTATTCAACATCACCCTCTGCTAGTACATTCATGAGGTATGTAGTACGTCCTGGTATTCTCTGATATGTTATTCAACATCACCCTCTGCTAGTACTTACGTGAGGTATGTAGTACGTCCTGGTATTCTCTGGTATGTTATTCAACATCACCCTCTGCTAGTACTTACGTGAGGTATGTAGTACGTCCTGGTATTCTCTGGTATGTTATTCAACATCACCCTCTGCTAGTACATTCATGAGGTATGTAGTACGTCCTGGTATTCTCTGGTATGTTATTCAACATCACCCTCTGCTAGTACTTACGTGAGGAATGTAGTACGTCCGGGTATTCTCTGGTATGTTATTCAACATCACCCTCTGCTAGTACTTACGTGAGGAATGTAGTACGTCCGGGTATTCTCTGGTATGTTATTCAACATCACCCTCTGCTAGTACTTACGTGAGGAATGTAGTACGTCCGGGTATTCTCTGGTATGTTATTCAACATCACCCTCTGCTAGTACTTACGTGAGGAATGTAGTACGTCCTGGTATTCTCTGGTATGTTATTCAACATCACCCTCTGCTAGTACTTACGTGAGGAATGTAGTACGTCCTGGTATTCTCTGGTATGTTATTCAACATCACCCTCTGCTAGTACTTACGTGAGGTATGTAGTACGTCCTGGTATTCTCTGATATGTTATTCAACATCACCCTCTGCTAGTACTTACGTGAGGAATGTTGTACCTCCGGGTATTCTCCACGGCTTTCTTGAGATTAGCGATGTTATTGTAACCATAGCGAGACAGCTGGAACCCCAGAGCCCAGTATGGGGGCATGAAGGGGCGGCCGATGACCTGTGGTAGAGAGCAATCCGTTTTGGATTTTTAGTTATTTATGAATCATGACCAAAGTCATTATTCTTAACGATTCCTCTACGAAATGTTCACCTAACAAGGCGTCGATAAAACGTTTTCTCCAGAGGGGTAAAGTACCTAAACTACTTCATCAACCCATATCAACATTATGCGGGTGAACGACTCGGATGGGGCTCGTGCATGTAGACTGATTCCATACTAACAAGGTTCACTGTACGAGGGCTGATCAAAAGGGTCTAAGCCTAACAAACAAACCAACAATTGTGAAAGTGTTTTTAATGTTATTTTTCAACATAATCTGCCTCCTTTTCAATACGCCTCTCATATCGATAGTGAACATTTTCAATTCAATTTAGGAAGAGGTTTTCTGAAGGCACCCTGGAAAACCCATTCACGGCAGCTTTGGGGTCATCGTTGTCGTCATGGCGCTTTCAAGAAAAGTGTTCTTTCAGTTTAGGAAACAGGTGGAAATCACTTGGTGCCAGGTCTGGCGAGTATGGCATGTGAGGAAGCACTTCGAATCAACAAGGATCACACCCTTTGCATCCCAGAATACAGTAGCCATAACTTTCCTCACTGACCTTGAAGACTTGAGTTTCCCTGGTGCCAAAGAAGTGGAATGGTGCCAATCCATGGCTTGACTTTTGATTCGGGATCATGTTGGTAGACCCATGTTTCATCACCCGTTACTAATCTCTTTTTGAATATGACGAAATCATCCTCAATTAGGTCTACATTTTCTCCGGCAATGTCACTTCTTTTTTCCTTATAATCAGAATTTAGAATTTCTGGCACCAAACGAGCAGATATCTTATTCATCTGTAAATGTTAAGGAATAATAGTTTCAATGGATTCATGGCTTAGACCTGTGTCTTATTCAAGTTCTGCAATGGTAATACGCCTATCTGACAGTATAGATATCTCCTTGACTGAATCTTCATTGATGGATGTTGAGGGACGTCCAGACCTAGGGTCATCATCAAGGCATGTCTCCCAGGCTTAAACATAGCTGCCCAAGGTTTAACAGTGGAATAGCTAGGGCACGTATCCCCATACAGTTGTGACTTGCGGTCATGGATTTCTTGGGAGTACTTTTCTCTAAAGTCAAAAACTTGATGACTGCTCGGTATTCTTCTGTTCCATTTCTGTGTCCATTTGGACCCCTATCACGTTCAACTGGCTGTCATTGATGTACAAACCCCATCAACAGACCAAATACGCTTGCAATGAACGACTCAAACAATGTACTGCATTGCCTAGTTCACTTTGTTATGGCCCATACTTGAAAATTAGTCAGGCCTAGAAATGTTTGACCAGCCCTCGTACAAGCTATATGCCAGTAACCTAACCGACTGTCTGCGTTAGCCTTACCTGTGTGTACTGCTGGACCGCGTTGTTGGCCGTGCTCCCCATGAACACATAGAAGTCCAGAATGCCGCCAGTCGTGCGATACGTCAGACTGGGCGACTCAGTGAAGGAGTACTCTGTGTTAATAAATCTTTCAACAAATCATAGAATTTGAACAGAACATTTTAGACCATTAGGAGTGAGCTCTATTACAAAGTCCCATTCGACCTTACCTGAAAAGAGGTACACCTGCCGTCCGAAGATACAGCCCCACCATTAGTAATTAGTTTTTTCGGACATTTTTTTATCTGAATGGAGGAGACGAATATTTATCCACAAAACATTTATTTCCAGCATCCAGCATAGGTGAATTCGAGTCAGTGAATACTGGTTTTACGTCGCTTTTGGCAATATTCCAGCAATATCACGGCGGGGGACTCCAGAAATGGGCTTCACACATTGTACCCATCTCGGGAATCGAACCCGGGTCTTCGGCGTGACGAGCGAACGCTTTAACCACTAGGCTACCCGACTGTCCCCTAGCATAGGTGAAAGACGCATGCAACGAAAAAATGTTGTTGTTGCAAAACCTGACACAAATTTATTCCACTGTGTTCTAGAAAAAAATTATTTATCTGACAACCCCAAGCTCGTGTCTCCCCTTCCTCCACAAATATGGAATGGTCGATCTCAAAGGCGGCGCTAATTTTGTCAATTGGAATATTACTGAAAGAGTAGGATGACGTACAAATTGCATGCATATACAGTGACGTGTCTCCCTGTGACAGGAAGTGACGTACCTTGAGCATTGCTGTTGAGCAAGAGGACGCCATGAGAGTTACCGTCGTCATCCTCCACGCAGATGTAAAAGGGGTGGACGCCGTACAGATTGGACTGGGGCAACACAAGAATAAATCAGACGCGGTGCATCACGGGACATGGGTAAGTCAGATTAGGTGCATGGATTAATCAGATGCGGTGCATCAAAGGACATGGGTAAATCAGATCAGGTGCTTGGATAATTCCGATGCGGTGCATCACGGGAAAAGGGTAAATCAGATTAGGTGCATGGATATATCAGATGCGGTGCAATACGGGACAGGGATAAATCAGATTAGGTGCATGGATAAATCACATGCGGTGCATCAAAGGACATGGGTAAATCAGATTAGGTGCGTGGATAATTCCTATGCGGTGCATCACGGGACAAGGGTAAATCAGATCAGGTGCGTGGACAATTCCGATGCGGTGCATCACGGGATATGGGTAAATCAGATCAGGTGCTTGGATAATTCAGATGCGGTGCAATACGGGACAGGGATAAATCAGATTAGGTGCATGGATAAATCAGATGCGGTGCATCAAAGGACATGGGTAAATCAGATTAGGTGCGTGGATAATTCAGACGTGGTGCATCACGGGACATGGGTAAGTCAGATTAGGTGCATGGATAAATCAGATGCGGTGCATCAAAGGACATGGGTAAATCAGATCAGGTGCGTGGACAATTCCGATGCGGTGTATCACGGGACATGGGTAAATCAGATCAGGTGCGTGGACAATTCCGATGCGGTGCATCACGGGACATGGGTAAATCAGATAAGGTGCTTGGATAATTCAGATGCGGTGCAATACGGGACAGGGATAAATCAGATTAGGTGCATGGATAAATCAGATGTGGTGCATCAAAGGACATGGGTAAATCAGATTAGGTGCGTGGATAATTCAGACGTGGTGCATCACGGGACATGGGTAAGTCAGATTAGGTGCATGGATAAATCAGATGCGGTGCATCAAAGGACATGGGTAAATCAGATCAGGTGCGTGGACAATTCCGATGCGGTGTATCACGGGACATGGGTAAATCAGATTAGGTGCATGGATATATCAGATGCGGTGCAATACGGGACAGGGATAAATCAGATTAGGTGCATGGATAATTTAGATGCGGTGCATCAAAGGACATGGGTAAATCAGATCAGGTGCATGGATAATTCAGATGCGGTGCATCGCGGGACAAGGGTAAATCAGATTAGGTGCATGGATAAATCAGATGCGGTGCAATACGGGACAGGGATAAATCAGATTAGGTGCGTGGATAATTCAGATGCGGTGCATCAAAGGACATGGGTAAATCAGATCAGGTGCGTGGACAATTCCGATGCGGTGCATCACGGGAAAAGGGTAAATCAGATTAGGTGCATGGATATATCAGATGTGGTGCAATACGGGACAGGGATAAATCAGATTAGGTGCATGGATATATCAGATGTGGTGCATCAAAGGACATGGGTAAATCAGATTAGGTGCATGGATAATTCCGATCAGGTGCAATACGGGACAGGGATAAATCAGATTTGGTGCATGGATAATTCAGATGCGGTGCAATACGGGACAGGGATAAATAAGATCAGGTGCATGGATAAATCAGATGCGGTGCAATACGGGACAGGGATAAATCAGATTAGGTGCATGGATAAATCAGATGCGGTGCAATACGGGACAGGGATAAATCAGATTAGGTGCATGGATAATTCAGATGCGGTGCAATACGGGACAGGGATAAATCAGATTAGGTGCATGGATAAATCAGATGCGGTGCAATACGGGACAGGGATAAATCAGATTAGGTGCATGGATAAATCAGATGTGGTGCATCAAAGGACATGGGTAAATCAGATTAGGTGCATGGATAATTCCGATGTGTGCAATACGGGACAGGAATAAATCAGATTAGGTGCATGGATAATTCAGATGCTGTGCAATACGGGACAGGGATAAATCAGATTAGGTGCATGGACAATTCCGATGCGGTGTATCACGGGACATGGGTAAATCAGATTAGGTGCATGGATATATCAGATGCGGTGCAATACGGGACAGGGATAAATCAGATCAGGTGCATGGATAAATCAGATGCGGTGCAATACGGGACAGGGATAAATCAGATTAGGTGCATGGATAATTCAGATGCGGTGCAATACGGGACAGGGATCAATCAGATTAGGTGCATGGATAAATCAGATGCGGTGCACTACGGGACAGGGATAAATCAGATTAGGTGCATGGATAATTCAGATCAGGTGCAATACGGGACAGGGATAAATCAGATTAGGTGCATGGATAAATCAGATGCGGTGCACTACGGGACAGGGATAAATCAGATTAGGTGCATGGATAATTCAGATGCGGTGCATCAAAGGACATGGGTAAATCAGATTAGGTGCGTGGACAATTCCGATGCGGTGCATCAAGGGACATGGGTAAGTCAGATCAGGTGCATGGATAATTCAGATGCGGTGCAATACGGGACAGGGATAAATCAGATTAGGTGCATGGATAAATCACATGCGGTGCAATACGGGACAGGGATAAATCAGATTAGGTGCATGGATAATTCAGATGCGGTGCAATACGGGACAGGGATAAATCAGATCAGGTGCATGGATAAATCAGATGCGGTGCAATACGGGACAGGGATAAATCAGATTAGGTGCATGGATTAATCAGATGCGGTGCAATACGGGACAGGGATAAATCAGATTAGGTGCATGGATATATCAGATGCGGTGCAATACGGGACAGGGATAAATCAGATCAGGTGCATGGATAAATCAGATGCGGTGCAATACGGGACAGGGATAAATCAGATTAGGTGCATGGATAATTCAGATGCGGTGCAATACGGGACAGGGATAAATCAGATTAGGTGCATGGATAAATCAGATGCGGTGCACTACGGGACAGGGATAAATCAGATTAGGTGCATGGATATATCAGATGCGGTGCAATACGGGACAGGGATAAATCAGATTAGGTGCATGGATAAATCAGATGTGGTGCATCAAAGGACATGGGTAAATCAGATTAGGTGCGTGGATAATTCAGACGCGGTGCATCACGGGACATGGGTAAGTCAGATTAGGTGCATGGATAAATCAGATGCGGTGCATCAAAGGACATGGGTAAATCAGATCAGGTGCGTGGACAATTCCGATGCGGTGTATCACGGGACATGGGTAAATCAGATTAGGTGCATGGATATATCAGATGTGGTGCATCAAAGGACATGGGTAAATCAGATTAGGTGCATGGATAATTCCGATCAGGTGCAATACGGGACAGGGATAAATCAGATTTGGTGCATGGATAATTCAGATGCGGTGCAATACGGGACAGGGATAAATAAGATCAGGTGCATGGATAAATCAGATGCGGTGCAATACGGGACAGGGATAAATCAGATTAGGTGCATGGATAAATCAGATGCGGTGCAATACGGGACAGGGATAAATCAGATTAGGTGCATGGATAATTCAGATGCGGTGCAATACGGGACAGGGATAAATCAGATTAGGTGCATGGATAAATCAGATGCGGTGCAATACGGGACAGGGATAAATCAGATTAGGTGCATGGATAAATCAGATGTGGTGCATCAAAGGACATGGGTAAATCAGATTAGGTGCATGGATAATTCCGATGTGTGCAATACGGGACAGGAATAAATCAGATTAGGTGCATGGATAATTCAGATGCTGTGCAATACGGGACAGGGATAAATCAGATTAGGTGCATGGACAATTCCGATGCGGTGTATCACGGGACATGGGTAAATCAGATTAGGTGCATGGATATATCAGATGCGGTGCAATACGGGACAGGGATAAATCAGATTAGGTGCATGGATAATTCAGATGCGGTGCAATACGGGACAGGGATCAATCAGATTAGGTGCATGGATAAATCAGATGCGGTGCACTACGGGACAGGGATAAATCAGATTAGGTGCATGGATAATTCAGATCAGGTGCAATACGGGACAGGGATAAATCAGATTAGGTGCATGGATAAATCAGATGCGGTGCACTACGGGACAGGGATAAATCAGATTAGGTGCATGGATAATTCAGATGCGGTGCATCAAAGGACATGGGTAAATCAGATTAGGTGCGTGGACAATTCCGATGCGGTGCATCAAGGGACATGGGTAAGTCAGATCAGGTGCATGGATAATTCAGATGCGGTGCAATACGGGACAGGGATAAATCAGATTAGGTGCATGGATAAATCACATGCGGTGCAATACGGGACAGGGATAAATCAGATTAGGTGCATGGATAATTCAGATGCGGTGCAATACGGGACAGGGATAAATCAGATCAGGTGCATGGATATATCAGATGCGGTGCAATACGGGACAGGGATAAATCAGATTAGGTGCATGGATTAATCAGATGCGGTGCAATACGGGACAGGGATAAATCAGATTAGGTGCATGGATAATTCAGATGCGGTGCAATACGGGACAGGGATAAATCAGATTAGGTGCATGGATAAATCAGATGCGGTGCAATACGGGACAGGGATAAATCAGATTAGGTGCATGGATAAATCAGATGTGGTGCATCAAAGGACATGGGTAAATCAGATCAGGTGCATGGATAATTCAGATGCTGTGCAATACGGGACAGGGATAAATCAGATTAGGTGCATGGACAATTCCGATGCGGTGTATCACGGGACACCGGTAAATCAGATTAGGTGCATGGATATATCAGATGCGGTGCAATACGGGACAGGGATAAATCAGATCAGGTGCATGGATAAATCAGATGCGGTGCAATACGGGACAGGGATAAATCAGATTAGGTGCATGGATAATTCAGATGCGGTGCAATACGGGACAGGGATAAATCAGATTAGGTGCATGGATAAATCAGATGCGGTGCACTACGGGACAGGGATAAATCAGATTAGGTGCATGGATAATTCAGATGCGGTGCAATACGGGACAGGGATAAATCAGATTAGGTGCATGGATAATTCAGATGCGGTGCAATACGGTACAGGGATTAATCAGATTAGGTGCATGGATAATTCAGATGCGGTGCAATACGGGACAGGGATAAATCAGATTAGGTGCGTGGATAAATCAGATGCGGTGCAATACGGGACAGGGATAAATCAGATTAGGTGCATGGATAATTCCGATCAGGTGCAATACGGGACAGGGATAAATCAGATTAGGTGCATGGATAATTCAGATGCGGTGCAATACGGGACAGGGATAAATCAGATTAGGTGCATGGATAAATCAGATGCGGTGCACTACGGGACAGGGATAAATCAGATTAGGTGCATGGATAATTCCGATCAGGTGCAATACGGGACAGGGATAAATCAGATTAGGTGCATGGATAATTCAGATGCGGTGCAATACGGGACAGGGATAAATCAGATTAGGTGCGTGGATAATTCAGATGCGGTGCATCACGGGACAGGGATAAATCAGACAATGAGTAAGTCAGATGTGGTACAACACTCGACAAAGATAAGTGCCCGCACACACCATAAAGTTGAACTGGACTTGTATAGAACGCGCCTTGAATAAATAGGATAGCTTCATTTTATTTTTATTAAGCAAATAAATCAGATATTTTTAGCGAATTTTAACAGAACAATGATTACGAAAATTTTAATATGGAAAACATTTTTGCGAATCATTTACTGACTCATGGCTTACTGATAACAAGAAACACAATGCAAAACGTACTGTCTGCCAAGGAGGCTGATCACGTGACCACATCGGCCATGTTTTGGTGAGGTCATGTTTGAAGGACTTGTGCTGGTTCTCGCCTAGTCCATACACTTTGTCCGACGGGAGGCGCGTGGCGATCTGCAGAAACTGGTCCGAGAACGTCAATCCCCCGACACCCGTGTCCCAGCTGAGGAATAGTAGATACAACAGTGATATTGGCGACGATATAAGCACACCGCTTGAAAAGAGTACTGTGAATCCGGACCTTATTTGGCTGGACACCTAATATTGTGGACGAGTATAGACGGGATGGAATATATGTCTGTTTGTGTATGCATAAGAAGTAAATGTTTACATTACAGTTGTGTGTTTTGTTCTGTTGATTATATATCAAATTTACTTCATACATGATGCATGAAGTGAGTGAGTGAGTGAGTGAGTGAGTGAGTGAGTGAGTGAGTATGGTTTTACGCCGCTTTTAGCAATACTCCGGCGGGGAACAACGGAAATTGGCTTCACACATTGTACCCATGTCGGGATTCGAATGATGCATGAAGCGAGAACATGCTAATATGTAGTCAGTGTATATCTGATTGAATCGACTTAAAATGATCGTAATACCAGTTCCCTTTGAATAAGACTTCACTGAATGCATGATATATTCTCCATAAAACTAGAGGCGAGGTAGCCAAGTAGTTAAGGTGTTCGCCCGTCACCCGACGGCCCGGGTTCGACTCCCTACACGGGTAAACTTACTGAAGCCCATTGTTAATTTCCCGTGTTGTATTAATGTGGAACATTGCAGGTAAAAAACCAAAATCACTCACTCACTCTCAACAAAGCTGACGCGTCGATGTTGACTGATACACAATGTCAAGGTGTTATATGGGAGGGTGATATATTGTTAAACAATGATTGAAACTGTATTACATTGTCTCTGTTGAGATTCAGTAGAGTGAGTGAGTTGGGTTTAACACCGCTTTTAACAGTATTCCAGTTATATCATGGCGTGTCAGCTTAATGTGGGGGGACAGCCCGAAGTGTTACCACTTCGGTGAAACCCACGAGCACGGGTATGGTGCTGACAAACCTAGAAACATAATCGGGATTCGAACCCACAATCATAGGTTTCTGGCGTGCCCAAGGGACGCAAGTCTGCACAGCGAATAGCGGCGCCTTAGACGACTGGGCCACCCGTGCCCCCGAGATTCAGTAGAAGTCCGTTGCATTGTATTTGAACAATGCCTTGTTATCAAGAATATAGTACTATTTAATGTAAGCAGTGGTGAGGAAGTTACTATATTTAGATGCTGGTGTGATGTGTAAACTTCCGGAACAGAGTGGACTGTTTGGGAGAGTTAGGGAAAATTCAGGAAGGTTTTGGGGGGTTATATAAGAGAACGAAGGCATCATCTCTGACACATTGCATCACATATATTCATCTGAATATAAAGCAAGACCAGCTTTCGTGTGAAGATCACTTATCACCCTGGAATTCTAGCCTAGGCCCACTTTTGAAGCTTGACCACTGTCGCCGCTGTGTGAATATATTATTATCACCACTGTATTTCTATGTTTGATCCTGACCACTGCCATCATATTATATACTGCCATTGAATATTGTACTTCCACAATGTGCACTGTCATTGTCATTGCTGTGCAGTAATTGATTTGTAAACCTAGTGAATTTTGTAATACATTTGTTTATTGTATACTGTACAAAGGTCGCTGACTCACATGACTTTGCCTGTCGCCTTCCTGGTGACTTGGAAGGCGAAGGTATCTCTGTTTGTGATGACCACGTTGTACTTGGCGTCTGACGCCTTGGTGGACCCCAGGTTGAGCTTCATCGGGACCTTGTAGCGGGAAGAGTTTGGGTCATCGATCTGATAAAACGGAAGTATATACATATATATAACCCGTAGCCATTGAGTTCCTGTCACTTGGGATATATGACTCGTGAAGATCCGGGGTAGAATATGTCTGAAACAACCCGTGCTTGCCATGAAAGGCGACTATGCTTGTCGTAAGAAACGAGTAACTGGATCGGGTGGTCAGGCTCGCTGTCTTGGCTGAGGCATATCATCGTATCTTGATTGCGTGGATCGATGTTCATGACTCCAGATGTTCTGGTCCAGATTCGATTATGTTTCAGACCTCCGCCATATAGGTGGAATATTGCTGAGTGCGGCGATAAACAAACAAACAAACCAACAAACAGACATGAGGTATATGGTATTGGTTTGGAACAAAAGGAACATCTTTAATATGATGAGTTCGCTCGTCACGCCGAAGACCCCCCGACATAGGTACAATGTGTGAAGACCATTTCGGGTGTCCTCCGCCGTGATATTGCTGGAATATTGCTAAAAGCGGCGTAAAACCATACTTACTCACTAATATGATGGACTCGAATTCACAGTTGTGAGTGAGTGAATGAGCTTGGGTTAACGCCGCTTTGAACAGTATTCCAGTTATATCATGGCGTGTCAGCTTAATGTGGGAGGAAGTCCGATGTGATAAGGCCTTAGACGTTTACCATGAGCACGTATGTCCCCGCATTCACTGAAAGCATTGTAAATATTATTTCTTTTGTTCAGCGCCGCAACAGCAATATTTCAGTGTGGTATTGCGAAACGGTCTGGTGCTGAACGGGCCCCAGGTAGTAAGATACTAATATGTAGATAGTATATCCTTGATAACTAAAGGTACGTTTGGACATAAAATCAACTTTGTAACCGAACCTAACCATATATATATAACTTACACACTGTAAACGTACGAAGACATGTCAGGGGGCTTGTGTCGGTAACTCTGTTCAAATCAAACCCACCACCGCCCCGTGTCGACACGAGGGGTTGTTTGAGTAGCGATAACCCATCGCATGAAAAACAACGTCACTTATGACTGTCACGTCGGGTAAACAGATTGGCGGATTTCGGTGCTGATTTGGGTCACAAGCATACATATCGAGTATAGTCTATTGCCAAAGTTATTGTGGGTTAATGCGAAACCACAGCTTGCAATTGCTACTCAGCACAATAAATGTTCCCGAGTAATATCTACACATAGCTGGCATTCCCCGACATGACGATGTCGACAGATAGGGTGAACGTGTAAATCTACGTAACAGCTGTGTACGGCAGTACGTGCAAATTGTTTTGTATTTTACCTATGTTTTGAATGAGGTGAGGTGAAATGGGGTTTATCGTCGCGTTCAAGATTATTTCAGTCATATAGCGGTGAATGAGTATGGTTTTACGCCGCTTTTAGCAATATCAAGCCAGGGGGCACAATTAAGAAATGGCCTTCACACATTGTACCCATGGGGGCGTGACGAGCGAACGCTTTAACCACTATGCTACGCCACCGCCGCAGTCATACAGCAACGTGGGGGCGGCATGATGTGGGGTGACAAGCAGGGTACCACCTTGTAACGTGGTTTGGTGTAAAGCGGCCAGGAGAACGAACTCCAGACCTTCCGCTCTCCGGGCAGACGCTCTACCCACTACACCATTGAAACGGATAGTTTTGAGCGAATTTGAAGCAAGCAAGCATATATAGCCGCATCACAACTTTATTGTGGTCCCATTTTACGCACTCGCTTCTACCGTCATATAGCTGTATGGAATATTGCTGAGTGCGGCGTTACACAAAAAAAAAAAAAACATAATCGAATCTGACTAATCGATTGTTGCGGGCTTGGTGACCGATCCGCACAATCGGGGCACGATGAAACGTATCTTCCCGAGGCAAGGGAGTTATCTAATTTCAAAAGTCCAGTTTCCACTAGTCAGTTAACTCCTTGCCCTTAGGAAGATGGATGACACACAGGCTGTCCCGTCACGCAATGCAGTGACCCGACCCTCGATCAGCTCTTACGAAGGTGTAGGCATAGCGAATTGCGGCGCCTCAGACAATTGGACAACTTAATGACCAATCAATGCTAAAGAGACCACACGCTCTTCCTTAAACAATGTATCGTGAGACTATCGCCTCTAAGATACGAAAGTGAAGGTGCATATGTTGTCATGGTGATATCATTATCAGTAGTTGTTGTATGATGTTGGTCGGCACAGCGACCCTGACTCATAAAGATCCTGCGTTACTTAGGACAAAACATCACACATGGGCCCTGTACTTACTTTATGTGAGGCTTCAACATGTGGGTTATCGGCAGCATCCTGGGACATATATTTCAAGTGCGGGTATATATATTTTTAACTTGGTTTCACGTTATTTAGTGCAGTAACCGTTATTAAGTACCGATCATTGCTATTGGTTCTGCTTTAAGGCATACAATTCTGTTGTTTGACAGGCAGCACAACAACTAATTGACAACTAGGACATGGGGTGTGGAGAGCAGGTCCAGGAAACAATTATTATATTCTGATTGTTGTGTGACCTGATGCAAACTCTAATTATATGACCTGAGGCAAACTCTAATTATATGACCTGATGCAAACTCTAATTATATGACCTGAGGCAAACTCTAATTATATGACCTGAGGCAAACTATATTTATATGACCTGATGCACATATAATTATATGACCTGAGGCAAACTATAATTATATGACCTGATGCATAATATAATTATATGACCTGATGCAAAATATATTTATATGACCTGAGGCAAACTATAATTATATGACCTGATTCAAATATAATTATATGACCTGAGGCAAACTATAATGATATGACCTGATGCAAAATATAATTATATGACCTGATGCAAAATATAATTATATGACCCGAGGCAAACTACAATTTCATATATTTTATTCACCTAAGTGTTCGATTGGTCTCTCAGAAGGCGGTGTCCCCTGACGCTCCTCTGTTATCATGTCGCCTTGTATCAACAAAAGGTTCATCGTGTATATTTATTAACTGTGAAAGTGGTCTAGTGGACAGGGCGTCTGCCCGGAGAGCGAAAGGTCGGTGATTTCGATTCCTGGCCGTGCCATACATAAAGGCGTTATTTGAATGTTACTTGTTGTTTCCCTGCTCGGTATTTAGAGGATAAAACAAGTACTGGTCAGTTAGGAGGCAGTATACTGAGTCTGAGTCGGGTGAATATCTTTAACTGCTGTATGGTATCTCAGTGGACAAGCACTATAAGACATGGGGCACTTGGGTCCTACTTTGTTCGTTTGTTGTTTAACGCAGCACCAAGCAATATTCCAGCTATATGATGGCGATTTGTAAATAAGCGAGTTTGAACCAGAAAATCCAGGGATGATATCATGAACATCGATACACGCATGCATCTACAAAGTCAGCGAGCCTGACCACCCGATCCCGTTAGTCGCCACCTACGGCAAACATGGGTTGCTGATGACCTTTTCTAACCCGGATCTCCACGGGTCGGGTCCTGCTACACCTACGGATCTTTCTACATTCGTCCCCACTCCCTCACGAATGGCCCTCCTGGTGTTAGCGTCACCACATCCACAATCACCGCATTAATTCCGAGAACTCCACACATGCATAAACCCTGTCGGAGTCCCACCACAGATAGAAAATAGTATTTCAAAATACCACTGACAACTTTCCCTGAACGGGAATGTGAGTAGAGAGAATATATCGCACTGAAAGTGCAAAGTCAAATAAACTGTGACAGTGCCGTCCATGATTTACGATTCCAGCTGTGCACGGAGAGTCCGAGCTCTCAATGTAAATAGTAGTCTGGTTGGCATTGACACGAGGGAACTACTTGCTCGCTTGTAAGGAGTTACTAAGCATTATCTCTTGTTTGGTATAGTTTGGCGCTGAGCATGATAGATGTCCTGCAAATACAGGCACTCCGTGTCTGATTTATTTGTTTGTTTGTTGTTTAACGTCGCACTCCAGCTATATGACGGCGGTTTGTAAATAATCGAGTCTGGACCAGACAATCCAGTGATTGACATCGTGAGAATCGACCTATGTAGTTGGGATACGATGACCACGTCAGCGCGCCTGACCATCCGATCCCGTTAATCGCCTCTTACGACAAATATAGTTGCGTTTGACAGCAAGCATTGGTTGCTATTCTACCCGGATCTTCGCGGGTCTAACATTATCTACCTAGAAAACATCAGCAGATATGGCGGCGTGGCGCTCCGGAGGTCCTGCTCACACACATTATCCATATTATGGATGCGTTACATGGATTGTATGTGTTCTTGTTGTTAAATGCTGACTTCAGCAAAATATTTCAGCGATATGACGGCGGCCTGTGTATAATCGAATCCAGACCAGACAATCTGGTGACTGATATTGTGAGCAACTATCCACGTCATCGGGGTACGAAAACACACGTGTGCTATATCAGCCACGTCACGGAGCCTGACCCCCGATCCATTAAGTCGCCTCAGACAAGGGACTAATTCTATCCTCCGGAATCCAATGGGGATATTGTAGTTGATATGTACAAGTATTGTATTTGTTCACGTGCATCGCGGCACACATACAGATATGATATTACTATACGTTCAAACTATCAACCAGTCCTACTTCGTGCGTGAGTAGGATATATGTTTCGACCGCCACTGTGGTCTAGTGTTAGAGCGTCCGCCCGGAGAGCGGAAGGTCTTGGGTTCGATCCCCGGCCGCGTCGTACCAAAAGACGTTATAATAGTACTTGTTACCCTGCCTGGCGCTCGGCATTAAGGGGCTAAAACAAGGACTGGTCAGCTCGGAGTCAGTATACTGTGTCTGAGTAGGGTATTCATGTTAAACTGCGGCATGGTATCTCAGTGGGCAAGCACTTTAAAATCGTCATCAGTCTGGGCTGGAACAAGCAGACACACACACACGTGCATGCACAATCTTGAACGCGACGTTAAACCCCATTTCACCTCACCGGCATTGTTTCAACTGCATCACGACGACGACTACAAAGGAACCGACCAATCCACATTCCGGGTGGGGGCAGCTGGCATTTCGCTTTCAGAATTCCAGAGCGGACCTCATGAACTAACCCGCGCATAGCGGCCCATTCACATAGCTCCCTTGCCTTATTGCCTTGCATATATTCATATTCTGTTGGTTACTCGTCGCGTATGTTGAATGTGGCTTTGTCCCACGTAAATCAGCACGCATGCCCGAAGCAGAGACATGCATATATCAAGCCACCCCATTCATCTGTTGCGGGACAGTCGGAGCAAGCCTACCGACACAGTCATGTCGGAAATGTGCTGGCACAGTTACAGAGACAGTAAACGTGCAATACACAATCTATTAAACACTGACACATTTCAAGGGGTTGAGACAACTCGTCACATCATCTTACACATGGAAATATGGTCAAAAGGGTGAGTGAGTGTGTTTGTTTTAACGACGCTTTGGTTATACTACAACGTGGGGGCACGGGTGGCCCAGTCGTCTAAGGCGCCGCGATCCGCTGTGCAGAGTTGCGTCCCTTGGGCACGCCAGAATCCTACGATTGTGCGTTCGAATCCCGGTTCGCCCCAATTATGTTTCTATGTTTGTCACCACCATACCCGTGCTCGTGGGTTTCACCGAAGTGTTTAACGTCTAAGACCTGCATCACTTCGGGCTTTCCTCCCACGTTAAGCTGTTAAAAGCGGCGTTAAACCCAACTTACTCACTACACTACAACGTGAGTGAGTGAGTTTGGTTTAACGCCGCTTTTAACAGTATTCAAGTGATATCAGCTTAATGTCAGCTTAATGTGGGAGGAAAACCCGAAGTGATGCAGGTCTCAAACCTTTACCACTTCGATGAAACCCACGAGCATGGGTAAGGTGCTGACAAACCAAGAAACAAAATCGGGGCGAACTGGGATTCGAACCCCAAATCATAGGTTTCTGGCGTGCCCAAGGGACGCAACTCTGCACAGCGAATCGCGGCGCCTTAGACGACTGGGCCACCCATGCACCCCTTTACTTCAACGTGTGGAACTGATGTGGAAATGGTAGGCGGCCTTATCTGAGGGTGGCAAGTAGAGATCAACGACACAGTCAGCTGTAGTCCAGCTCCATCATGGCGGCCTGTACAACATGGGTCACTGGTGGGGACGGACGGCATAATCAACGGTCACGTCGTTGAGTGTGTGACTTAGAATTTTAAGTTACATCGGCTGTATTTCAGCCATTCTGTGACAAGCCATGTCGTTGAGCACGACGGCACTCAAACAGTTCGTACATTGTACCCACCCGATCTTCAAATTTGCCATGTATTGCCACAAGATTGGGGTGTTGGAGATCTATTCTGACACTTTACATATGTCATTTTCACAAATCATGTACACACTTGTAAAAACTCAACACCTATTTGCTACTTACCGTGAACCTAAGAATATCATCATGCCGCATTTCTACTTCAAATACAATCGAACTGATGTCCCCTCCGAAAGGGGCTTTCCCCTTCTGTGTCAGGAACGCCTTGAACCCCAGGGGGGTGTCCTCAGTCCCCGTCACCGTATACCCGTACCCCTCCAGAGGGAAGTGGCAGGGGGGTCCCGCCTGACCCGGCCCAGCGTAGATACAGTTCCTGGCCTCACAGCTCTCCCTCGTCACCGACTCAAGACCACTCTCCGCCTCGGGGTAACAGTCCAGACGCTGGGCCTCGGGATTCGTGGGGACCCCTCCTCCTCCTCCTGAATCCTTACTCCCTGAGTCGGTAGGACGGGTGAGATAGTATGCCGTGGGTGCTATAATTGCAACTGCAACCACTATAATAGATAAAATGATGACAATACGCTTTTTGCTGAGATTAGTCATGATGTCTTATAGGCTGACGAGTCACAAGTTTTCACAAGTGTCTTTCAACCCGGAGGAATAAACACGTTCTCTATAAATCTGATTCTGATTCACATGTCTGCACTCCCGTCTGACCCACACCGCCCCGTCTCTCGGTGTATGTAACTGATGTACTTATCACAGGTACACGACAGTGCTGTGAGAGCAGCGACACCTCTATCAGATTCTCCAGTGTAGTTCTCAAGCAGTGCTCCACCGAGTGAAAGCTTGTCGACGTCCCAGGTTGGTTGGTTGGTTGGTTGGTTGTTTAACGCCGCACTCAGCAATATTCCAGCTATATGACGGCGGTCTGTAAATAATCGAGTCTGGACCAGACCGACGTGTCAGGTGAAACAGAGGGTTGTTCTGACAGAGGCTATAGATATAGCCCCCCAAAGACAGGCCCGAACTTTTTTGTAGAAGCACCGTTTCGAGACAAGACTTGAAAGTCGTTCAGGTCAGAATCCAGAGCAAATTTTCACCACGTAACCAGACAGCAACTCGGTAAACTTGAAAGGACGAGGGCGTCAGGTCAGCATAGTAAACGGACACAAGACAAATATTGTACTAGCACGTGTTCACGGGCACATCTCGTTCATTGTTTGTCCTATTATAAACTTTACATGTAACAAAAAGCCACGTTATACGCTGCTTTGGACCCCCTGCATATCTCCCCGGCGTGTCACCTTGACACACATGTTGACACTTGGTAACAGAGAGCTATGTACATGTTGTAAACGTACACAGGTTCGGCGTAGTACTTCCCAGAATAACAACACATTATACACTACTGGAGGATGTTCGCGGGTGACGAGCTGCTTCATAAACAGGATCTGTCGTGCGTCCGTCTCAGCTGACATGAACACACCTTCACTTGTGCCGTAAAGTACCCACAAAATATCCCCGTGCAGAATCCTGGTTAGAACAGATCCCCAGAACCTGTACTGGTCGTGACGATTTGATGGATCGGGTGGACGGGCTAGTTGACTTGCTTGATCACGTGTCACCTTACCCCGACGGTGTTGATCGTCAGCCCCTGGTTTATTTGGTCAAGACTCCATTATTTATAAGTCGTTGTCATACAGTTGGAATATTGCTGAATGCGGCTTTCATCAACAACAAACAAACAAACCCTACAGAATAGACTAGAAGCAGAATCAATATGCATTTCTACCTTTACCCGACAGGCATGTCTAAAGCAAGATAGGCATGACACATACGTACAGAGAAATATTAATTTTTGATTCCACCTGAACTGCAGCTACAGCCACGTACAGCTAAATAGGACTTTTATTAAACTGACCTTCAGGATGACCACAACATTGTGATCATGGGTTAAAATTCGAGATTCAGTCTGATTACGTTTTCAGGTATGTCAGCACCATGCCCGTGTTCGTGGGTTTCACCATAGGGGTAAGTCCCAGAACAGCTTCACTTCGGGCTTTCCTCCCACATCAAACAGACACGCCGTGATATATACATATGAAGAACTTTCATTCTTACCTGCGTTTGTACGGTCTTTCATTATTTGTTTGACGCAGCGCTCAGCAAAGCGCACTATTCCATCTATATGACGGCGGTCTGTAAATAATCGACTCTGGACCAGACAATCCAGTGATTGATATGAGCATCGATCCAGGCTATTGGGATACGATGACGTGAATCAACCAAGTCAGCGAGCCCATTCCCGTCAGTCGCCTTTTACAATAAACATGGGTTGCCGAAGACCTATTCTATCCCGGATCTTCATGGGTCGGTTTTCCATTATTAATGTCGAAGTCCTGCTTGTGCGTTATGCCGATGTCCTGATGTAACGATATCATTTGTTATTCGTTATACCCGAAATATCAAAGGGCTTAACATTAATAAGCAGTGTGACCTATTTAATATGGATACATCTACAATATTTCGAGTCATAAAGAATTATCGTTGTGGTCAGAAATAATAAATTATTCATTTTGTATTTCAGTCATTGACTTAAATGATAGAGATTAATAATTACAATTCACATTTTATTTCTCTTTTAGTACGGCACTTTGTGTTAACTCAATACATTCACCACGGCACAGACACGAGTATGGCGTGCGAGTATGGCGACGCGTGTCATGTTAACCTCATGTGCCGACAGCGCCATACACAGTTCCGCGTTGTATAGTGATACAGATACAACCACTTACGTCAGCCAGCATTGCTGGGGTTCACACACCGTGCATGCCTGTGTGGCTCACGTCAATAGGAAGAAGTGTGTGTCTATTCATAAGCAAGTATTATCCAGCCATTAACAGTGTTCGTGTCGTGTTGTGTTGGAAAGACGCAAGAGGGAAAACTTGATTTACGCTTCAGTGAATAGTCCAAATGTATGACCGCTGCCTGTAGATATGGGAGTCTTGGACTGTCAACTAGTGATTGACATAATGAGCAGCATCCATCGTCATCGGGTACCACTGCACCAAGTCACCGAGCGTGACCATACGTTTCAAAATAGCCGATTCTTACAAGCATAGATTGTAATTTTTTGGGGACCTATTCTGGATCATTCTGCAGGGTGAAAAACGTCTGAGCGGGTCATATTTTATATTTTGTTTCTGATATCAATTCTGATTCAGAATGACGAATAATTTACGTTGGGTAACCAATCTACTTCTTTTTTGAAAAAATAAATAAATGGAGTAGTATGTAAGGTTCCTTTCCATGTAATATTTGTTCGTTTGTTTGTTGTTTAACGCTGCACTCTGCAATATTCCAGCTATATGACGGCGGTCTGTAAATAATCGAGTCTGGACCAGACAATCCAGTGATTGATATCATGAGCATCGATCTACTCAATTGGGATCGATGACATGCATCAACCAAGTCTGAGAGCCTGACCACCCAATCCCGTTAGTCGCATCTTACGACAAGCATAGTCGCCTGTTACGGCAAGTAATGGTTGCTGAAGACTTCCTTTTCATGTAAGAATATGTGCATTATATATCCTAAGGTACGAATAATACTGTCTGTCTTGACGTCCTTCATCAGACCCACATGGGTACGTGTAAAGCCCATTTCTGGTGTACCCGCTGTAATTTTGCTAAAAATGATGCAAAACCATACTCACTCACTCACCTTTCATCAGATACGACCAAACTCCCATCAATGGAACACCTCTCAAAAAACAAGAAGACAACATATATATGATTCAAATGATCTATTCCTTGGTCCATGTCATTCCCACATAAAACCAGTAGATTACTTCATTTACACTTCAACTCAAAGATAACTTTCAACAAAAGATATCATTCACAACCGGGCAACAGACTATGAGACAGATGACCTCATATAAAGCTAACAACCCATAACTTACTTCCACATCCTGCGATTGTCCTCTACCAGAGGATAGACATACCCTAACTCTATGGGAGTTAGTTTGTGTTGTATTAATCTGCAGTCAGCAATGTTACAGCTGCCACACAAGTTCCTAATGTTCAGACTCGGCCAGACAAGCATCTAATGCTGGGACCGAGTCAGTTAACTTTGTATTAGTCTGAAGTCAGAAATATGAGGCCACATCATCGTGGTCTGTAAGTTATCTTGACCCCTGTGCAGCGTGTTCAGAACGGTAGGACTGTCGAAAGAGTGTAAAAGAATGGGAGAGACGATCGTCTTAGCGCTAAGATCGCTTTGAAGTCCTTGTTTCACACAGCAGTCTTTTTGCACCACTGTCATGACAAACAATTTAAATGGACAGTAGCTCGAAGATCACTCTGTAGAACCAGACAAGTGGTACTAATGTCTGATACAGTCAGTGAGTTGGGGTGAGTTTGTGTGGGGACACTGCAGCAGTGAGTGGAGTCGTGCTGTTTGGAGCAGACAAGTGGTAGTAATGTCTGATGCAGTCAGTGAGTTAAGGTGAGTTTGTGTGGGGACACTGCAGCAGTGAGTGGAGTCGTGCTGTTTGGAGCAGACAAGTGGTAGTAATGTCTGATACAGTCAGTGAGTTAGGGTGAGTTTGTGTGGGGACACTACAGCAGTGAGTGGAGTCGTGCTGTTTGGAGCAGACAAGTGGTAGTAATGTCTGATACAGTCAGTGAGTTAGGGTGAGTTTGTGTGGGGACACTACAGCAGTGAGTGGAGTCGTGCTGTTTGGAGCAGACAAGTGGTACTAATGTCTGATACAGTCAGTGAGTTAGGGTGACTGGAGTCGTGTTGTTTGGAGCAGACAAGTGGTACTAATGTCTGATACAGTCTGTGAGTTAGGGTGAGTGGAGTCGTGTTGTTTGGAGCAGACAAGTGGTACTAATGTCTGATACAGTCAGTGAGTTAGGGTGACTGGAGTCGTGCTGTTTGGAGCATACAAGTGGTGCTAATGTCTGATGCAGTCAGTGAGTTAAGGTGAGTTTGTGTGGGGACACTGCAGCAGTGAGTGGAGTCGTGCTGTTTGGAGCAGACAAGTGGTACTAATGTCTGATACAGTCTGTGAGTTAGGGTGAGTGGAGTCGTGTTGTTTGGAGCAGACAAGTGGTACTAATGTCTGATACAGTCAGTGAGTTAGGGTGACTGGAGTCGTGTTGTTTGGAGCATACAAGTGGTACTAATGTCTGATGCAGTCAGTGAGTTAAGGTGAGTTTGTGTGGGGACACTGCAGCAGTGAGTGGAGTCGTGCTGTTTGGAGCAAACAAATGGTACTAATGTCTGATACAGTCAGTGAGTTAGGGTGACTTGAGTCCTGTTGTTTGGAGCAGACAAGTGGTAGTAATGTCTGATGCAGTCAGTGAGTTAAGGTGAGTTTGTGTGGGGACACTGCAGCAGTGAGTGGAGTCGTGCTGTTTGGAGCAGACAAGTGGTACTAATGTCTGATACAGTCTGTGAGTTAGGGTGAGTGGAGTCGTGCTGTTTGGAGCAGACAAGTGGTACTAATGTCTGATACAGTCTGTGAGTTAGGGTGAGTGGAGTCCTGCTGTTTGAAGCAGACAAACCTGAGCCTGAAAGTGGATCAATCAATCAACTGTATTGGCAGACCACTAAAAGTCCCTACTTATGACGGTGACAATAATTCAATAATATTTCAAGAGTTTAATTATGTTCAAACAAACTTTGATGGCCCACCAGCAATATACATCTATAATATTACACTGAAGTAATCTCAAGAGCACCATGGTTTCCGAGGGAGCACTGTTGATGATGTGACATATATACATTACATTAAATATGTGAACATAATATACAATGAATAGGTAATATACAGCAAAACCTTATTTGAACTCCATACATTGAACTAAGAATATTTCTATTTATTGAAATCTCATTAATATCAAACAGGGCGGTGTCTTGTATCAAGCTCAAAGCAACTGCTTAATGTCCCAAGACTCAAACTTAAAACTTGGTGGTGGTAAATTGTTTAGATCTGTTGCTTCAATGAAATGGAACAAGCTTCTAGACTGTCTCAAAAATGCTGACACTCTTTCAACATTCAAATCCCAACTCAAGACATTTCTTCTTAAAAAACATCTGTGACTTTTGTAATTGTCTTCGTATGCTCTTTGAGTTTGCTTAGGCGTGAAAGTAAGCTCTATATAAACAGACCTATTTATTAATTATTATTATTATTATTATTATTATTATTATTAATCCACACCACAAAAGTAATGGAATGCACATTCATAAACATAAGTGCTTATTTGTTATTAGGTACTGAGGAAAACGTTTATCCAGACTATTATGTTTGGAACGTCACTGTCAGGATTCACAAGGTCTACAGTATAGTTAGGACAGTCCCTAGACTTCTTGATACCATAATTACCTGTAATCAAGTTTTACTGTGAAATGAATGAGTATCGTTTTACGCTGCTTTTAGCAACATTCCAGCAATATCCTAGCAGGGGGCACCAGAAATGGGGTTCACACATTGTACCCATCTGGGGAATCGAACCAGGGTCTGTGGTGTGACGAGTGAACGCTTTAACCTCTGGACTACCTGACACCGCCCCTTTCACTGTTAACATGTCTAAACATTATAAACATGATGTAACTCAATTATTTTCTATACAAAAATAAAAATACTGCTTACTAAGTCAAAAAAAGGTTACAGCCATTAAACAAACAAATATGTTTGATTTCAGCACACTAGCTTACACATACCGGGGATAACATGTTCATCCCCGACTGTTGGCAGATAGCAGATCAAGCACACACTCATCTCACAAGTTTGTGAGACCTGTGAAGGTCCGGGTTAGAATAGGTCTTCAGCAACCCATGCTTGTCGTAAATGGCGACTATGCTTGTCATAAGAGGCAACTAATGAGATCAGGGTGGTCAGGCTTGCTGACTTGGTTGTCATCCTATCCCAATTGCATGGGTTGATGCTCATAATGTCAATCACTGGATTGTCTGGTCTAGACTTGATTATTTACAGCGTTAAACAACAAACAAATAAATAAACAAAAACATAAGTGTGTGAGAGAGTAAATGTAGTTTTACAGGGAAGTTCACAATGTTCCGATTGAATCAAGCACCACATGTATAATCAAATCTGGAACAGATTACTGAACCAGAGCATGAGCCACATACTCTGGAATGATGATGCACACTTAGAACAGCCAGTCAGAACTTCCTGTAAGTCAGCCATCTTGTGCAGAGTGACCACCCATCTTCATTTTTGTTGTCTTAGACGAGCATCAAGCATGGAGATATGTATTATGTCGATAACCATGACAACAACAACGCACACCCTAACCAAACATGACCAGATATAAAACATCTGTCGCACATCCCACATTTACAAAGCTGAAGGTAACTTCATCAGCAGTTTGTAACCAATGTCCTCTTTGATTGCTCTTAGAGCCATACTTTGTCAGAGTCTGATCCTGAGAATGAAGCGTTTCACTCCATAGGTCTTTGTCAGGTACAATGCACGGTCATGTGAAACTATCATCTGACAGAAACAAGTCTTCATAGTCCTCATCATCATAGTCCTCGATAACCGGGTCATCGTCCTCATCATCAGGAGCCTGGACCTTATTCTGACTGAGGGAGACCTCCTCTCCAGCTGCCTGTGAGGACGAGGACTGGTTGATGGCCTGCAGAGACGGTGTTTCCTCCTCCCCGTCGAGAACATCAGTCTCCTCGAGCTTCTCAAGCCTCCTGCAAACATATGGACTGATGTCAGGCTTCAGGCATGATGAAGAGGCAATGTAAGAAGACAACATCAGTGTGGATGATGACGAGGCAATGTAAGAAGACAACATCAGTGTCAGTGTGCATGATGAAGAGGCAATGTAAGAAGACAACATCAGTGTACATGATGAAGGGGGAATGTAAGATAACATCAGTGTGCATGATGGAGGGGGAATGTAAGATAACATCAGTGTGCATGATGGAGAGGGAATGTAAGATAACATCAGTGTGCATGATGAAGGGGGAATGTAAGATAACATCAGTGTGCATGATGAAGGGGGAATGTAAGACAACATCAGTGTGCATGATGAAGGGGGAATGTAAGATAACATCAGTGTGCATGATGGAGAGGGAATGTAAGATAACATCAGTGTGCATGATGAAGGGGGAATATAAGACAACATCAGTGTGCATGATGGAGGGGGAATGTAAGATAACATCAGTGTGCATTATGAAGGGGGAATTTAAGATAACATCAGTGTGCATGATGAAGGGGGAATGTAAGATAACATCAGTGTGCATGATGGAGAGGGAATGTAAGATAACATCAGTGTGCATGATGAAGGGGGAATGTAAGATAACATCAGTGTGCATGATGAAGGGGGAATGTAAGACAACATCAGTGTGCATGATGAAGGGGGAATGTAAGATAACATCAGTGTGCATGATGAAGGGGGAATGTTAGATAACATCAGTGTGCATGATGAAGGGGCAATGTAAGACATCAGTGTGCATGATGAAGGGGGAATGTAAGATAACATCAGTGTGCATGATGAAGGGGGAATGTAAGATAACATCAGTGTGCATGATGAAGGGGGAATGTAAGACATCATCAGTGTGCATGATGAAGGGGGAATGTAAGACAACATCAGTGTGCATGATGAAGGGGGAATGTAAGACAACATCAGTGTGCATGATGAAGGGGGAATGTGAGATAACATCAGTGTGCATGATGAAGGGGGAATGTAAGACAACATCAGTGTGCATGATGAAGGGGGAATGTAAGATAACATCAGTGTGCATGATGAAGGGGGAATGTAAGACAACATCAGTGTGCATGATGAAGGGGGAATGTGAGACATCATCAGTGTGCATGATGGAGGGGGAATGTAAGATAACATCAGTGTGCATGATGAAGGGGGAATGTAAGACAACATCAGTGTGCATGATGAAGGGGGAATGTAAGACAACATCAGTGTGCATGATGAAGGGGGAATGTAAGACAACATCAGTGTGCATGATGAAGGGGGAATGTGAGACATCATCAGTGTGCATGATGAAGGGGGAATGTAAGACATCAGTGTACATGATGAAGGGGGAATGTAAGACAACATCAGTGTGCATGATGAAGGGGGAATGTGAGATAACATCAGTGTGCATGATGAAGGGGGAATGTGAGACATCATCAGTGTGCATGATGAAGGGGGAATGTAAGCTAATATTTCTCACCTGCCACTGCCAAAGGTTGAATATCTACACATCTCTTGAACAAATGAAATCTGAGCTGAAACAATATCCAAAGAAAAGTATTGAGGTGCAAAATCACTCATGCATTATTCAGTACAATGCAATAGAAAATACATATGTTGTTTGCCATAGGTAACAGTGATCTTGTAACAAGAAGGAAATCTGACATGATTATGCATTACGAAACATTTCTTATATAATACATTATATTCTTATATAAAATACACATATTTGTCTGGAATGCAAGTGGTACAGGTTGACATGCTGACTGACTGACTGACTGACTGGCTGACTGACTGACAGACTGGCCTACCTGGGCTGTGTAGAGTGACGTTGATCAGGTTCATGTAGGGTAGGATTTCCGTACACAGCATCTTGGGATCCCAGTGGTAGCCTGTCACATAAAGCAGTGGAGTGGAGTGGAGTGGAGTGGAGTGGAGTGGAGTGGAGTGGAGTGGAGTGGAGTGGAGTGGAGTGGAGTGGAGTGGAGTGGAGTGGAGTGGAGTGGAGTGGAGTGGAGTGGAGTGGAGTGGAGTGGAGTGGAGTGGAGTGGAGTGGAGTGGAGTGGAGTGGAGTGGAGTGGAGTGGAGTGGAGTGGAGTGGCTTTGTACTGTATTCAGTTATATCACGGCTTGTCAGCTTGATATGGGAGGAGTCTGAAGTGACACAGGTGGTGGAACCCATGGGCACAGGTATGGTGCTGACAAACCTAGACACATAATCTGTGCTGACTGGGATTAGGAAACCCATGATCATAGGCTTCTGGCGTGCCCAAGGGATGCAACTCTTGCAGCGCCTTAGACAACTGGGCCACCTGTGCCCTCGTGTTGGTGTGATGTGAGTACAATAGCATAAAAAACAATAATGCCAAACACATTCAGAACACATTCACAACAAAACATTGTTCTATGATGACTTCATTTCTGGAGATTCGAACATGTGCTCACAACTTGATGATATTATTTTTGAGAGGGGAGTGTCTAGTGAGTTGTTCCCCATAGATGTATAGCTGGCCAATGCCAATAAACGCAATGCCCGAACGATCGCATCCAAAAGTGGGAGAGATATGACAATCGTCATCCGGAGAAAAGGTACAGGTAATCGACATAAGGATTGTGAGAATATGTGGGAAATATCCACCTGTGCATAAAATGGACTTGTCTGACATTGCCGAGGACGGATTCTATTGAGTGAGTAATCATTATTTAAATACGTGGTAAATATTTGTAAAGCTTGTACATTTTATTATCATCGTTAAAGAGGCTGAACACAATGTTGATATCTCACATAAGAAATATACGACTAATGGTTGTTGTCTATCATACAATAAAACACTGCAGGGAGATTAAACCACCAGGGGCTGCACCCCTCATGGTTTATTCTCAATACCGTGTTTCATATGGGATGAACGACTCCCACTCATCATTTATTTCTTAAATAAAGACAAGCATTTGTTGTCTTACCTTTAAATAAAGCACAAGCAGTTTCAGTATTCCTTTTTGCCTGTAATAAGAACAACATGATATTTTATCAAATGAACAACACAATAAGAGTGAGCTATTCATGGATTACTCTCAACATAAATCTCACTGACATAGGGCAGAGAACCCAGTGCTGTTCTCTTCAAATATCATCCTTGCTCTGTCAGCAGTGTATCCATGTTGCCAAATTTGTAAATTTTACAATAAATGAGCATTTCTGATTAAATGCAATGTTTTTATACTTACCTGACGCTACACAGTGCTTTAGCTTCCCTACCTTATACAAACAGACAGTACTGGAACAAAGAGACAGTTTAAACATACTACAGTCCGTGCCTCGGCATCCATGAGTTATCCCCCTTGGCCCCAACTCCTCATATTCTTCATTGGATGACATCAGTCGTAGAGGACACAGTGGCGCCAACGGTAAGGTGGAGGAGGAGGACAGAGTCCGGGTGGGCCTATAGGTGTAGCGTCAGGTAAGTATAAATCATTGCATTTAATCAGAAATGCTCATGTTTTACCTTACCTGACGCTACACAGTGCTTTATTCGACTGATGGAAGGCGGCCACACCATGAGAAGCGCCAGGCACACTGAAGAAGCACAACCAAAACCGTCTGTCAGGAAACCCAGCAGGCGACAGCAAGGTAGCGGCTCCCGGGACGGCAGGCAAGGGGATAAGATGCAGTCAAGCCCTCTCGTAACAGAATTGTGGTCTGATGGTAGAGAGAACAATCCTTGACAGAGGGTAAAAGCAAGGTATTCCGTGTCCAGCTCAAAAAGAGGGGAAAAAAACGGGACCAAAACTTTACTAGGTACCTACATAAAAGTACCGAGCAACCGAGGAACAGCACAAGGGATGGTCCTACCTTGGCAATAGGCGTCAGCGAGGCTAGTGGGGCCGCAGACAGCCACGCTCCTCGGAATTGGTACAATCAACTCCAGATTGTTGATGTGCCACACACATTACGAAGGAGTCCAAAGATCGGAAGCGGTTTCCTGGAGAAGGTGGGCGCCCCATCCTTGTAGAGAAGCTTCCACGAAGAGATGGTGAGTGGCCTCGAAGTTTGTCATAGAAGAACCACTCAAGACGTTCGATGGGACTAGCCACCACTCCAGGAACGGATGTAAGTCCCTTGCCAGAGGAAGAAGGGGACCCGACAGATCTGAGCACAGAAATGGCAGGAGAAACCTCTGAAGGGGACGCAGTTGAAGACGACCCCTGGACGTCAGATCCAACCCGAGGACAACAGCCCGAGAAGGTTCTCCTGACCCCGGATGGGATCACCGTGAACCGAGCCAGAGGAACTTGTATCAAGGGGAGGTCTGTCTGAAAGAGACCACCTATGAAAGTGAGATGGCTAGAGGGAGTCAGATCCGATTTCTTCATGTTGATGATCCCACCCATCCGATGGAGGAGGCGAAGGGTGAAATCATGCTGAAGAATCAAGGTTTGATTGACGCCGTGACTGAGGATGCAGTCGCCAAGGTAGGCTCCGAACCGAATCACCCTGCGGTGAAGGAACGCAATGATGGGATTGGTTATAACCTTGGAGCCGCGGAAATGCCAAATGGGAGCACTTTCCACTGAAAGTGTGGCTCTGGAAGATGAAGCGGAGGAAACGACGATGTGAATGTGAATGTGCAAGTAGGCATCCTGGAGATCCAGACTGTTGAGGTAGCCCATCAGTTGAAGGAGGTGGCACCGAGACCGGATGGAGATCATCTGGAAATGTGACGGAGGCGCAAGATAATGGAGGTTGAATAGTGCCAGATTGTGGATCATTCGTAGTTTGGAAGAACCCTTCTTGGGCACCAGGAAGACTGGAGAATAAAACCCTTGAGAGATGGAATCGAAGTCCAGGAGATCAATATTGGCCTCAAGATCCGGGACATCGCGGGGCCGATTTGGAGGTTCCAAGGGAATAGAAGTCAGAGGAGGAACAGCACAGAACTGCAGGCTGTAGCCGTAGCGGAGGATCCGGGTAATGAACAGATCCTGGAGCAGCTGCCAGTAGGTCTGAAGTCTTCCTCCTTCTGGAGACGGATGAACAGGGACAACTGGCGGAGGGAGTTGCCAGTTGTCGGGTGTCCGAAGAAAGTCACTTCTGTCCGCTTCAAACTGGTCCTCTTCCCAACATATGATTTTCGCTGCTGAGATAGTTGTGAAGAAAGGAGACGTTCCATGTTACTAAGGGACGAAACTGTTGTTGATTGGTATCCCAACTCTAAGCATCTTTGGCAACATCAATTGCGTCTTGAACGACGGATCCCAGGAGGACTGTTTGAGCAAGGCAGAGCGCCTACCCAAAGTCGACATGTGTACAGTCCCTGTTGTAGATCCAGCTTGTCTGCAATCTACATAGGTGTGTCTGCTTGATCAACCACATCGCAACTGTTTGAGGGAGGGATGGATGGGTCTCTAGATTATGGTTCCAGTGGAAGCTGATCTGAGTTCTCTTCCAGTGAACATGGATGTGGAGTCAAAGTGGGTTCAATGCTCTGAAGTTCGGATCGCTGTGATGAAGATGGAATCAAAGTAAGGCAGTTCTGTGGTAGGAACGTTTTTTTTCCTTGTTCGACTGTCGCTCATCCAGCACTGCAGTCATAGTATGAACCAAGGCTTGAAAATCGTCATGGGAAAGGCCAGACGACTAAGATAGGACAATTGAGATGATACCGATCCCGTCAGATATGATTGCTCGTTTCCGGCTACAATCGTGAAGGAGAACGACAATCCTGCTCTGGATTGTATCTTCTTCAATCCTCTGAACTGGCTGATCCACGAGGTGAACTGCGATCTCTTGTATGATCAGCTTGCTCTTGACTGTGTCTGTCTTTGCAGTTGGAAGATTCTACAGGTGAGTCTCAACTCTCTTGTGATCTTTGCATACATATCTCTGTTGGAGGGTTCGTAGGAGCTTTCTGATCGATGCAGATCCAACAGGGTTCGTTCAGATGTGTTCTAGAGAAGTCTGCAATCAGGAAGGATTCTGATGTATTGTCAATTACTAAGCAGAGCACCTGATCAGTGGTAGGTTTGCTGACAGTTGCCGACTGATTTGAGAAGGACTGCTTTCAGTGTTATCTTGTCACATTTTATTCACAGCAGAAGGTCCATGTTAAACTGACAACGATTTAGATCTTCTGTCATAGTCTCATCTATTGCACTTGCTCCAATATGTCTTGAATGCAGCCTTTGAGAGATCTTTACTTTTTTTCTTGGTGTGAGAGCAACGTCCCCGACAATCACAACATCTCAGATGAGTATCATGCATAGAGAATGTGGTCTTGTCAGTGGCTCCTTGGGAAAACAGTGGGTAATAAAACTAAACATGATACGTGAGGCTGCAGGTTCAATATAAGTTATGGATTCATATCAACATTAGATTCATATCAAAAGGCTAGTTCATAACTTCAATTGTTAAACCTTGGTCTTACAATTCAATTTAAGCTGGGACATTTCCTGCCCAGGGTTCCTGGTTAATGAATACATTCGCAGTTTTTCAACATGTAGTGTTAAGTCATAAAAGACCTGTGAAGATCCAGGTTAGAATTGCGTGGGTCAATGCTCATGATTTCAATCACTGGATTCTCTGATCCAGACTCCATTATTTACAGACCTCCATCACATAGCTGTAATATTGCTGAGTGCAGCGTTAAACAACAAACCAACATCACAAAGAGTTAATAATGGTGGGACACACCCCTGCTGTTACCTGTTTCTGTACGGTAAACCACTGAGACTTGTGGATCGGTCTCCATCCCAACCCTGTCCTCTTGCTGTCATGGCGAGCACAGTGGGAGTTGGAGTGAATGACACCCCTTGTAGCTATAGATGCAGCATAGTTCTCCATCGCTGAGCGAGACTGGGGACACAATAAATACACCTATAACCCGTCATATCTATGTGAGTACTGATACTGACACAGTTGACATCAAATTCTATCTTTGAACACACAATGCATTTAGAAAGTTCACTTTCTAAGTAAAGTACAGATTCTTGTACTATTCGGGGGATGAGTCCCATCCGGGATTCGAACCCACACAGCCAGAGTGAGGCACCTAATCGCCAGCACACAAAGTCAGCAATCTAACCCACTCAGACACCGAGGCTTCCACAAAACGAAAGTCCGACAACTGGTAGTCTAAGATGTCACAGACAGGAGATGCCAGACAAGCAGGCCATGGACTCTCAGTCAGGTGAAATAAGAATAGTATGAGGCAAGCTCTTAGCAAGTGAACTCTTATGTATTTATCATATTGTGATAGCAAGTTTATTGGATTGGATTATAACATTGTTATGACTATCATATGATAAATATAAAAGTCACTGTAGTTTTTCCAAAACATATTAATGAACAAACGAGCATTTTAGAGATATGTCTAACCATGCTTACCAAACATCTAGCATTATATCAAGAGAATCTGTTTCAAGCAATAAAATGTCCTATGTGCAGTTACCGCCCACTCTGCAGTGAAGAAGTCTGCATCGCTGATGTATTGACTAGCTCTCACGACGTCGTCGATGTCGGTGTAGAAGTCCACATAGTTCTGATGCAGGAAGCTAGAGAAATAGTTCCCGGAGAGGTGAGACTTCTCGACAACCTCCTGCAATTACAACACCACCACATACAGCATTGTCTGTTTGTTTCTGTTTGTTACTTATGCCCCAATCAGCAATACTCCAGGTAATCACGCAGCCTGTAAATAACCATGTCATATTATAAGAAACACACCACACCATTGGGATATGGTGACATGGAATGAACCAAGTGATCAACTCACCCCCAACAAAAGTACCGTACTGTCCCTGTTATAAGCCCATGTCTGAGCGCTAGTCCACCGACTGATTGACTTACGTTCTCCTTCTGCCGGTTTATAACCCAAATATGCCAGACAATCTAGGCCATTTTTTCACTCAACTTGGAACAAATTGCATCAGAATTTATTTCTATTAATATTATTTATAATTGGTGGCCATATTGGATTATGCAATTAGACATATTTCCCAAACTGGCATTGCTTGGGACTTTTAGAATGTTGCTTTGGGGACCTTGTAGAAACGCATTGTGGAGAAATAAATTCTGTTGCAATTAGAATTGTGAAAGTGAAACTTTATTTTGCCTGGACTACAACCCGAAATTTTTAAGTCCTTGTTGGGATCAGTGAACACAGACCAGCAAAGTCAGCAACCAAGCTGAACAGTAACAGCTGTCTTCACTTCAACAATTAGCATCTCATTAGTCTATATTTATGTTTGTTGTTTGCTTTGTATCAAAAGATCAGAGGTAATATAGCATAATGAACACTCATATATTTATATGTTTTATGTTTGCTTGCTACTTAACGCCACACTCAGAAATATGACTGTATGACTGTAAATAATTAAGACTGGACCAGACAATATAGTGATTGACATCATGAGCATCGATCGACGCAATTGGGATACAATGACACGCATCAACCAAGTCAGTGAGCCTGACCACCGGATTTATTTTTTTGAGTGATCTTGTGTTCACGGAATGAGTTTAGTCTGTATACTAAGTGACAGGTACCTGGGGACAAATCTCCAGTACCCAATGAAAACGTCCCGTTATCTGACAGGGTACTCACTTCAGGGTTGAGGAGCAGCGGGTCCCGGTCGTGTTCAGACAAGCGTGATGGCAGCTGGCAGTGGTCAGGGAACTCCTTGGGGTCCCCTCCTACAAGACGGTGGTAGAATGATTTATATTTGTTTGTTCGTTGTTTAATGCCGCTCTCAGCTTTATGACGGTGGTCTATAAATAATCCAGACAATCCAGTGATTGACATCACGAACATCGATCTACTCAACTAAGATATGACGAGACGAATCAACCAAGTCAGCGAGCCTGACCACCCGATCCCGTTAGTCGCCTCTTACGACGAGCATAGTTGGCTTTCACGGCAAGCATGGGTTGCTGGAGACCTATTCTACCCCGGATATTCACGGGTGGGGATAGAATGAACATCATAATCATCTCCATCCTGAATACAGAATCTCGTCATCATGGCAACAGACTTCACCCAACATGCCTGAATGTGAACATAGGCTGGAATACATTCCCAGTATCGGACAAAAGTGTCAGTTGGTTATGTATGTGAGACCTAGTTTATCCTGTCTCCAGATCTCTTGTGACTGGATTGTTTGGTGGTATGTGACAACCAGAATATGGAGAGTCAAGAACACAGCATGTGCGTCAATCAAGACATTTCAACTGTATTGTGACAAATTCTGGACATTCATGGTGCACCAACTTATGTAATGAGGCCTCATATTTGTGGCCTCATTTTTTAGCACCCACATATTTGACTAATTGTAATGCCTTCGATGATCATAAACCTAATCATGTGTGTTTCAATATATTTTGTCAATTATTCATTGATCTTGTGGGGTTATTTACTGATTATATCTTTTAGTTCTGTATCAATAACTGGGTTACCTTAATGTGTCAACTCGGGAATCAAATCCCAACAGCCATACTTGATTAGTGAAAAAAACAGCAATATAGCTGGAAAACAGCATTCACTCCACTAACGTTTCGTACGTGCTCGTATCAGCACTAAAATTGTCAAAGCTATAAGTACTGCCGTGATTCACCTTTTCATCTGAATAAAGGTAACTGTCCCCAGATTTCTTAGAAATCAAGTGCCGCCTTCATGTTCATTCATGCCTTATGTGCCACTGGTGGGGCAGGATATGCTCATCAATTTGCGAAAGCCTGGTATCATTTGATAGTGATTCATAAACACATGCTCATGACAATACATTATAGTCGGAATCGTACTCTGCTTTTGGCAGAAATTTCTATTGAACATGGAAAGGGTTTTGCCGCTTAAGCTAGATCCCCAAAACTTATCCCCTTGACTCAAAAATAAATAGATCCAGGAGAATCCCTGTCAGTGATATGTATAGCTTACGTTTACAGTACAGCACTTTGCCGATAGCGTGGAAGAGGAAGCAGGAGGTATCCCTGTCAGTGATATGCTTACGTTTACAGTACAGCACTTTGCCGATAGCATGGAAGAGGAAGCAGGAGGTATCCCTGTCAGTGATATGTATAGCTTACGTTTACAGTACAGCACTTTGCCGATAGCGTGGAAGAGGAAGCAGGAGGTATCCCTGTCAGTGATATGCTTACGTTTACAGTACAGCACTTTGCCAATAGCGTGGAAGAGGAAGCAGGAGGTATCCCTGTCAGTGATATGCTTACGTTTACAGTACAGTACTTTGCCGATAGCGTGGAAGAGGAAGCAGGAGGAATCCCTGTCAGTGATATGCTTACGTTTACAGTACAGCACTTTGCCAATAGCGTGGAAGAGGAAGCAGGAGGTATCCCTGTCAGTGATATGCTTACGTTTACAGTACAGCACTTTGCCGATAGCGTGGAAGAGGAAGCAGGAGGTATCCCTGTCAGTGATATGCTTACATTTACAGTACAGCACTTTGCCAATAGCGTGGAAGAGGAAGCAGGAGGTATCCCTGTCAGTGATATGCTTACGTTTACAGTACAGCACTTTGCCGATAGCGTGGAAGAGGAAGCAGGAGGTATCCCTGTCAGTGATATGCTTACGTTTACAGTACAGCACTTTGCCGATAGCGTGGAAGAGGAAGCAGGAGGTATCCCTGGCTCCTATTGAGGACCCTGCCTCAGAGTTTGTGTCTTTTTTCTGACTGGTCTCATACTTGAGTCTACGTCCGGAGCCAGAAGAAGACTTCTTCGGTGCTGGTCGATGTGATGTACACTTGGGCTTTAAGTCTAATGTATCTGCAAGAAAAACAGAGCAGCGCTATGGGTCCAAATTCTCAGTGAGTGAAATAGAAATTGGGGCTTATGAGCACCATATAAACAGCAACCACCTGTGCATCCCAGTTATCTACTGCGTCCTACTTAGAGGATCTTACACCAGCTTGAAGTATACATGGTATTCATGGTGCAGGGACTTCAGTTTTAATACTCATGAAAACATCTTTTCCAGCTAAACTATCATTCTAAACAGTCTCCTGATTCTGTAAAATTAATCAGGGGCTCCCTTGTACAAAGTTGCAATTATTAACTGTAAATCTCTGCTTAATTTGCATTCAAGAGGAATTTTGATCGGGGTAAACATGTCGGTGCACATGTTTCTGATATTTGCACAGTGTGCGCATATTATTTTTTAGTTGTTCTAGACATTTGAGTGGCTGATTGTCAACCCTGACCTTTCCAGGACTACTTTTGCGACGTTCCTTTGTTCATAGTTCGATCAACAAACACCATGTTTGTTTACCCTGAAATGCAGCCAAACAAAGGAAAACAAACTGAAGTAATTTTAACTGGTAATTTTGTTTGAAGCACTTGAGCAGAAGACAATATTTTGTTTTAAATATGCACATGCATCTCCTCTAGGTAAATCTCAGCAAACTGAAAATTATTTTACTCAGGGTAGAAAGTTGCAATTAAAATTTTGATGTTCCCATGTTTAACATGGCAAGCAACAAGGTGAGTAATGGCTGTATACATAGCTGCTTGTTTCAATCAAGAACTGTGTAATTTAATTAGATGGTTAATTTTAGCACTGTATCATCTGACCAGAACCAAAATGATGCTATGGTCGCAATGGGTCCAGGTATTTATCCAAATAAAATGAAAATAAAAATAGGCAGGACATTCACATCTTCTTGAAGCAAGAGAGATAACTGACTGTAAAGCCCAGTTAACACCCTTGCCCAACTCGGCTGAATTCCGGGCTTGATCAAGTGCCACCAGTGGCTATTACGAGTTATGTCCCTTCTCTGTCCCTTCTACTGACCAATCAGATTCTATGTTTGATATCAAATGCATTTGCTGCACACAAAACGGCGGCCCCTAGTAAAACAATCTGATCATAATCAAGATCTATATTGTAATAAAACGGTTCTTACTTCCTGAAGTGCATCAAAACATGTGAGCACCTTGATAAAAACATGAAAAGATTTGAAAAAAATCTTTTGACGCTAAGTTGTCGGTACACATGCTTTGCACAGCAGTTTACATACTGGATGTCTATTTCGCAACATGATTTTGACTGGACTATGCATAGACTCATTAGTGCAGCCAAAATATAACTCAATAAGTCACAGACTATTTTGGCAAGGGTGGAAACTGGACTTTTAAAGTCAGTTAACTCCCTTGCCTCGGAAGGATGGGACAATCGAGGATGCCAGCCGAGCGGTACTAACCCATTCCTCCTGGTCTAGCTCCAGATACATCTGTGTACACCTACCTTGACTACAGGCAAACTGCAGGGAATTGATGGCAGACCTCACGTCCCCTGCACTGGACATGGCTATAGACTCTATGACTGGGGAAGATGGGATGGCAGATATTGACCGCTGAAAAACATCACAGGTGTATGTGCCAGTGTACCTCATTGGAAATAGTAACAGAGATAAAAACTAATACAAAATGTGATACATATCTGATTGCTTAATATTTAAAATGGAAAGATTTCCTGATATTCAGGAATGAAACTGAAGGATGCTTGTCCTTCTGAATCAACCAACATCATGGCATTCATGGCATTGTTCTCTTTCATTGTGCTTAGACATTTTGAAAAAAGTTTTTTCATGAATGTCCAATTATTGGTTTTGCATTAATGAATGCAGAGCTGCAGTCACAACAGTCACTCTGAGTGAGTGAGTGAGTGAGTATGGTTTTACGCCGCTTTTAGCAATATTCCAGCAGTATCATGTCGGGGACACCAGAAATGGGCTTGACACAATGTACCCATGTCGTGAATCGAACCCGGGTCTTTGGCGTGACGAGCTAATGCTTTAACCTCTAGGCTACCCGACCACCCCACACAACAATATCTGAAGTAAATGTGACAATACATGTTATGCAATGGATTCCAAATTCAATTTAGCTTGTCAAATTTACAAGTAGCCTAGTCCTACATTTAAAATAAAGCTTATCTCCTAATTGAGCTGTTCAAATACGATACTGTAATCAATAAGATGAAGGAAAATTAGGTCACACTTTTTTTATAACTTGCTCTATGGATCTGCTGACTGTACATATTGTTGAAGTGAAAAAGAAATTTCAGAATTTCTCTAAAGCAAGTAAAAAAAAGAAGAGTGATCTGTTCAGTCAAAATACAATTTTATTACTTTCACTTCATATAAAACACATACAGATGGTTGGGAATGTATTTTAGGCAAAGATAGCCCAGTGAAGGCTAATTCTCTGTGATGAATTACCTCCCTTTGCTATGACAGGATCTGCTGGTCATGGGTCAGCATCCCAGATTCAAACCAATTCTGATTTATTTTGGTCAACACAATACTGTGACAGGATTCACAATAATTCTTAATGTCTACAGCATGTATCACCGCAGGCTTTTCTCCCAAATTAACCTGACACGCTTCGATACAACAGAAATGTCTTAGAACCAGCAAAATGAATTGAATATTTTTCAATAGAATGATCAGTTTAATCGTGGAAGGATGTCAGGTACCTGATTATATTCTGAGTTTGCGATCCGAGCCAATACTTTGACCATCATGGTTGGCGCCACAGGGTTGAAGCTGATACTCTCAATACATATCTCAGCCTGGAGGTCTGCAGGGAAGAGTTGTCTCTCATTGGATTCTCCACTTGTTGTGTCGCTGATAATGAACACCAGAGGGCAGCGTCCAACCTGTCTGTACTTCCTGATAAGAAAGACAACTCTTGTCATAGCACAGAACAAGGTGTAGTCAAATCAACATGATAGCTTTAGTCACAAACTTCAAGTTTGTGGTTGGACCTCATTTTCATGCTATATTTTCCACAATTACTATGATCTAATCATCTTGTGTTGCATGCATTATTCATATCATAAGGCCAGTTACCATGGTTCAAAATATAAATGGGTAGGGAGGCAGGATTTGACGTTTTATTCCATTTCCTCATTAGCTTACATTGGTTGGTTTGTTGTTTAACGCTGCACTCAGCAATATTACAGCTATATGACGGCGGTTCATTAGCTTACAAATCAATAAGGATGATAAGCAAAAACTTGCTTCTTATGTACCCCCTCCCCTCCCCTCCTTTGAAAAGATGGACCCAAAAGCCAGGGTGACATTGGCTATGCCACCTCTGTGAGGCTGACAACACAATACAAACAACTTTAGGGGTAAGCCTGTCATGAGAAACAAGACAATCATCATGTTTGAGTTTACCAGCTTTAATACACACATCAAATGCTTGTATCATGCTTGTATCATGCTTGTACCATGTGCACAGTACCTGAGTATGTTGTGAAATACTGAACTGTCACGGAAGAAAATGTTGGGTAGTTCCTGAAAATGGAAATAACTGTAATGACACAAAGACAAGTTACCTTGAACATGTGGAATGGAACCTATCTATTACTCAGAGAAGATACAAAACAGTTTGTATGGACTGTATGGCCCATGTGACAAATCGAAACCCAGGTCTAATGCATGATGAGCAAACGCTTTCACCACACAGCTACCCCACCACAGGGGGCGATTTAACTGCTGGCCCGCTGGTCTGTAGCCAATTAAAAATACGAAAGACTTGCTGAAACATAGAGTAGATGGCCTGTGTGGGTTGTCAAAATTTCACCCTTTCTCTGTGCATGTTTAAATTTTTTAACTGAACACTGCTCGTGAATCATGTAATTTAGATGAGAACCCAAAAATCATCTTGGTAGAATGATGCAACCAGCGGCCATTTTGTAATGTTCTGTACAACAACATCTTTATTTGCCCATAAAAACGCCACGAAGTGAGGCAAATGGCAGCCAAGGTTTATTCTCAGAGTGCTGAAAAAAGTGTTTCAGGTGGAGTTCTAAAATTTTTGGAGCCCCCTGGATAACTCAGTCATGGCCTCAAAGATTTAGTTTTGGGCCAGGTAGTGTGAAGAAGGGCGGGGTAGTGTGAATAAGGGCCTGGTAGTGTGGAGACGGGCCGGGTAGTGTGGAGACGGGCCGGGTAGTGTGGAGAAGGGCCGGGTAGTGTGAATAAGGGCCTGGTAGTGTGGAGACGGGCCGGGTAGTGTGGAGAAGGGCCAGGTAGTTTGGAAAAGGGCCGGGTAGTGTGGAGAAGGGCCGGGTAGTGTGGAGAAGGGCCGGGTAGTGTGGAGAAGGGCCAGGTAGTGTGGAGAAGGGTCGGGTAGTGTGGAGAAGGGCCGGGTATTGGAGACGGGCCGGGTAATGTGGAGAAGGGCCTGGTAGTGTGAATAAGGGCCTGGTAGTGTGAATAAGGGCCTGGTAGTGTGGAGAAGGACCGGGTAGTGTGGAGAAGGGCCGGGTAGTGTGGAGAAGGGCCGGGTAGTGTGGAGAAGGGCCGGATAGTGTGGAGAAGGGCCGGGTAGTGAGGAGTAGGACAGGTAGTTTGGAGTAGGACAGGTAGTTTGGAGAAGGGCCGGGTAGTTTGGAGAAGGGTCAGGTAGTTTGGAGTAGGACAGGTAGTTTGGAGTAGGACAGGTAGTTTGGAGAAGGGCCGGGTAGTTTGGAGAAGGGCCGGGTAGTTTGGAGAAGGGCCAGGTAGTTTGGAGCAGGGCCAGGTAGTTTGGAGCAGGGCCAGGTAGTTTGGAGAAGGGCCGGGTAGTTTGGAGAAGGGCCGGGTAGTATGGAGAAGGGCCACGTAGTTTAGAAAAGGGCCAGTTACTTTTGAAAGGAGCAAACACTGCTGGCTACATACAAATTTGTTGTTTATCTGACACTGCACCAACCCATTTAACATGTGCTAGTCCCACCTCATAATTACTATACGTTAAAGTTGCACAATAATACATTTATTAGTGAGAAAATGTACAACTTTACGGATAACAACATTTTGGTGTAGATTCTTACACCGTTATCAAGCTGGAGTGACGACAACCAAGTGATGAGAGGTATAGATACATGACATGTTGTGATGAGCAGCAGATTAACGTTGACAACAACAGGTAATAGGTAACAAGTAGCATACAGATAATTGGATGAAGCCAGATGTACAGTAAGAATAACAAATAGCACATGGTAATGAAGCACACAAGTAATGAAGCCAGATGTACCGTAAGAATAACAAATAGCACATGGTAATGAAGCACACAGGTAATGAAGCCAGATGTACAGTAAGAATAACAAATAGCACATGGTAATGAAGCACACAAGTAATGAAGCCAGATGTACCGTAAGAATAACAAATAGCACATGGTAATGAAGCACACAGGTAATGAAGCCAGATGTACCGTAAGAATAACAAATAGCACATGGTAATGAAGCACACAGGTAATGAAGCCAGATGTACCGTAAGAATAACAAATAGCACATGGTAATGAAGCACACAGGTAATGAAGCCAGATGTACCGTAAGAATAACAAATAGCACATGGTAATGAAGCACACAGGTAATGAAGCCAGATGTACCGTAAGAATAACAAATAGCACATGGTAATGAAGCACACAGGTAATGAAGCCAGATGTACCGTAAGAATAACAAATAGCACATGGTAATGAAGCACACAGGTAATGAAGCCAGATGTACCGTAAGAATAACAAATAGCACATGGTAATGAAGCACACAGGTAATGAAGCCAGATGTACCGTAAGAATAACAAATAGCACATGGTAATGAAGCACACAGGTAATGAAGCCAGATGTACCGTAAGAATAACAAATAGCACATGGTAATGAAGCACACAGGTAATGAAGCCAGATGTACAGTAAGAAGTACAAATAGTACATGGTAATGAAGCACACAGGTAATGAAGCCAGATGTACAGTAAGTATAAGGATTAAAAGGATTAAACAGCTGTGACAAGCTGATTGGCACCAAATTAAAATAGTCTATTGCTTGATTAGATCCTCATAGGTAGACCAGATGTAATACCCTTGATCTCTGTTAATCAAAGGTTTGTGACAGCGGATTTATATACCTTCTGAGAGTTTTCTTTTTGCAAAGTCCTGATGTTTGGTTGAGAGGATTTGGACTTTGTAAAACTAAATTTGGAACAAAATTCATGTTCACTCAGGTGAGCTAAGAAAGGTGGTTAGGACCCACTGGAGCCCCCTGACACTGGCACAGATTTTGACGTGGAATATAGAACACAGCTCAAACAAGTTCTCACCTCAATAAAGATTATCTTGTGACTAGATGAGTGGGAGTCGCCTATCTGCAGAGATGAGTATTTGTTGGCTCGGAGCAGGAAATTCTTGAACTGCGTGACTTGAGATTCTGAATAGCCAGTGTCTAGACGGGAGTGTGCTGGACAGAAAAGTACATAGCTTCACCATAGTATCTAACCCTCTTGGAACTGATGTGCACTTACTTGATGACAAGTGAAGTAAGGGAGGTAACCCTGGCGCCTGACATGAACAGGGTGAAATACATGATTTCTGATTGGATAAGTATGTTTATTATGTACAGACAAAGAGACTGATTTATAAGCATGGAACGAACACTAGCAATATATGTGTTCCGGTCAGAACAAAAATACTGTGTGTGAAAATTCCTATTTGACATTTCCGTTAACCATTGTTAACATTTTAAAAAACAACAAAACAGAAACATTGCTCATAAACACACCCAAACATTGATCCGTTCAACAGAAACTTTTCATTACAGGGTCGGAACATTTTCACTGCAATTTATGTATCTAATCCTGATATATTTTCAGGTCAGAACTAAATGTTGGCGGAACAAAAATATGCTTACAGGCCCAGTGAAATACCATGCTGCAATTATACATGGATACCCTACATAGTATACTATAGCATAGCTGAGCCGACCACCACTTGTTTGGTAGGGTAATAAGTGCCATCTTTTGATGTCTTTTGGTAAGACGTGGCCAGATCGGACCACCAACCTTCCCTTCTCTGATCAGACGATTAACATTCCAGACAATGGAGACAGTCGACACCCCACATGGACATACCGGTACATGTTTATTGCTTACCAAACGAATTGTATGCTGAAGGCAAGAGCTGCTCTGAGTTGTAGCTTGGCTGTATTGGGTTTGTCCATTCCTGTACCTCTAGCCCGAGCTCCTTGCAGAGCACTTGGACAGTGGCAGTCTTTCCTACCCCAGCGGGGCCTGTTAGAAGTAAGATGGGGGCTCCATGCTGGAGGTAAAGAGAGAGAGAGAGAGAGTGATGGAGAGTTTAACGCTGCTTCAAACACACTTTTAAGTGATATCCTGATAGCTTAGTACAGGGTACCAGTTTGTTGAATCCCTTTAGCAGGGGCATGGTGCTGAAAAAAGAATAAAGTAAATCACTACGAATAAAGATTATAAAACAACAATCATCAGATCCTGATGTGACTAAGGAGCATAACTCTACACAGCAACTTCTGATGAGAGCATGCATGTCTTATCAGTCACAGTGTAAAGTAAACTACGGTTATAACGAACTCAAGGGGGACCACTAATTTAAGTTCGTTATATCCGCCAGACATCTTGGATCAAGTCATGTGACCACATCATGTTACTCGATAAATAACCCGATAATAAGTGTGCACTGTACATGTACTCTGGTTATTCATCATACAGAACATTAATAAGGTGAGTTCGCTACAACCGTTAGTTGCGTGTCCCTCGTATCCATCAATTTTATATGATAAAATATACAGCAATGGCTGGGACAAAACAAACATTTCGTTGTATCCGTCACTTCATTATAAGCGTGCTCATTGTATGTAGTTGACTGTATCTTGCAATTAATGAGGTCAACAAGAAGTCTGTTCCTTATACATGCCAACATGCTGCTGGGTTTTAGGTTTTGCTTGTGAGTGCATGTCAAACACAAGTTAGGCTATAGCCCATGTCCAGTCTGGTATGTTGTCCCTATGTAACAGCAAATAGTTTGCAGGTCAAATGTCATAAAGTGGGTTTGAGTGACTCCAATCAAGTCTGATAGGACTGCCTATTAGCCCAATCTCATTTACATAGGATCTTTTTCTCCGATATGACATGACCATGTTGCCTGTCCAAAACGCCTAACTTTGCATGCCATGGACTTTGCAACACCAATAACGCTAACAGCTTCTGGAATAAAAGTCAAAATTTTAGTCTGGATACAAAAAAGAAACATGGCAACCATAATTCAATCTTAACATATTATGTTTTTCATAGGCATGTTAAAAGATGTGTGTAAAGTCATTAAACATGTTAAACTAGCCATGTGTGAAACTAACCTTTGGTGCCGACTTTGTCCTATCTCGAAGCCATGTCTCTACATCATCAACCTTCTTCTTGTGAACTGCTAAATCACCCTGGATAAAGAGGCAAAGCATAAGGGTCCATTGAAAATGAGAGATGTGCAAAAATAAATAACATGTAGACTGCTAAACATATAAACATGCCCAAGTGTAAGCATGGTAAGTAAGAAACAGCTGAAACATGTAGCTGTGTGTTTCAACACTGTTCAGCATCATTAACTTGTTTACACGACACATTTGGGTAGTATATCTTACCTTATTGCTAGGCTTGTGTTTATCTGCCCATAGATCATCACTGGATATCTTCTTGGGTTTCTTCCCTGTGGACGCTGTGGAGAGTCGATGCACAGGCTCAGGACGTACACTGTCTCTCGACCGCTTCTTGCTCTGAGACAGTGGAGGATCAGACAGCTGCGACGAACATGCTGGCTTCGATGGGAGGAACGCAGCAAAGTCATCAAATGATGAACTGACCCATTTAAGGGACTTCTAGAACCAGAAATTGAATTCATGACATGGCGGGATTAATAAATTGTGTGACTCAAGCTCATGTATTACCTGCAGTCACTGCTAGCTTGAACTTGTCTTTCTGCATCAGAAGATTTAAGAGTTATGATGGTATATTATTTGCTCAGATAAAAAGACAGAAAGAAATTTTACTTGAACCAGGCTTCAGGCTACTGGTTAAATTCACAGATACTTGCATGCTTAGACAAAATAAAATATGTTCAGATGCCCTACCACGCTGACCAGCCCAAATCAGGAGCCTCCGATCCATAACTTTTTTTTCCAAATTAGATCATGACACCAGCTTTCTTAACAATCCTGTTATTGTTAGTGTCTCATGAGTGAGCTTTTCATTCAATTATGTCAAACATTTGCTAAAAGGTAAAAAAAATCTGGACCAGACAATCCAGAGATTGATATCACGAGCATCGAACTACGCAACTGAGGTATGATGACATGCATCAACCAATTTGGCGAGCCTGACCACCACATCCTGTTCCTTGTATATGCACTATGATGAATCATGTGTATTACTGGTGTATAGAGCTCTTATTGATAGATTGACAAATGACTGAATCAACATATCAATACAGCTATGATACAGTATACAAGGTTTTATCTTCGTTTTATCCCAAGCACAGGGATAGAACTTGGCACTTATCCTACAGTTCTTGCCAAGCTACCCAGTAATTAAGGTATCATAAGGACTAGTAGAAATATGCCATTTAAGGGTTTTGCCTCATATTTTATCATTATAAGGAGTAGTGGTCTAAAACTGTTAGTTTCTATTCCTGAAAGCACCTCCAATATTTGATTGTAAGTTCCTGATGAGATATTAGGGTCAGATGTACCAGTATTTACCATGTTTACCATGTTTGCTGGTATTACTTCAAAATGACATGTCAAACCTCCCATTCTTGGATTATAATAGACATAATCACGATAATAGATATAATATGGTAAACCATGAAAACTCAAACATTAACAATCATGAGAATAAATTTCATGTAGAATGCTGTTTTTACAAACAAGACCAATGACATTGTGATAGCACAGACAAATCATTAGCAGTGTCTTGAGCATATTTTGGAAACAATCCTATGCACACACAGAAATTCCACACATGTTTTAGGAAACTTATCATCAATGTGATCAAGACAATGACTAAAGGTATCATTTGCAGGCACAGTACCTTCTTGGATGGGACAACTTTTACAATGGAGATATCTGCATCATCATCAAGATCTTCAATATCAGCAGGTCTGCTTCTGGACTTCTTAAGAAATCCTCCCAAAGTAGACTGCTGGCCATGTTTGCTCTGAAACATATAATATGTCCGTCAGTTTGTATTACATGTTATAAGCATGTTTGCTATAAACAAAGTTTACTGTATTGATCATGTTGACAACTATGAATATGGCAGTAAATTACAAAGAGTAGTAGCATGTGAAGTAACCCACAAGCACATCACGCTCACTGAACCGTAAGTATTGGAGTTAAAACTCAGCATTGCATCTGCAATATCTCAGTCCGCACCCTTCAGTATGTTCATCCGATGTTCCACACTGGATGCCATTGGAAACCAAATTTTGTTTACTCTTTGTTTTCTCGTGGTTTGTCAACCATTTGAAATGTTGCTACACGTGTTATCAGTTGATACCAAGGACAGATAGATGACTTGAGATGTACATGAAGGTGGCAATCATTCATTTATTCATTTTAGCAAAGATAACATACTTTTCATTTCATATTAAATTGATACTGTTAGAAAGTTAGCTAGTTTAATTGCTGTCACTGCACTCAACAATAGTTCAGCTATATGACTGGCCCATAAATAACCAAGTCTGGAACAGACAAACCTGTGATTAGTATTATGACAATGACCCACATCTCTGGTGTGGACATGCTTGTAACAGAGTAATGATACACATAGTGACTCATTGTACTGTCTGTATATCTGTTTGTTTGTTGTGTAAGTTGAACAGTAACGTCGCACTTCGCAATATGACGAGTGTTCTGCTGGCCGGTTGGATTAACTCATTAGCCTAGCTAAGCTTCAAACTGCCAACGTGTGTTCGATCCTCCACTCATCGAAATCCGAAAAAGTGCGCCCGGTAAATTGCACTAATGACTATTCCCTAGACTGACTGAGTGACAGACAATATACATAAGGAGAAGTTCATGGAACTGTTTCAGTTTTCGTAAGTTACTCAGTTATTGAGTTAGTGTGATAACAACTAAACGGCTAACTACAACGAACTGTTGCTTACCATTGTGTTTCCTCAACTCTACATTAACAACAGCGTAAGGACTATCAACTGTACTCTCCAATTTCAGCGTGTCAATACAGTATTTTCATTTGAACAAACGATACCACGACCGACATTCGAACGCGGCGCCATGTTTGTTTTTACCGGAAGCATGTGTTACAAAAATGTGGAATTTGTCTAATGTGAAATACGGAATATTTGGAGGTAATTTGTTTTTTTCAAGTAACATGTTGATCTCATCAAGTGTTGATATCTTTATGATGTTGCTACCTCTGTGCTGTGTTCCTTGTTCATTTCCATTACTTTTACCTCATGGCAACTCGTTTATTGCCGTATGCACAAGCACCACGTACAGTTATTGCTATGACCAGGCTTACAGAAATATCCAAGCATGAATTCCAAATTAATATTTCTTATCACATGCTGATAAATTTGCCAATGCTCATATAATTTGATTAACCCCGTTTATCCATTACTCGGACTGTCAGAAAAGATCTCCACTAGTCAGTGCTGTCAGAATAGATCTCCATTTGTCAGTGCTGTCAGAATAGATCTCCATTACTCAGTGCTGTCAGAATAGATCTCCATTACTCGGTCTGTCAGAAAAGATCCCCAGTACGAAGTTGTATTGTCTGCAAATTGTTGTTTGAAGAAATCGATATTCCCGAAATGCATGCCTTTTATATCTGCATTATTTCTGACCATTATTCCAAGTATTTAGACACACAAAATGAATATTGATTGAAATCCTTCGTAAAATACAGTAATCCATCTTCGAATAGCATGTCCAAAATGAAAGGTCAATGTTTTATTAATGAATGTCCAATGAACTGTGTCGAAGGCCTTTTCAATATCAATTAGCAGCATTAATCGTGGTATTTGAAAAGTGTATGTATGTTCCATCAAGTCATAAATTAGTCTCGTAATCTCACCAATATATATTCCAGACATTAAACCTTTTTGGTTTTCATTTATTTATAACCCAAAGACTGGTTTGATTCTTCGCGATATTGTAAGTGATGCAACTTTATAGAATTCCGATAAAAGAGAGATAAATTCTGTTGTTTTGACCCCTTTGGCAATGTAGGTAATGAGACCTCGTTTCAGTGACGTTGATTCCACCTTTCCTATATTCCATAAACGTATAAATTCATTAGTGAAACCATCAGTTAATATCTGTAACGTCCTGTTTTGTATATAGATTTTGATAAAAATGTACATCTTCTTCAAGCTGTAGGAAAGATTTTTTTCCCCTTTATTTTATCCAGGTTCCTTTGGATTGTACGATGAGAACTTGTGTTTTGATTTTATTAATCTTCCAAATATTTTTTCCTTTTATCTATTTCAGTAAGTAATTCGTTTTTTTGTACATTAGTCGTTTGTCACATCTAGGAGCCTTTCTTGGTTTTTTAAAACTTTTCTGATAATATATTTTCGTTTTGTTTTACTTTTTTTCTTATATGATGAATACTCGTCCTTTTCCGTAAACATGGATGTGTTCAATATTCACCAGTGACGGGATCTTCTCTTCTAGACAGTTCGTCGAGAAAAGGTGACCTCTCTGAAATAGGTAATGAACGTGAATCTATAGGGCAAACTTTGCGTGCCATAGCACTTAAACATATGAATACACAATTAGTTAAGGGAAAGATAGAAGTACAGGATATCAACATTCAAGGCACATAAAGAGGTGAACATCCCTGTTTAAAATTCCGCACTTGGCAAGGTTCTAATTTTTCACAAGTTGTCGTTGATGGTATCGCCTTGTCCTTGATTCTCATGACGTTGATGAGATTTTAGTGAAAAAATATCTATTCCGCAAGCACCGACAGATAAGCTTGAAACTTGTCCATGTATGTAAGACGCGAGAACGCCATATTTCTCAAGTGCATACCTGAGACACAGTAGGTGGTCCGAATCCATATCTGCTTAGATATTTCCTGCAACCTAGACTAGATAGTGTCTTTATTACATTAACATGTCGTCACTTTCAATCAAATAATTATCTAACTGTTGCCAGCACGTCACAGAAACGCGCAAGGGAGTCGAGGCAATAAACCAGTTTTATTACAGCGCTGTGAGGAGTTTAGGAACATCTGAATGGCACTTCGTTACTTTTATTACTTCCCAAACGTGCTGATGAGTTTCTGCTCACCTCTGATGTTATGAGATAAATATAAAATTTGGTGATGTGGGTTGGTGAATGTTTCAACACATGTGCGAACCATGGTTGGTGAACCAGCTTAATTGATACTTGATACGTTTTTTAAAGCTCATTGTACAAAATACATCAAGGTGGACGAAAAAAAAAGAAAAGGAACCAAACCCGAAAAAAACGACGACGATGCATCTTCAACACTTAAAAAGCAATCCTCACATTCAGTAAACATAAAACTGGTTTTAAAGCTGTTAGCAGGTACTTTGAAACGCATCTCACGGAAACACCCTGCATCATTTCGTAGTGTACATGCAGATAACCGATTATAACGCCAAATAGTCTTGTGTTGTGCAAGAGGGTCAATGATGTATATCCGGGAATACATAAAAATGTTATATTTCTTCATTCGCCCAGATAATGCTCTGTCCCATAAAGCGTCTTAGAACTCAGATGTCGTGGCTCCCATACTTTAACGGAGTACCACAGACGTATAACAGTCGGCGCGCTAAGATTGCCTTGTGGTGCTGGGCGTACATTTCTACGTTAGCAGAAAAATGAAAAATGTCTGGTTTTGCAGGCGTAGGTGACAATAAATCTAGTCTCCATACAAAGTCCCAGCCACCCGACCCCCACCCCAAATATCAAATGGTCGGTCCCTTATGCAGTCCCTGTCTGACCGACGGGAGTCAGTCCGTCTTTAGGATGACAGAATCCATAAAACAACATATATTTTTTTTAAATAATACGTCTCCCGATTTTACACACAAAAAAATTGTTCACTGAAAGTCCTGAATTTGTCTTGACGAAATTATATGGTCTGTCCTCGACCCTCTTTCAGCCGATTTGTTGATCAGGTATTGGGTTCTGGGGACGTCTTCTGCCCCGAAGTCCCAACATGTTCAAAACTATTATAGTGTAAATTTCCCATTGAGACATCTCGGGTGTCCGTGACTTAAGCTAACACTGATTAAAAACATTTTTCACGTGGAGTCATAATGCAGAAAACTCCCTGTTAATTAGAAACATGTTCCTAACATCTGTTTCAGGCTGAATGTAATTATTTACATCTTCTCAAAGTCCTATATTCGTCACAATTAGTATAATAATGTGAAATTAAGAAAGGGTTCATGCAATAGATATTGTGTTTCAGTCAATGTGTCATCGGTTTGTGAAACGTGAAACAACCAGTTTAGCCACACTTTCCTTCAACAAAATCTGTTAAAATTTATTCCGGATGTTCATATGTTGTTAATAAACCAACAGCCGCCAGTTAATGAATATATGTCTTTCTTTTCTAAGCAAAATAGATTGCATAATCTTAAGGCGAACCTGTATCAATTATGTAATTGTTTAACACTGTAAACGTAAGCGTGATTAGCACGAGGCATTCCAGGTAAGTTTCATTACCTGAAAAATATATAATATTTTAGCTTTCTTTTGTTGTTACAACGTGGGTGAACATGACAGGTAACCTTTGAAGTCACTCAGAGTATGAAGCCAACATTAATGATGTTATCATAATGTATTCATAAACCCCACATTAACAAAACATAACATGAACATAAAATTAATGCTTATCACTATAAACCGATTCTAAATATTCACCTATAATGATGTGCTGTAATTAGGTTTCGCTGAGTCAGAATATTAGACATAAAACATGGTTATATGCTTATGTTTAGGCTAATAAAAGCTAATGTAATTTCATTCGCCCACAGGGAAGAACAGACGTTGTCTATTTTAAAACATCGTCATTTTTTATTGTTACCATCGTCGGAGCAGTAATAGCACCAGCCTGTATAGCCAGGTCGTATCTGTGATTGGAACGGCTCAGTGTTCAGCGAGTTTGTTTGTAAATATAAACTGTCAATGCAAGAGAATAACCAGCCTAGACCTAGGGAAAATAGCTGTGAAAATTGTATGAATGGACCACTGAAAATCAGTGATGACACCAGGTGTTCGCGAATAGGGTAAGCTTGTCCTGCCTTACCAATAGCACCCGTCATTCATACAATTTGCATAAAATGTTGGTACTTATTGCCTGACGCAACACAGCAGTACTCCGGCCATGCGTCAGCCTGTAAACAAACCAGACAATTAAGTGATCGATGAACCAGACTATCCAGTGACACGAGAATGAAACCATTACCGACGTTGTTGAAACTAATAAAAATGTTATGTTAATTTTGAATTACGTCTGCTGTGTTCAAGTGCGGAGTTTTTTTCTGCTGATAAGTAAAGAAAAACATAGCGATTTATATTCGTTTTGCAACTCAGTGGGGCGCAGTTGTAAAATCTCGGACCAAAATTTATTGCTTTCAAAAGGCGACTATGCTTGTCGTAAAAGGCGACTATGCTTGTCGTAAAAGGCGACTATGCTTGTCGTAAAAGGCGACTGACGGGATCGGGTGGTCAGGCTCGCTGACTTGGTTGAAGCATATCATCGATCCCAACTGCGTGGATCGATGCTCATGATGTCAATCACTGGATTGTGTGGTCCAGACTCGATTATTTACAGACCGTCGCCATATAGCTGGACTATTGCTGAGTGCGGCGTTAAACATCAAATAAACAAACAAATTTTTGTAGTTGTCTCAGCATAGATACATGCTACTAAGCTTATGATGAAACCCGAAGACTTCAGTCCACCAGCAGAAACACCGACACAGTTCAGACCCGTTTCGATTCCAACATGTGAAGTCGTTGATATTCCTCGTGTCATTATTATTTTGTCTGGACAAATAATGTTCCAAAACATGAACGTATAGTTAGGTTTACTGCAAGTGTGACAATATTGAAGGCAGATGATTATCATGTGAACATATCTGCCTTATTTCGATCACACCAGGAGGAGAACACCATCATTCGTGAAACATTCAGTTACCTTGTATGTACATTGTATGAGCGGCCGGTGCTACTGCTAGGGCAGGACATGCTAACACTTTTCAAGAACACCTTGTGTCATCACAGATTTACAATTTTTACCGAAAGTGAAAGAAGACTCAAACACAGGTCAATACGATGTATAAAAGCCACAAAACCCGTTCCATATTCATAAGAAACCTCTGCCCAAAGCAGAGTCGATCGGACGATTCCGACTATATCATGAGCATGTGTTTATGAATCACTATCAAATACTGATGGTACCAGATTTCGCGAAAATGGTGAGCGTATCCTGCCCAACCGGTGGCACCCGTCACAAACACACGCAAAGGCAAGTCAATTGATCAGCTGAAAAATCCGGGAACATACAGTACGAGTGAAAATTGGGAATTGCATCGGACATAATTTTTGTTACTTATGCGTCACATTTGGAAATGTCCTCCGCATGTCTATCATAAAACCGAGGCCTTGGATGTCGTAACCTTGATCACACAACGTCTGAGCAAGAGTCGTATGACGCTCTTTGAAAACACAAGATGTCACATGTCACATGTAAGCATAACAACATCATAGATATGTCAGACTCCAAACTTTCTGATATCCGTGCGGAGTCTGGGTAGCATATAGGCCCCAAACCATCCTGTGCCAATCATAAGAGGCACTAAATGGACTGAGTTTTAAGACTCTGTGCCTTGATTCATTGTCTGTCATCATACCCCTCGGCATGTGACTTTACTGGTAATATAAATCACTGGATTGTCTGGTCCAGATTAGATTATTACAGGCTGCCGATGTATAGCTTGAGTATTGCTAAGTGTGGCATTAAACAACCATCTAACGAAACTACTTCCTGTTCACGCATATGGACCATGCGCATGCGCATGCGCACAAGTTCTCATTCACACATTTTGTGTGTGTCACTGACTCTCCCCAAACCTACACCACCATCTTCCCACAATGTTCTCAGGTCCTGTCGGTGGCGGTGGGGTAGCTTAGTGGTGAATGCGTTCGCTCGTCACGCTGAAGACCCGGGTTCGATTCCCCACCTGGGTACAATGTAAAAAGCCCATTTGTTCCTCCTCGTGACATAGCTGGACTCTTGCTAAACGCGGCGTAAAACCATACTCACTCATTCCTTGGTCCTGCCCCTTCGTGAACTTCTCACTTCGCAAACCCAACATGGAGCTTTGAAACTCTTTCGGGTGAAGTTTTCCAAGAAAAAAACAGAAACAAGCTTCTATGTTTTATTTCTGAAAATCAATGAGGACATGTCCAAGTAAGTGAGTGAGTGGGGTTTTACGCCGCTTTTAGCAATATTCCAGCAATATCACGGCGGGGGACACCAGAAATGGGCTTCACACATTGTACCCATGTCGGGAATCGAACCCGGGTCTTCGGCTTGACAAGCGAACACTTTAACCACTAGGCTACCCGACCGCCCCACTGTTAAAATGACTTGGTTATAAGACTGTCCAGGAATTGTTGCTCAACGTCCAGACATGCGATCTTTGAATATTCTGAATATTGCTAAAAGCGGCGTAAAACAAAAAAACACTCACTCATTTAAACAGTGAAAAGGATGAGTTAGAAGTGAAATTTAAGGCAGATGTTCCCGGGTTACTTCGGCCATCTCGAATACTTGTATACCACGAACAATGCGTTAATCTTGTCATGGGATAACACAACCTCGAGTTTGGTGGGGAACACAATCACCTCTCATACCGTCGCAAACAATGCCACTTGACGACATATATACACATAAATATACAGTAGAATAATGGTTTCTATAATATTGTCATATTTTATTGACAAACTAGGATGAAACCGAAAATACATGTCAGGTGCTACATGATTCACGAGACGGGTAACACATATCACTTGTTTCCGTTCAGCAAAACCAGGTCTCCATGATTCCTTCCTACATGTTGACGCCGTTTCGGGTGTCCCCCGCCGTGATATTGCCAAACGCGGCGTAAAAAAATACTCACTCACTTATTCCTACATGTATGTGATATGTCAACTTTATGAGTTGGCACAGTAACAGTGGACCAGACTCCTTACAGTCCCCCGTGAAGATTCCGGGGTACAATAGGTCTTCAGCAACGCACGCTTGCCGTATTAAGGTGACCATGCTTGTCGTAAGAGGCGACTAACGGGATCGGGTGGTCAGGCTCGCTGACTTGGTTGATGCAGGTCATCGATCACAATTGCGTGGACCGATGCTCATGGTATCAATCACTGGATTGTCTGGTTCCGACTCGATTATTTACAGACCACTGTCATATAGCTGGAATATTACTGAGTGCGGCGTTAAACAACCAACCAATCAACCAACCCCACTGGGTAGCCACTGACTGCTGGCTGTGTGACTGGCATTTACCCACGTCTCATCAGAATAAACAGGCTCATATCCTTCTTCCCCTTCCTGGTTGATGGTTGGAAGACAATGATTTCGGCGATGAAGTGTGCCAGATCGTTCACATACCACAGCGCTACTTTCGCAACTTATCTGTTTGTATCTGTATCCAAACGTATGCTTGTATTTTGTAACAATTAAATCAGTTTCAGTTTCAAGGTATTTCGTAAAGAGTGTTATTGACATGTACTTATTTTCTGAATGCAGTTTAGCAATTGCACGTCTGACGTGATGTTTTTTTAAACTGTCTACTTTATCAATCCTACATGGTTTTGATATGTTCCCCACCTGCTTCGTCTGATTGCTGGAGTCCCGTCGACGGACAGCATCTTTCAGCTTGTTAGGAGACATACCAAGAGCTTCAGAAGCTCGTTTCAACTGTTTTTTTAATCAAGTGAAAAGGTTTTCCTCTCTCTGTTTCACATTGAAAGAAATCACACACTTAAAACATCACCTGTTTCACGTCGTCTGAGTAGCGCATCTTGTCAGTCAACAACGATGTATAAACTGTGTAGCACGTGCAGTACGTGTTTGCGCTGTTCATCTTACCGTTGTGACCCCATTCGTTCAAGGCGTCAACTTATAACAATATGATAGTTTCTTAAACAACTTTTTCCAGTGATGGGAATAAAATAAAATAGAAAATCAGACAATTCCTACGACTCAAACGATCCTTCTCATGCTGCCATACAGTGTACCGTGTGTAGCACGTGCAGTACGTGTTTGCGCTGTTCCTCCTACCGTTGTGCCCCCCTCTGTCCAAGATGTCAACTTGTACACATAACAACAGGATAGTTTCTTAAACAACTTTTTTTCCAGTGACGGGAATAAATATAACAAACAGCAGATATTGTTGGGTACAGGGTATTCATTGCCGTGTACCGTACTGACATTTAATAGACTATTCTCGATTTTGAGTTATTTTGTAACAATCGTTCTCATTCGGAGCCAAACGGACTGTAGTACTGTACAGAAACCAAGATGACTCGCGATGACAAGGAAAACGAACATTCTGATAGTTTGCTAAAAAATGTCTGCTAATACCATAAGGCACTCTTCTTCTTTCGCTGACTTTGGGTAAAAGATCTTGCAAGGAGGCACCGGTGAATGAGTGAGGGACGTTTTTCAAAACTATTTCCCGACATATCTTAATGTAGAAAGTACAAAGCGTCACAGGTCGTTGATATTTACCCCTGAATACCAACGTTGACAAACCAAGGTTCATAATCGAATCTGGTTAGAACTAACGACCACCGAACAAGAGTTGTGAGTCCAGACGTCTCCCGTTGGTAATATTGGTAGAGGCGTACTGGAAGCCCCAGCAATCGAGTCCACACAGCAACAGGAGTTTCTTAATTCTGTGACGTTCCGTGTCATTCTGTGACGTCCTGTCGCTTTTTTAACGTCACCCGTTGATAATCTAGGTAGAGGCATATTGGACGTATCGGCAATTTAGTCCACATTGCGGTAGCACATTGTTCATCTCCGACGTTCAGTGATATACTATGACGTTCAGTGATATACTATGACGTTCTGTGATATTCTGTAATATTCTGATAATTTAGGTAAGGGCACGTTAGGTACATCTGTACTTAGATGTCTGGTTTAGTCCACATTGCCATAGGACATGTTGCGTTCTGGGACGAGCCACTCGAACCACAGCAGCGAGTAGGCGACCCACTATCGACCGCCGTACATATTGTGTCCGTGCCGCTATTTTTATGAACGAACTTGTAGGTGTAGCTGTTCCGGTTCCTGATGCGGGGGCTCCGGCAGCACGGGCAGAGTAGCGTGGATCGGAACGCCTGTCTGAACTTGAGGGACATGATGCTGTACAGGATGGGGTTGATGGTGGAGCTGATGTAGTAAAAGACGCCGGAGACGTGGTACAGACGCTCGTGCACGAGCAGCAGTTGGTGTGTCCAGCGTTCCACATACATGACGAGGAGTCGCTGGGAGTGGAACGGCGCCCAGCACACGAAGAAAGCCACGACGACTGTCACTGGAACAAGGAATAGCATAGGTACACGTATACGTCGCGTTTAAGGTTATTGTACTTGTATAGTGTATGTGGCTGATTGTACTGGCCCGGACGAATGTTGATGTTTACGAGATGGTGTTTCATATCAAGCCAGTCGACGAGATACAACCGACGTGTCACTGAAACGACTAAAATGTCAGTTGACGTTCCATTCTCATCCTAAGAGGCTTCAGTGTACGGTGAGGTAAGGTGAGGTGCGGTGAGGTGAGGTGTGGTGAGGTGAGGTGAGGTGGTGTTTAACGTCGCGTCCAAGATTATTGTACTTATGTAGCGACGTGTGTGTGTGTGTGTTTGCTTGTACTAGTCCGGACTGATTACCGATTTATAGCGCAAGCACCACTGCCGCAGTTTAACATGAATACTCTACTCAGACACAGCTGACAAGTTTCATCCGTTAATGTCTTTTAGACTGAGCCATTGAGTGAAGTAAGGTGAGGTGGTGTTTAACGTCGCGTCCAAGATTATTGCACTTATGTAGCGACGTGTGTGTGTGTGTGTTTGCTTGTACTAGTCCGGACTGATTACCGATTTATAGCGCAAGCACCACTGCCGCAGTTTAACATGAATACCCCACTCAGACACAGCTAACAAGTTTCATCCGTTAATGTCTTTTAGACTGAGAGATTGAGTGAGGTCTTACCCCACTTTATGCAATATTCCAGCAATATCACGGCTGGTGAAAAGAACTTGCTTGTGATTGTATCCGATCGGGAATCGAACCGTTGCGATTGGTGTGTCTAGTGAGCATTTAAGCCACTAGGCTACCCTACCCTCCTACCTTATACTGTATCACTGGTACTTATTAAGGCGGGGTGGTCGGGTAGCCTAGTGGGTAAAGCGTTCGCTCGTCACGCCGAAGACCCGGGTTCGATTCCCAACATGGGTACAACGTGTGGTGTCTCCCGCCGTGATATTGCTGGAATATTGCTAAAAGCGGCGTAAACACATACTCACTCACTCACATATTAAGGCTGCATTTGTTTTTCTATGGTCACCGGACACTCGTTCCAACATCATGCAGAAAGTTGATTGATCTCTCTAGCGAACAAACCATCCTTTAAATATAGAAAACTAATTCCAATATACATGAGTCTGCTTCTCTTGAAAAACTAACTTGTAACATTCTGAAAAAGCTGGGAAAATATGTTTTGTTTGTTTGTTGTTTTACGCCGCGCTCAGCAATATTCCAGCTATGTGACGGCGATCTGTAACTAATCGTGTCTGGAGAAGACAATCAAGTGAGTGACATCATGAGAATTGATCTACGCAATTGGAATATGATGACGGGGTAGAATAGGTCTTCAGCAATCCATGCCCTAAAAGGCGACTATGCTTGTCGTAAGAGGCGACTAACCGGATAGGGTGATGAAGCTCGCTGACATGGTTGATGCATGTCATTGTATCTCAATTGCGTGGAGCGATGCTCATGACATGAATCACTGGATTATCTGGTCCAGACTCGATTGTTTACAGACCGTCGACATATAGCTGGAATATTGCTGAATGCGGCATTAACAACAAACAAAAACACAAAGGCGTATAACCAGGAAATGGGGTGCCTTCGAATATCCAATTTATCCCATAAGGTCAATAAAATCTTTGACTTACAGACTCGATTATGTGGCTTACCGAGCATCTTGAGAACAGACTGTCTGGCCCGGCTCTGCTGCTGTATCCGGATCTCAGCTCCAGAAGGCTGACTTTCCGTGGAGGAATCCGACCCACTCCTGTTAAGTCCGGACCTCCGGATAGCAATGGCGATTAGGAAGTACAAGATGGACAATACCGTCATTGGGAACACAAAGAAGAGAAACGTGGACAATTGGAAGTAGATTCTCGCCTCTTCTTCGTCCATGGTGTTGCACTGGGCAGACTCCTCTATCCGTAGCGTGGACCCCTTCTGATACCTGTATATGATCCCGAACTGCAAGGCTATTGGTATGGAACATACAGCCGATACGACCCATATTGCTGATATCACGCGTACAGCGCGGGGGAGGTTGGAGTTGCTGGGCATCCACATCGGATGACATATAGCCACGTATCGCTCCACGGTGAAGGCCGTGATCGTCAGAATGGACGCATAGGTGGACGCCTCCGCGGCAAAGAAACGAAACCTGCAGAAAGTCTCCCCGAATATGTAGGGGTATTCCGACCAGAAGGAATATGTTTCCTGGGGCAATCCCAGGACCAACAGCAACAGGTCAGATACAGCGAGGTTGAACAGATAATAGTTCGTGGCTGTGTGCATGTACTTGTTGCGTGCGATGACAATGCACGTGCACACGTTACCCCCAATACCCGTGACAAAGATGAGGGAGTACACCACAGTCATGGGGATCACAGTGCTCAGAGCGCGCCGCTTGGGGCCGATCAGAAGGTCAAGGTCAACCGAGGCCATTGTTACGTTCTTGAAATCTGATGAGGTTAAGGTCACATTTTTGCCATCTGTTGTATTGAAGGCTTCTACTAACATTTTTGGTAGTGGTCGTCCCGCACAGTAGATATCAGAACGTGAGAACACCTTGCTTTCTTAGATCATAGGTTATCTCCCCTTCTCCACATCTCCACATGGGTTAATGCTGAAATGGAATTCAGAATATAAATATAAAATAAATCAAATTAAAAGATAAAAATTTCAAAATTAAAAATAAGATAACAGATGAATACTTGCTACCTTCCCAGCCTGCTTCTGCATCAGATGATTAATGTCTGTCTTCATCACATAGTAACAGTTAGCAGTTAGCAGAACGAAACATGCTACATGTAAACACAGATTTAACAAATCTAAGTTCATTCATACTCTAATGTCAAATCTGTTCTGAAAAGAATCACATAACATTTTCTATCAACAACAGTGCTGTTTTCTCTCAGGATACGCATAACATACGTGATGTCTTTCAGATTCTTAAACGTCAATCAGCCCTGATCCCGACCTCCAAGCTACATCCTGTTTGCACATTGTCAGTCACGTGAACCATTGAAACTACCTACTTAGAACGTCTTTTGACGTAGCCTGCCTTCATTAAACTGTCTATTCACGGCAGCACTGTTACATGTCTTTGCATCGAGCACTCGCAGTGGTTGTGCATTCCCCTTTGCTGAGGAGAAGATAATTACAACACTTGTGAATATGCCCCATGCTTCAGAGTTATAGCTCTTAGCCGAGCATTGCCGTCGTATTTACTAGAAATATGGTGTGCTTTGCCCCTCATGTTCATTCTAAAGACTCTATATGCTGTAAACAATTATCGTTTTCTTCTGATCAGCTGTTCGCGTGTGGTATGTCATTTTTAACTCTTTTGAGAATTATGGAAATAATGATTGCAGATGGTCCTCAGGTCCGTAACCCAAATAAACTGCCATGTTAAAATGGTCAAACGACAACTTCATACCAGCTTGATAATTTCTAATGGGATTTTTCACATTAATTAAATAATAATGTAACCCTAATGAGACGAATTTTTATCATCATTGCTGTTTTGGACGCCATATCGACTATGTCATTTCGTGTTGAAAAATTGAAAAGGATGCTTTCTCACAGTTTGAATTTACTGTAAATATGGTTTTAATAGGGATTTATTTGTACGAACTTAAACCAGGGTAGTTTACGTGGGGCAGATGTCGCAGATAAAATAGAAGTTATGGTGATTGATTAAGACATCTTGTATATTCAAGGAGTGTAGTTTTGTGGTTTCTTCGGCTACGTTTCGCCGGCCTCTTTAAACTAGTCTCCATTTCGTATGAATAACCCTATCGTAGCAAAAATGAATACTATTTCAGAGAAACGTCGTCGCCTCGCGCGGAGGTACAAGACAGGTTGTGTTATCTGACGGTGATATACGTTTGAGAAATATGAGCTTACTTTACATTACGGAAACTGACAGCCAGTTGGTGGACGTAGCGACCCAGCTATGTATGAGGTCAAACGGAGAAACTGTTTCCGTTGTTTCTTCAGGTGAACACTTGACTTGCCTGTGTTGTGTTTGGGACGAGTGACACCGGTGGGGCAGGATGCGCTAACCGTTTGGCGAACACCTGACATCCTCACTCTTTGATAGTGATTCATTAGCACATGCTTGTGATGTAGTGAGACTCGAACAAAGGACTCTGCCTTCAGAAGAGATTTCTTATGACAATGGAAATGGTTTTGTGGCTTAAATGTTTTTGATGAGTCCTGTTAAGTGCCCTCGCTGACTACTTCCAGTTCTGCAACGGCGATGTGTATGTGTAAACGCTACCCATATCCATTCATTATAATTGCATTCATAACGCAACAGATTTTTGACGATACGTTTCGTTCCCAACGAATATAAGGCAACGATTATAATAAGTGCGTGAATGTTATTTATCACCGCAGGCACCAATATAGCAGTTTTATCGCGATATCCTGTCAGTATCAAGTCTGGACCATTAACGATGAAACGCATATAGTTAAGTCACGGAAGCTGACCACCTGATACCCTTTAACGTATCATCCACGATCACATGCAAATAGCTAAATAACCGAACCTGACCACCCGATACCCTTTAACGTATCATCCACGATCACATGCAAAAAGCTAATTAACCGAAACTGACCACCCGATACCCTTTAACGTATCATCCACGATCACATGCAAATAGCTAAATAACCGAAACTGACCACCCAATACCCTTTAACGTATCATCCATGATCACATGCAAATAGCTAAATAACCGAAACTGACCAACCGATACCCTTTAACGTATTATCCATCATCAAATGCAAATAGCTAAATAACCGAAACTGACCAACCGATACCCTTTAACGTATCATCCATTATCACATGCAAATAGCTAAATAACCGAAACTGACCACCCGATACCCTTTAACGTATCATCCATCATCACATGCAAATAGCTAAATAACCGAAACTGACCACCCGATACCCTTTAACGTATCATCCATTATCACATGCAAATAGCTAAATAACCGAAACTGACCAACCGATACCCTTTAACGTATCATCCATTATCACATGCAAATAGCTAAATAACCGAAACTGACCAACCGATACCCTTTAACGTATCATCCATGATCACATGCAAATAGCTAAATAACCGAAACTGACCACCCGATACCCTTTAACGTATCATCCATCATCACATGCAAATAGCTAAATAGCCGAACCTGACTTCCCGATACCCTTTAACGTATTATCTCTTTTAAGCAGAGATTTTTGTGCTTATAGTTAGTATTTTATGTTTATTATTTTCTACAAATACATAGCGTAACATGATTGGTCCGCTTGACTAGTTGGATTTCCGATAAACTTTTGTTCAATCCAATTACCGCAAACACACTAGATGTGATTGTGAACATTTACATCATTACTTGGAGAAAATGATTTTGTAAATTATTTTGAATATAACGCTGGATTTAAAATATGACGGTGCAGTAGGGTAGTCTAGTGGTGGAGTGGCGTAAAACACCACTCATTCACTTAAAATACCATTGGTGATAGGAAAATGAATGGCCGATATTTCAAACACTTCTGTGAGCTGAACACTCCACATCCTCTCACGGTGACAGGTTCCATTAACGAGCAATAACAAGTACTTCATTCCAAAACAGTGATGAAAGCTCATTATATGTAAGTTGTACGTCCACATACATTCCGGACGCTTCAGGTATGAAGAACAGTCTCCCCCTCTCAACACCCACCGCGTGCCTCATTAGCTACACACCGCATTCATGCAGGCACCCCGCCCCTCCCCCCTATCCCCAGCACCGACATACCATGTAGCTGTTGCTGTTGCTGTTACTGTTGCTGTCAGCAGGAGATACCACTGACCACTACATCTCGTCTCCATAGCAATCACGTTATGAACGTACACCGGTAAACAGGTAACAGTGGACATAGACTACACAGATCATGCACACACGAACTGTTGTTCCAAAACCAGGAATGGTGAGAATGCTTAGTCAAAACCAAAGTTCATTTCAAAACAAAAAGTAAATAAAAGCAACAAAAACATTTCCATAATCCTAAGAAATATCTGCTAAAAGAATATATGTCAATTATACGATTCCGACCACATCATAAGCATGTGTTTATTAATCACTATAAAAGGGTGATGATGTCTGGTGTTCGCGAAAAGGTGAGCGTATCCTGCCCCACCGCTGGCACCCGTCACAAACACATGCAAAAGCAAGTCATGTGTTTACCTGAACAAAGGGTCACAGTGTTCAAAGCAGCGTCATCACTGGAATATTGATATATTGAATATCGAGGAGAGTCGCCATGTGTAGGGGGAGGACCATGCAACAGCCGAAGAGTTGATGTTTGTTGGAATGCTTTGCTTATATTATACCGACATATTACACTGACGGGCAGAAGAAAGTATAGACTTGAAAACTGGATTTGACAAAAACAATTACAAACGTTACTCGTCTGAACACAATCGCGAAACATTGCAAACTTCAGGTCCAGACCACAACTATGATACTCGTACCAAATACATCACTACCCAATAACTATTTCATGTTTGTTTTAATTTTAGCCACCATCAAGCATGGGTGTATATTTTCTCCTTCCCGGCAGTTTACACGGGTCTTTCATGATTAAATAAGCAGAACGATGGTTTTAGTTAAACAGACATCTACTCTGATTTCACTCTCCACGTAAATATCTGTCAAACCTCCAAATGAGGTGGTATCAAGTGAACGCTGAACGAACATTGACCAATCAATCAAAGTGGAGGATGCATGTTCCTTTGTGGACAATCATATGTCCGCTTTCTAAAGCGATTCGGCTTAATTTCCGAACCATCTAAAACCCTTTTAGCTCCGAACAAAGGATTACCCACAAAAAGATAAATCGTTCCCCATTATAGACACGATCGGGTGTAGATGCAATAGCGCCCTGGCATGACATGGTTTAAAATATTCACAATAGCGTGGTCATTATTTTCTCCACATGGAGCTGCTCATTACGCTATTTTCGAAATACAGAAATCTGCTTCAAATATTTCGCTCCCCCTAAACTGTAATTTTTATAGGCTCCACGCTGATTGACTGATTAGAATGTTTAACCTCATACAATCTTCTATAGAGGGTTTTTAAGATCTTGACGTGGAGAGGTATAAAGTCGTAGTAAAAGTAATTCTAATAAGATTGCGAACATACATTCATTATTATGTTGTGCAACTAAATACCTCCTTCATCTCTGAGATCTGTTTTGGATGCAAACGTATGGTCCGTTATCGGTTCTGCGGTTATCGGCGCAGTCACAAGTAACCATGCAGTTCTGTTGATGTAAACAGACTGCAGCAGATTCCCATATATAACGTAATGACTGCATTTTCATTGCCAACAATGTTCAGGATCATGATTATTTCACAGTCGTGATCCAAAGTTTAACAGATATTTGAAACAAAACTAAGAAGCAAGAGGGACTATCTGCTGATTACAGAAAAATATCCAAATATATAGAAAGATTTATGTAAGGATTGTACACACTGACACAGTTAATGGCCTCATGTGATGGGGTGAGTGAATGAGTATTTCAGTTACCGGTATATCACGGCTGTCACCTTAATGTTGGAAGATAGCCCCACG